GAAGCTAATTATTCGCAGTCGATCGGGCATTAATTGGGTTATCAAAATACGACCGAGAAATTGGTGCAACGATATTGATTGGTTGAAGGAAATATTGCATGGAATTCGAATGTTAGAGGATAAGTTGGTAACAAATTTCCTCTCTGATTGTGTAATTGAGCTGCTGTATCAACCTTCCTCATTGTCCCATTAACAAATATCATCCATCAAAATCTGCTTCGACGCTTATACGATGATCTATCTTTCCGATTTCGCGATGTCGAAGATTATTAAATGGAATTTACCGGACAAAGCCGTCCGATTGGGATGATGGAGAAATTCCAGTTCAAAGCCGAACGACCAAATTAAAATACCTATGCGTCATTTACACCAGGTAAATCATCTTGCATTGCGGTGGAAATGGCAGTTCCATTTCAAACGTAATTTCCCGGAGTGCAGTCGCTACGAATACAACGTTAATTTAGCCGAGCGAATGATGGATGGATGGATGCTCTTTTCCTTATTAAGTTTAAATCCCCGCGCGAGTATGAACGATACAGCGCATATTTAATACGTTATTTACATTTTAGAAAAATCGATTCATGATGTGTTGAACAAATACGGTTGGAAGTACATGTCAAAAATCGGCTATTATATTGCTGTTTTTTGTTCGTGAATTATTTTTAGAAAACACCGATTGAGTAACGATTCGATTTTTGTTTCTGTTACGTCGGGTAGAATCGGTTTTATCAATAATTACGGCCGGCAGGTCCGGTACTTGAACTCGTTTTAAATGAATCTTTCATTGCACAATAATTAAAAATAAACCGTCGATTATCTCGACGGACTCAAACGAACCGTAGAACCGTTTTGTTATAGTTCAATAATCCCTATTCTTCTCTCTCGTCTCAATAGAGCGCAAGGAAATCTTTGGAGCGCTTGTAGAAGAGTTAGTTAGTAAACTTTCGGTAGCAATTCACACATAATTAGTTGATTAACATCCAGAATTCGCAGCAATTTTCCACCGTCGTTCGAAGGAGGTTTGCCGGATTTGAATAAGCTAAAGGAACAGAACTCCCGCATTTCCGGGAGTTTTACGACGAATAACTTTAACTCCTAACGAAATTCCGGCCGAATGCGGTCTGTTTCAATTCGAAATTACTTTAGAAATTGCCTTAATTCGTTAAATACTCCGTAAGACAGCAGCTACTGCAGCTTTACCAAGTTTCACCTTTAATTGCACAAGTGAATCTTTAGCTTTCTAGTTTATCTTCGAGTTGATAACACTACATTATGCGATTTGTCGACTACAACTCCATTCTTCTGGAATGAAATTGTCACAAATATCACGTTAATCCTGCCATTGTTGAATCTCGGGTTGGCGTTGATTCGGACGCGCTAGAAATATTTATTCATCCGCTACGTCCTCCCACTTAATTTCTAACTCCTTTTTTTTAATGGGCCGGACTCGTAGCGGGGGCGTCTCGATGTTTATTCAACGCTTACACCTATTGTTCCGCTGCTGTAATAGTTTACGAATCGTCGTTAATCCGGCCATAAATTTTTGCATTAACGATTCCGATTCGTGCTCGGCGATCGAAGGCCTCACGGCATACGTTAATGTAACGTTAACGTTAGCGGAATCTACTGGCACATTTCGCAGGGGTGGAAGCGGAATGGGGTGGCGTGGTTGCGAATTTTAATGAGGGTTTGCTGTTTTTTTTCTCGATAATCTCCTAATATGAATTGCTTCGTTTGTTTATACAGGGTGCGACTAGATAAATTGATGCTAAGCTACAAGTAGAGTTTGAATGGTTAGGTATCGATTAATTAAATTGGGTAGGTTAATTTTGTAGGATGGTAAATTATTCAAAAAAAGTGTTTTCGTGCTTTATCGTAATATTTTTTGTAATAACAATGCTCCGTGTGTATCCGCTTTCGAAATGTGGAAGTTTTACGGTCAGTATTGACCAGAAGAATGGAAAACATAATAAATAATTCATAAAGTTGATCGAACTTTACTTGACGATAAAAAATTAATGAAATGTGTTTATTCAATAATGTATAGCTCGTTGAAATGTGGAAATTTCGATTTATTCAATAATTATTAATATTTACATTTTTCATCAAATGGAGGCCGTTGGTATTACATCGTTTTTTTTTTTTCAGTTAAAAAATACAATAGATTAAAAATTGCTATATAATTTAATGAAATTGTATAGCGTAATTATGTAGTAATCCCTAATTTGTAGATACTCCTAATCTACTAATTATTCAATTAATAATGCATATTCAATGACTTATTGAAAAGATTTTAAATTAGAAAAACCCCTTATTAAAATCCACACCAGAGTTTTCGTTGTTAGCCGGTGAGTTAATTAAATTTTCCGAATGAAAGAAAATTTTGTCGTACAACACCGTTTAAGGACAAACAAAGCCCTGCAATTCAATGCGTGTAGTTGAAGTCGATATGAAAATTCCCTTTCTCTATGCCTGTCAATCCAGATGATTTATTGCCCAACGATTCTACGCAATCGTTATTATTCTTTTTCATCGAATTTCCTTGCTTCTCTATATCTAATAGAAATTTATTTGATGGTATTACAGCAGCATAGAAACATTTAAAAAAACCAATTTTGCAATAAATAGTCGAGTAGTAAAGCACATAGAAAACAGTATCAATTAATCACTAATTAGAATAACCCATTAAATTAGTTTTAACGCAAATTAATTGCATCCGCGAAGCGAAACAAAGAGTCGTCGTCTGTATTATCAATTAAGTGCACGTTAAATAATAGAATAGAAAATATTCAACGGCGTAACGAATAAAAACCTAGAAATCCAAGTGGAGCTCGAGTGGAAACAAACAAAAGCCGTATTTGTCATTGTTACACCAACTAATTTACAATTTAAACGTTTCCTATTAGTTCAATTAAGCGATGGAGTCATACTTTAAACATATGTCGGGCAGAGAGACTCTTTAATGAATTTTACAGACGCACAAATTGTCGTTTTTTTTTTTCGCTTTGAAAACCCTCCAGCTCCGTTGTGAATCTATACGAATTTATTTTTTGTTTAATTAAAATTCCTTCAACGCTTTTTCGCCTTGTCACGGTTGCCAACTGATGCGAATTTCCATCACAAAACGGAAAATGCTAATTCGAAAAAAATGCTATTATTAATTTAATATTACCTCCATGCTTCTAGATTTTTTTGATTAATTGTATCAATATTTTTTGAGGGTTACAAAGTCAAGAGTTTTGAGATTTTTCACGAGTTTTAAAAATACCCTTATCGATGCAAAAGTGCACCAAAATTGTTAGTAATTTTTACATCAAAGCGGGATATTTTTACATCCCAATGCAAAGGCGGAAAATAATCGTCAAAGCATCGACAACACAGCGGGCTGTACAAATTTAGCTGACAAAAAACAATAGGTTGAAAAAAAATCGGATAGCGTTGCATTTCTCTGCACGAGATGATTGCCTTTCACTCGTTCTCTTTTTTTTCGCGATGCAATTGCATCCTAAAAAAGAACGTTGTTAACGCATCTTGCATTTATAACCGGATCTATTTACGGCGAACGAACAAAGGGTTGTTCAGAAATAGAAGTTCGTTTGACATTCGAGCCTGCAGAAATCCTGGTCGATGGCATATACATCAGTAAAAGACACGGGGCGTGTATATTTGTATTTTAGGAGCACCCAGTTATAGTTTTAGAGGAGGTGTAATTTTTTTCGATTTAATTCCCTCGGTCGTTTTATCGATTTTAGGGAGTTTGGTTGGCACCCCTGCGGTTAGGCTAATGTAATAATATGTCATATGCAGCATTAATATATCCAAAGTAATTACATTGTTTATTACATAAATTTAATTAATTATCTATAAATTGTTTGCGAGAATTTGTGGATTTTTCAACAAACATTTCGATCAACATTTTAACGCGTGATTAAAAGATTCTTTTTACATACTTTTCCCTAGATATGTTTAGTGTTTTGAGCATATTTATTTGTCTGGACTTTACATACGTCCAAAAGCTCATCAATAATGTTCATATTTTTAATTCAACAAAAAGAATAGTAGTTTAGATAAACTCACGCATATACATACACAATTTAATTCCGAGTAGATCTATTTATTTATTGACCGAAAATAACCTTTATTGCCTTAGATTCTAGACTACGTTCTTAGGAACAACGGAATAACACACTCTGGAGTTCATGGAACGCTTTCAAGGATAAAATGATACTATTTTATTGGCGATATTTCGCTTTGATTCCCGCGATTTCCGAAACCTATTCGAGCCAGTCTCGGGGCGTTCATTTCGCTGTTTTTCGGCGTCTCGTTTTACAAACAATACGTTTTAGTTTTAGTGTATTTTTAGCCGGAATATTTTGGAAAAACGCGGCCGATCGACCTTGCTGCATTAAATCGAAAATCGCGTGTTTTATAATCGTTTACTCTCTCAAACAGGCGTTTTGTTCGTTTCACCCCCGACAATCTATAATATCATTGTTGCCTAACTAATCCCGGATTGATAAGAGGAAATGGAAAGGTGAAATGTAATGCACGAAAGTTGATTATCCGCAGTAAATCTCGCATTGTAAATGAAAATTCGTCGTTATTACAAAACTTGATTTACTTGACTTGAAAGTTAAGGAAGTTCGCAAATTTTGCGATTATTTTAAAAGTTACAGACTTTTTGATCACCAAATTTTCAAATATGCGAAATTAAATGTTTCCTCTCATATCTGAGTGGATTTTTTGTCCCTACCTCTACAACTCGTACTAAATTTAGCGATCAAAATACCTGCAACTTTTAAATTAATCTCAATATTTGTGTACTTCCTTTTGTGGAGTAGTATATTTAATGGTTATTTCCGCACGCAAAACATTTTATTGCCTATTATTTCATACTCTATAGTGTTATTTTTTCGTACCAGCTTTTTGTGTACATTTTAATTGGATTCACGACATTAATCGCCGCGTATTTTTCTGTAATTTCAACGTGTTTATTCCAGCACATGGTCCAGACGGGCATGACAGCGCCGTTCCCGGGGGCGGCGGCCGCCACCCCGGCAGGTTACCCGGCCCAGAACGGCGAAGTGAAGGCCGGCACGGAGGAGAAACCGGCCGTTCCCGGTCTCCTGCCGCCGCCGGCGGGCGCCCCGGCGCCCGGCGCCGGACCGCCTTTCAGTCCGCCGCCTCCGCAGCCGCCTTCCACCGCCGAACCGCCCGCCAGCATAGCCTGCGGACAGGCCGCTCAGACGAAGACCACCTTCAATTGCGAACAGGCCAAGCCGGTAAGTGAATTTGCAGGATTATGTGCAGATTGTTTCGTATGGAGGTTGTTTGCAGGAAACTGAAAATGGACCTTCGGCGCCGCCTCCGACGTCGGAACCATCGGACGGTACCAATTCGTCGGCAACGCAGGCAGCTACGGAATTATCAAAAAACCAGCCCAAGAGGTTGCACGTTTCGAACATTCCATTCAGATTTAGGGACCCGGATCTTAGAGCAATGTTCGGCGTAAGTCTATTGCATTTTAATCGATTCCGGGCGACCTTAAGGGGGGCACAAATACAAATTTAGCCCCCCCTATAGGCAAATGAATAAATCCTTCTTCATTATTGGTATTTCAGCTAGTATAGGTGGTCGTTTTATTGCAATTTGCAATGAATAATTCATTATAAATATTGAGGCTTTAGCCCCTTTGTACCTGATTACCTAACTCCCCACCTTGGTTATCTAATAATCGATCTGGTGCTGTATTTATTTTTGCGTTTTGGTTAATGATTCCATTGGCACGCATCAGGCGATATTGCCTGATTTCCGCTTATTAAGATTGAATTAGAAATTATTAGATCCCAGGATAAATTTAGCTGTGATGGAAATTCGCTGTTTAAAATATTATAAAATTAATCATACGTAACATATTTTTTCAATAATCATTATTTTGAAGTTTGTAACACGAAAACTGTTCCATGTGTTTCATATGGATGCTGTTTATTTATTCATAACTCGACGATTTACAAAAGATTTTTAGTTATTGTTGGAACTACAAAAAGCGCGGCATCTGTTTAAGATAAATTACAATATCAGAAAAGATATATTTCGACTCATTTATCTAATTAATAATCTTTTTTTCAGCAATTTGGCCCAATTTTAGATGTAGAAATAATTTTTAATGAACGAGGTTCCAAGGTATGTACATTTTTGTTTACTCTAAAATTAAATATCAATGAAATCAAAAAAAAAAAGTTTGAGCCAGCTATGTTGCTATTAAAAATCACGGTTATTGCGATTTCAATTTCGCCAATCAATCAAACCCTCTCCATTTCAACAACAGCCGATTCAATTTTTATGTGTAATTGTATTTTCTTTCGAAACATATACGCGGAAAAATGTTTTCTCTAACGTTGAGACATAGTCAGTGCTATTTTGGTTTTAGATTTATTGTTTAACATGCTTTGTTATACGCAGGGTTTTTAATAAAAGAAAATCGTATTTTCTGTTAGAATTTTTCGTGAATTCTTGTCTAATTAAATCGTTCATTAAAAATAATTGACTGTTAAATTGTTATTCAACATCACCTCGCTTTAATTTTGAGCTACACTTGAAAAAAATAAATTAATTATAGGAAAAACTTAATTATTTGGCAATATGCTTATTATTTTCTAATTATATAGTCGAAATATGACATATTTTAGTAAAAAAAAATATACAAAAAGTGAATTATAATTTTAACTGAAAAAAAATATCATTTTATGTACTTTTTCTTTTTATTTGAAAACCCTCGTACACGCTGTAATAACTTCAATTTATTTTTTGTACATGTACTTCTCGTCTTGATTATTATTATTCCTTTTTTTTTCTCGAAACTAATCTTTTGGCATCCTTCCATAATCTATTTGATCATCAGTTTGTTGTATGGCTATTTTTATTGTAAAACCCGTTAAGCGATCACTTGAGAGTAATATTACATTGTAGCTAACTCGTTTTATTATTTTAGTTGATTTGTCGTCTCTCGAGGGGGGTTATGGGACGCTTTAAAAGCTCAAACAGCACCCGACGAATTCGAAATGCGCCCTGCGTATCGATTTTCGTTCATTATTAATTATTAGCGTTCGAAATTGGTTTAGAATCGGAATTCGAATCGTAAATTTTACTCCCAATCAAAGTTTTAATATTCGAATGTAATTTCCTGTTGCGAATGGATTGTGCCTGTTGTATACTGCATTTTTCCTGTATAAAACTACACCGAAACGTCTCATCAGTTATCCTTGCAAATGAAGAAATTTCTGTCATGTTAATTACCTATCGAGTTAAACACGTTTGATTTTGATTAATATTTATTTAATTGAGTTAATTTGAATTAACGACCGTGGCTTGTCCCAAATAATTATTGCTAAATTTCAATTCGGAAATCTCTTTAATAACCGTTTATTTTTAAGTAAGTTGTAGAACGCAAATGAAAATAATATAATAGAAATGCTGTAAATCAGTCACACGTTCGCATTTCAATGAGTGTAAATAATTATTTCATTGATTTACTTGGCACCGAGACGTTATGTACGCGGTGTAGCCGGTATATAAATATAAATTTTAGATTTCACCGTTGTTATTTACTCGTAAATCTGTTTGTTATATGTGGAAGCGTTCGAGCTTTCCGGGGCTTTTTCAGCGTTTAATAACTACCCCTCTTTTCTGTAACAGTTAATGTTTAGAATTGATAGCAGCAAAGCTGAGGTAGGCTCTTTTGTCACCTGTTATTTATATTCAACAGTATTTACACGATGTAATTACTATTTACATTATTATAAGACGTGCATGAATACTATATATACAAATGTTTCTACTACGAAAATATTATATGAATTGAAAATTTGTGCAATTTGATGACATTATTAAAACAAATCGAATATGACATATGATGGCGTAGAAAAATTTTTGGTTAATTTTTCTTATTTTTATTTATTTATTCGTTCTTATTATTCTATATATAATGATTGTGCTGTAGAGGCTATTTCTCAGTTCGTCTGGTTTTTTATTGATATGTTCTGTCTAAACTTCATGTCCATCTCGCCGAATAACCGATGAAAAATTGTAACGGCACTGATGACAAATTTTTTCATCGAAATTTCACATTTTTTTCGAAGTGTCATTGCTGTTACTTTTTGGTTTCATGTGACTCGTTTCAACAGTTTTCGGCAAAAGAATTCTCGGTTAATTTTTTTTGTAAATGCATTTCGCCAAACTGTTGGAATCGACCTATTAGATTTAGCTTGTTTTCTAAAATGTTACAGATTTCTAGCGAAATGACTGAAAAGATTTGTGTTGGTTTCTAACGGTGGCTTTTGGGATGTTTGCTACATAATTATTTACTTTAGATGAAACTTTTAGAGGAGCTTTCTTGTTTTATGCATTGTGTTCAGAACTCGATTCGCTTATACATAGACTGAAAACTACTTTTATATACATTTTCTAGTGTAAACGTTGAAACTTTAACGCGAATGCTGAATTTATAACAACATTTTGCAACATTTGCTCGTAGAAATCCGTAAAGCATTGACTAGTAAATTGAAATCCATAAATATATAAAGTAGGTCTAATAAATAAACAACTTTGTGCCTGCGTAAAATACATTTTCAGTTAATTATAATCTGAACACTCTGTGTATGAGAAACACTTGCAGAAATTATACTACACGTAGAATTGAAACTTAAATATCACAATTTAACTGTATCGAAAGAGACGACCGAATTATAATCGATTTCAACTACAAAAAATACAAGGATGTACCGCCGGTGCTTTAGTAGAATTCAAATTACTATATTGAAACAATTCAATCATCTCATTAGGTATTTACAATTCTATACAATGGGCATCGGCGGCTTTTCCCTTTGAATTTAGGGTTGAAATCTTCTATACGTGCATGCGATTTCACATCTAACCGATTAGTTTTATTTTTCGATTTTTCTGTTGATTGCTTTTATTTTGGTTTTTTTTATTTCAACTGGAATTGTTTGCTTGATGTGTTCCTCGCTTTTCTATTTATTTCGTAAGATGTGTTCGTATAAATCGCGATGTTCGGTCCAATTGAGTCGAATACAACCGGGTAATGTTGATGGCCTTAATGAAAAATTAATTTATGTTATCTACTATTAATTATAGTATTGTAATACTGCGTGCAGTAGCGATGTTGTTTTTGTAACAACTGGGTAGGATTAGTGGTGAAACGACGTAATTTATTTTTATTGGCAAAGCGATCATTAGATTTAAATTATCTATATCGATTAAATGCGAGTTTATTCGAGTGAGTTTAAACAGAAATAGGCATTTTATGTTTCACAGACCATATTTTGTTTCGAGCAATATTTCACCGTTTGTTGGATTCGTTGATAAATTTTGTTTCATTTGGAAATTTTTCATTGAATTAGAGTTATGTTTTGCTCAATATGGTATACAGTCAACTGTGGTAATTCTTCAATTAGCAGATAAACTATTTAATTCAGCTCGTTAACTAAATAGTAATTGTTGTGAAATTCCGATAGTGTTTGATTTCATTTGATTTCACGCAGTTCAATTGCTCAGGCTGAAAATGGAGAATTATTTATCGAGTTGTATTCGGCTCATCGTAATTATAACCTCTCAAAAAATTTATAAGTGGATTTGATAATTTTCAATACAAACGGCATTTTTAATGTGCATTCAGAAAGTAAAGATGGTGCAAATTTGTGCAGTAAATTAATATGAAATTAAGGAATAATGCAGGAATATTTTATTATTTCAAAAATAAATTTATACCCAATTTACCTTACTTAAAATTTATTTTTTAGGTATTAAAGCAAAGTGATTTTTTGAAATCTTTACTATCTGTATGTATTGTTGATTTATTTCGACAAAAGGACTTAATTTTATAATTTTCATTTACCATTCGAGTTTAGGCATTTTGTGAAGTCTGATATAAATATTTGTTCTGTACTTACTGTATGTCTAAAGTGTGAAATTTGAAATCGATGCATATCTACATTTAATGAAGAAAACATCCCAAAATTTGTTAAAAACCAATTAAACCAATCTCAATATATTATACATAACACAAGTTCCATGCGTTCAATATCTTTTAGAACAAGACGAGTAAAAGTATCAAAAATGGAGTCATAAATTATTCCCATTGATAAAAGTAGGTTGATGTATAAGCAAAATCTAGCTCAAATTTCAATTTTTTTTAATTTATCGATTTTGTTTCTCATAAATTTCCTCCTAATCAATATCCAAATCAAGTTATCTGTTTTATCTCATCTATTATCACAAACTGTCATTTGTCAAAATAATTATTGCCAAATCACGAACCTTATTGACAATAATGACATTTGACTTACGAATTAATAATAATTAATCGACTCTTTAAAGTCGTGTTCGTATCGAAATTACCTCTTGAAGGATTTCCGTTGAAAGTTTTTTTGGTTTCGAGATGGATATGAGTTGAAGGCGGCGTGTTGGTAGTGTAAATAGTTAGGCGCACTCGACGAATGCCGCCATATTGTGCCACTACTTTTTTGAGAGGCTTAACAGTGTAAACGTAGTCTAACCCGAGACTAGTTGGTCGTGCGGAATGAGGCTTCTAGAAAACGACAAAAAAAAATATAGACAGAAATAAATATATAAAAACAAACACAACCCTAATAGCACATCATGGTCCAATGGAGACTGTTTAGACGTCACGCGTATACCCGGAAAAACGAGCGAAAGCCGAAGCGCCTTCCATTGGACTTTTTGTGCTAGTAAAAAACGTTCATTTTATTTTCAGATTTTTGTACGAACTAAACGCGGATGAATTATTTAGGCGCGTCGTTTACTTTGATAAGGTAGTGACTAATTAATTCGCATTTAACTTTTAACTGAGAAGCTCATTTCCATTACTTCCTTTTGCGCTAACTTATTAGCAGAAGGACGGACAATAACACGATTGAATTCATTAATTTATTTTTGGGAGAAATAACACCGTAATAAATCAGTCCATTTTATTCTGCTAAATTTTTAATTCGAAATTTATTAGGTTTTAAAATGTTTATACTAATTATTATAATTGAAATTGTTCGTCGAAAATATTTTAAGAAATTTTATTAACGGTGTTTTGTTGGTAAATTTTACTTTTAACAGTTTTTTTTTATCAATGAAACATCCTGTATCAGAGCTTTGACAAGCTTGCGTGAAGTACGTGCGTTGACATACGTCAATTGTGACATTTGACATGTGTCAAAATAGCGTAACGTAATTTTGACGTAAGTTTGTTGTAAGTTCATTAGATTTCTGGGTGTTCCGTGTAAACTAAACGGTATTTACGGACGCGTTGTGTGCTATTAGGGCCGGCAAACGAAAACCAATGGCATGCGTCTTTTTACGAAACGAATTGTCTAACGTCATCATGTCATTGCACGAGTTTGAGAAGCTGTTTATAATGCATGTCTTGTCTGTCTTTGCATGCAGGGTTTCGGTTTTGTAACATTCGCAAATAGTGCTGATGCGGAGCGCGCACGAGACCGACTACATGGCACCGTGGTTGAGGGAAGAAAAATAGAGGTGTGCATGATTATTATTCATTTTATTTTCCTGTTCTCCCGTCTTATGAGTAACAAGCGCGGTTGCAGTTTTCTCGACGATTGTACGAAAGAATTCAACGATCGGTTTTGGTCGTTGGAAAAATCGAACATTCGAATTACTCGCCGTTTGTGCAACGGAAACGTTGAGTTTTTCGTACAACGATCGCACGTACGAAACGTTTTTTATTATATATTCGCAAAATGTTGCTCATAAAATCGGAACAGTTTCTAGCTATCTACGTGTAGCACTGGCCTGTCCCGTCCCTCCCCGGTAAAAAAAGGTCAAAACCCCGTGTGACTGGCTTGCTGGCTTTAGTGACTAACCGGTAGCACACCATTCCCTTGCTTCACACGTGTTGTTTTGACGTTCTTTTGCCGCACACACTTGTCAGATTATGTTTTACTTATATATTTTTTTTTAATTTGATTCAAACAAAACATTTTTATATATCCGTCGTATCGAGGAAATTTGCTAACCGATTCGGGCTGGAATGTCGTGTTAAGTTGAACGAATTGCCGATTTCAATTGCGATAGAGATGTGTTGCAGTTGAAGAAAACCGGAGTGATTTTCTTCCTCTGCTGCAATATCGTCTCACCCTGTTTTTTTTTGATATATTGTGAAGATGAATTTGTACTTGGCTAACACATGAATTTTTTTGTTTAAATTCTATTAAGTATTAAATCGAGATTGTCCAGGACTATTTTTAAATTTTTCACTTAACTATTCGTACCAGGGGATTTAAATGATTGATATTTTTTTATGAAGTGAGCGATAAATGATAGAGTAATGGAGTAATATGGGTCGTATAATCTATAAGAGATAGAGATTTATTCTACAAAAAGAGTCAATTATCTACTTAAGAGAGGCATTTATGGAGCAACATTTTTACTTCATAAAAAATTGTTAATCATTTAGAGTCACTTGGTGTACTGAAAAACTGGAGTAATCACGAATTTAAGATGATTATCAAGAAATTAATTTTACTTTTAGAATGCTAAAATTCAAATACTTTAGAAGAATCAGATAACATTTCAATATGATATTAATTATGATGATGGGTAAAGAATTTGTCTTTGTTTAGGTGATTTCGATAAATTTGTTATTGTTAATAAAGAAAACGGGGAAATTATATGATATTTTGTGTTATAGCCAAGTGAATTTTGGGTACGGTATCAGTCAAAGAAAATGCATTTTCAAAATTTTGTAAATAAAATCGGGATACCCGACGTTAAAAGAACAATTGTAAAATTAATCGAACGAAGTTGAATACGAATTTAGAAGGCTTAGTTTACTGGTCTCGACTATTTTTGTGCTAACTGGCAAAGACATCACACAAGCTTCTTAATATTTAAGTACATAGTTTGTCTCCCGAACATCCAATATTATATGTTAGTTTTTACAGCATACTTAGATATCTATTAACAGTATTTTTTCGGAATATGAAAATTTGCTTTTGTTCACTACAAGTAGTTTTAATTTTTCTCAATGTTGACGGCATTTTCATGTGTGGACATTGACATTGAGCACTAAACAACGCTATTGGCATGGTAGATGTATGTTTTGATTTATATTGAACCTTCGTTCCTTCAATTGTTTAGCTTTTGATGCATTTCATAGGTTGGTTTTATATTTATTTTCGACCGATACGGAAACCTATATGTGTACCTTCGATTCATCGAACTGATAAATAACTGCGATTCAGCCCTTACGAAACTGTTACAATCAATTTGAGTTGGCAATTCTCGACTTAATCTGATCATTCCATCGATGATAGCAACTTGGACATTTCTAGGTGCATTCTAATGATTATACGAGATTATTCAATAATATGCCAATCGTTTTTTTTTTGACATCTGTTAAATTAATATCTATATTTTCAACATCCTTAATAATATTAATAACAGAATTAAAAATATAAATCATTAAATTAAGATATAGGTACACATTTTTTTACATTTGCTACATTTTGCAAAAAAATACAACTATTACTACAAATATATTTGATATCTAGTAATATTTAATGCCTAATTACACTGAACATACTTTTTTTTTGGCTACAGCTCGACAGGAATAGCAGTAAACGTGACCTGCGCAAGTTCATATAACACTAAAATAGCACCTGTAAATTATTGCGCATCTTTATGCTAGTATCAAGTCGATTTTACAAAAAAATTAAATATTAAAAACAAAACAGTTGTCAAATAAATACTCTAAACCCCAAACCGTAAACCATTAGAATGCGCCCCAAACCTAACGAAATTTAACTACATTTATTTTCCGTGTTAAACAAAAGCGAAAAGTTCAATGCCGCGAAGCGAGCCTTCGCAAATAACAAAACAATACAAAAAAAAAACAAGAAATTCGAAATGACCTCTATTATCTCCAATTTGTTATACGTTGTCCCTCTAGAACGTATCGGGGCCAAAACACTAAAATTTGGCAAAGATGACACACGGTAGATCCGAAATCCCCTCCCGATCTCCCCGCTACTCGGCCCGCCGAGGAGGTAAGTGGGTAAGGCCAGGGAGGCGGCGCCACATTCACCGACACACCGCCGGCAGGTCGACTGTGGCGCCGTCCCAAGCCACCTATACCGACCGAAAAGTTAGGTTAAGTGGCCTTTAAATTTACGAAACCTTAGATTAGATATCGAACGGGGTCTTCTTGGACGCACCGTTCAGTTGGACTCGGTCCAGGAAGGTCCTTGTGGAGATCATTTTGGCCACGTTGGAGTTACTCGAAATGCTGATTTTTTCAGATATATTGAGTTTTTAATTGGTTTATTATCGATAATAAGATGCGTTTCGAGTGGTTTTAACGTGTGAAAACGACTATTTTCTGTTTGTGTTACTAATTCCTAATCGATTATTGGATTTATTTAGTTATTTTCATATACAATATTGCTACGATAAATTTATCAAGAACGGCTTTTTTTAGGGGGGGACTTTATGTTGCTTAGGGTAATATGTGATTTATTTTCTTTAATATGAGGCGTTCAGTGCTAAAGTGGATCAAGTCTATAAATAATAAAGTTAATATCCTGGAAAAACTTAAATCTCGCCTCAACTTTCATGATTGCTAACTTCGAATTTATCCTACTTATTTTCATGTTCTCACTAAAAGACTTCTTGATACTTTTTATTGATTAAAAAAACTTCTTTTCATATACTGCTGTAAAAAAAAACCTAATGTGCATAATAGAACATGGTCGTTTGTTTAATTGTTATAGCTGTTTTTTAGTAATAAACAAATTTGTAATTAACCTACACACAAACACATTTCAAACTGCATATAAATATGGAAATAATCTTACCAAAAAGCAACTATAATTAAATTAATGTGTCATAGCAAAATGTTATAATTTATATACTACATTCAAAAAAAAAGTTTATATCCCACATTTTTTACTACGAAATCCTATAAAACCGACGAATTTACTATGACACAACGGAGTTCCTAAAAGTGTTTATAACATTGTGAAAGTTTCGGTAGCGGTTCCATTATTTGCGAAACACTTTTTTATATTTTCCACCGCGCTTGATATATTATCGAACCAGAAATACTTCTCAGATTATTGGCTTTTGTGTTACCTCGTAAATTCTATATTTTGGCAGCCGTTCAAACTATTAATAAAACCTGTTTATAAAAGAGCCTCAAAAGTTGATGTCGAAGAGCTCGGGGGCCACTCGCGTTTTCGATAGATTCCCAGCGAAGCGCTACCGGATTTTCTCGCAAGACGACACGCTCATGTAAACCGAGTTCATATTATCCTGTTGAAAGACTCGAGAGGATTTTTACGAACGTTTTTTTTTAGTGTAGCTAATTAAATTTTTACTTCATTTCTGAATTTATAGTTCTGTTTATAAGCTTGTAAAATTTTGTTTATTAAAAGAGTTGTTTTCAAAATATTTTCGAATATATAGAGTGATTCTAAAAAGTGTAACAATTTTTTATATCAAGTATTAAAAAAAATATAAGTATTTTTTTATTTATTTTAGTGATGGCTAGTATGAACTCGGTGTAGATATTAGTGTAATCTAAGACGGGATTTCCTGTAATTTCCCGTTAATATCTGATGAAGGCACTTTTCTTTTCGAGATCGATTTAGATAAGAGAAGAGTGGTTTTATCGGATCGAGCGAAAAATCGCGAAATAACATTCTGTTTTTTTTGTTTGAAAATGTAGGTTAATAATGCAACTGCTAGAGTACAAACGAAGAAACCTCCGGCTCTACCCGCAGGTCAGTAAAAGTTAATGGGCCTTCTTAATTATGTGGGTATAGTGTGTATACTTTCCCTTTCACAAAATTGACCGAAATTGGTTATTTAACCGAGGAAGTCGATCTTGTATTGACACAGTTGCTGAAACAGCAATCCGATAGTAAATTTGTAAAATCGGAATTGTTTTCCATATATTAACAAAATTTTCTAGTGACTAAATAGTTTTAATGTTTTCTACTAATTTAGATATCTTGACACATATTTTTGGTTTTCTTGATATAGTGCATTCAAAAATTATTGGTATTAAACTCATTTTTATTTGAAAGTAATAAATTTACCCCACAAATATTTTCCTAATGATAATTCTAAGATTTTTCTAGTTATTTAGAAAATTTATAAGCTTTCTTTCGAGTTATTAATAGTTCTTAGTCATTTATAAATCTCATTTAACATTCTATTTTACTCCTCAAATTTCCTCATCTTTCAAAACCAATTTTTATCCATCATTTACATCTCTAATTTTTTCTATTATTTCACATTATCTTCATCAATTCTCTAACTATATTTCCACTCTCCAGTGCCGGTAATCCAATGGTCAGACGCGACTTTGAGGGCGGGAGTGGCGGCGATCCAGCGCGGCCGAGCAAGGGCGGCTTACCCGGCAGCGGCGGCGGCGGCGGCGGCCGCCGCCTTCGCCCGGCATCCCGCCCCACTGACGGCGGGCGCCCTGCACGGCTACACGCCCGTCATAAACACCCTGCCGATGGACGGAAGCGTCTATTACGATCCATTCCTGACGGCCCATCCAGCCGATCCCAATTACACCAGATTGCAGGTAAGGTTCCTTCTTTAATCGGAATTTATTCGACAGCTTCGCGGCTATCGGGATAACGAGCGATAATACAGGGTGTCCCAATGAAAAGTAGCCTCTTTAATGAGCTAATAATTTTTAAACGCCATTATAAAATATATCTGAAAAAACCGCGTGTTTTTATGATTATTCGTTTACACATTACAAGCTCAACAAAGGGGCTACTTTTCATTGGGACACCCTGTATAGCGATGTTATCGCGTGCTAGTACTCTGGTATATATTTTTAAAGGAATCGTTTCTAAATATTTTGAAGGAAAATGTAAGATTCCGTTTATTTATTTATTTATAGATGATAAATGGGCTTGTTAAAAAATGTATAGAAATTCGTACATGTTTTAAATTTCTTTCAGGAATAAGAAAATAAAAAAAACAGTTGAGATTATTGCAGTAATATTATCTAATTATGAGTTTGATTCATCGATTTTATCGCTTGCATTGGAGATATTTAAAGAAGATATATTTTTATTTGAACCGAAGCGAATAGCGTGTTTTACTATGAATTATTTATTTATTTCGGAGTTAATAATTAACAAGATGATAATATTTTTGTATGACTTATTTATATGAATAAACGATCGAGTCCATTTAGTTTCTCCGAGAATCGCTAAAACAACTTTCTCCGATTTAAAACCGACGAATTATAAACATCGAAAAAATCGTATAGCGTTATAAATCTCGCTTGAAATTACCCTATTTCGAATTTGCTCATAATTTACTCTTTAACTAACGTGCTATGCAGGTATTGACAGCTCGCTACCATTTTTATAGCTCATAATTAGCCTTTAATGACAGGATAGAAAAAATGTACTCAGGAAAAACAACTTGTTTCTTATTAACTTTTTAACGGAGCTTTTCCTCTTGTAATGGATTTAATTCGATAATGCTCAGTCATGTTTTATTCATTTCTATTAGAATTTTGGAGCATTATATGTAGAACTTCAGTTAGTATTTTTACTATCTTGGTGTATTGGTTAATTATGGTTATTCCAATAGAGTATTTTAGCCAATTCAGTAAACATTTCATTATTGATATCTTCATGTTTGGTTCTCAAGACTCAACTAAATTAGAAAGTTAAAGTTATCAATCCTTGTTCCATCCAAATTAGATTGAACAGTTCGATACCCAATTCCCACCATCACAGTAAGTACCCACCTCCCTTAAACCGCTCAAAATCCAACATCTTAATAAAACACATTACAAAAACCTTGCGAGTTCTAACTAACTGACGGCCTCTTACCTCGTTTTTAGGCAGCAGCAGCGGCAGCCGCGGCGACGCCGCTCCTGAAAACGCCGCTGTCGACCGCCCAGCAGGCCAGCTACGCCGCCGCCGCCACCTACACCGCGGTGGCGGCGAGATACGGCGCGGCGGCGGCGGCCCAGCCGGTCGCCGGCTACGCGGCCGTCGCCGGCTACGGCAGGGACTACGCGGATCCGTATTTGGGCGCCGGCATCGGCCCCATGGCCGGATACGGGGTGAGTCAATCTATCACTTTTTCTAGTAGAAAAAATGTTTGTACTTGAGTAGCTCTCGACGCTCATGGATCGTTGAAAAAACATGCTAAAAACCAGGATAACTTAATAAGGGGGTAGCGACTTTATAGAAGAGGGTGACTGAGGTAAGGGTAACGCAGAAGTCAAATTAGGTTGGCAACAAACACTTCAAACAGTGACAAAAGTGTCACATTAGAACTGTTGGCTAACCTTTTTAATGAATTTGAATTCAAAAATGGTTCCTAAGGTTGTGTTTTGAACATTTATAATTGCTTTTCTATGTGCGTTGTGTGTTATTTGAATTTTATTTATAAACGAAGAGAAAGATATTGGCTTTTCATCGTTTACATGAACTGTACAATTTAAATTTTCGCGCCAGACTGACGTTTGTACGTCATACTTTTCATACGTCACTAAAATGGAACCCTCTTCCACCTCGAAATGCCTTTACCCCCTTATTAAATTATCCTGCTAAAAACGTTTATACAATAACCTATTATACACTTATTTTCTATTAGTTTTACTCTATTACTATTGCTCTATTACTATACTATTACTCTATTACCATTTAACTACCAATCTAGTACCATTACTGTCACTATTACATTACACTACACTACTCTGATACTCTATTACTATTACCTACTCTGTCGCTATTACACTATTTATTACTCTCACAGTAATTACAGAGTAATTATTACTATTAGCAGAAATTTCACTTCTTGCAAGTGTGTTAATCGAGTTAAATAATTAATTTTTTTGTTATTTTTTTTTTCAGGCCGCTGTGTATCGTAGCGGTTACAACCGCTTCACGCCCTACTGAACATATCAGCAGCTCCGTAAGGCCTAAGCAACCTAAATACTCAAAAAAAAAACAAATAAGGATAACAAAACTATTCGTTAATAATTGTCTTGTGTTACGTAGCACAATGCAGCACAAACAAACTATGATTTTATGGATTCAAACAATACAAGAAGCCAAAGAGCTGAATAATATAATAAATAAACAAAAAAAACAAGTAAAGAACTCACACTAACGTATAAAGCCCATGTGATAGCCCGACAAAAGCTAACCCAGCTCTCTAACGTTTAAGCATTAGTAATTTTTTTTTCGTTTTTGTACGGAACTCGGCGTTTCCGTTCGCTTGTACTCGACTCGTATAATTGTATTGTTAAGTGGACCACTCGGTGCTTAATTGGACCACGAAATTTTGAGCTTTACCTTTGAGAAAATCCCCACCGAAACCGAGGATCGTTTGTTAACGATGAATCTCGTCATAATCCCGGTGTCGTTTGAACAAAACTAAACGAATACTCCTTGATATTATTTATTTCTCTGCGGTAGATACAAATTCGCAGTGGCTCAATGACGATTCTCGGTTTCATTGGGGGTTTTCTGTTGTGGTGATGGAGGGGATTATACGAGATAAGGGTAGGCAACCCGTTCTGCAGCACTCTCGCCTCCAACGGGGTGTTCTAATCCTCTCCGTCGACGCGCTGAATTGTCTGGAAAATTAGCGGAAACACCTTGTATAATTGTATTCCCGTTAAATTCGTCGGAAACGGATCATTTATTAAGCGTAGAATAGATGATGTTAATTCTTTTTGTAGCGATTAGCTGAAATTGTAGCGAACGATTTGTTAGATAATTAGTAAAACGTATTGCTATTTCGAATCGTCTTGACTTATTTATTTTATGTTAAAAGTTTTTAAGCACATTTATGACAAAAATTTGAGTAAGCTGCAACTTGAAGTGATATATGAAAAAGAGTTCAATACTTTTGTATGATAAATCCGTTCAAAATTTTGTTCAATATCTTGTTTTGAATACAGGGTGTCCACAAAACTATTTGAAGAATTCATCTTGTTAATACTGTAGAGAATAAAGCATAATTTGCACGTAAGAAGAGTAGGTTGTGATAAAATATTTTGGAGACACCCTGTATTTACAATGATATACCTGGAGGTCTTCCTAAGTTTTCGTTGTCTTCCAGTGCATTCTTCAGGTGCTTGACACGAGGAAATTCTCGAGTGTAATTTTCGTTCGAATTAACTATTTTTTTATTAATTATTTTATTATTTTTGTCGAAAATATTGGGCTCTTATTAATTCGTGTATTTTGAAATCCACATCACTTGACATACTGTTTATGTACCAGCCTTTTTTATAATTTTATTTGGAGCCTTTGTCGGTAAATAGTTAGTAGTAATCTTTTTCTTCGTCTATATACTAACGTTTTATTCTATTCTATACGATCGTGAATACTCGATTGATCTAAAAACAAAAAACACGCGAGGAATCCTCTTCCTCCGCATTGTAAAAACCACAAGAATACTCTTCACTAATGATATTTCCCTTCGAATTAGACGTAACTAATTTAAATAATGTTAGAAAAGGTGCTATCCAGATCGATTGAGCAACCAATTCATCTATCGATTCTGCGAAGCTGTACAGTTTACCAAAGGTTACAAGTAAAAAGTTTACATCAAGTGTAATTTATAAGACACATTAACGAAATACTCTTTGCTTATTTGTGCTATATTTGCCACAAAGCCATATTTATTTTCACGGACACAGTCTCAAATCGATTACCATAGAATCGATTGTTCGCAAAATTATTCGTTATTTCAACGAAACAATAGACAAAAAATTAAACCTCTGTACGTAAATATGATTTTCACTGCCTAATCATCACTGTAAAATTCTCATTTGGTCGACTAACAATTAATAGACAGAATAATTTGTCGACTTACAGTTAGTAGACAGAACAATTGAGAATAAACAGTTAATTTACAGGACTTGATTTTGTTACGAAATTAACAGTGCCAAATGATTTGCGAATATATTTATTTCTATATTAATCAATTTGATGTTGTTTTCAAGTTATGGTCAGTAATTAAGTTTGTTTTATTTTTAGAATTACGTTAGAATCACAACAAAGACATTGATATTATGAATGAATTTAGTTTTAGTTGTTAAGTATACATTTACACTCTGACTGGTAGACGTAACGTTTATTGTAATATATTTTCTATATGTAGTTATTAAAATTCGTCGAGTACGAGTGGAATGGAAGCGAATTTTCGTTTTTTTCTTTTTTCATTAGTGTTTAATTGTAATTGTAATTTTGTTTTCGATTTATGATCTATTTTGATACTCTTAATTTTAGGTAGACGGTTAAAGTCTGCATTACATATCGACTATACAGTTAGCTCTCTAGATATGTACAGATCTTTCGTTTTCAGCAATTCGTTTATATAATATACATATTATATATATTTTTTGTGAAGTTGACGGATGTATTTTCGCATAATTTTCATCGATTTTTTTAGATATTCTCTTATTTATCAACTCGAAATTTTTATTGGAATATTAAAATCAAGTGTTCTTTATTTTAAATCGATTGTATTTGTTCGTTATTGTTACAAATTCGCTGGAAATGCATCCCACCGATTGAAGCCAATATTTCTCTAGTCGCTGTATATATCCCATACACGTACAAATCATCCCATCTACTTGTTCTATTGGTTGTGTTTAAATCGTTTGTCACGTTTCTCGTAGATGGGCAACTGATGAGAATCGGAGAAGAGGTCGATTACAATTGATTTTTCCAAGCGATCTTTGGCGCACGAGGAAGATTTTCATTGTATTATTGCCATTCCCGTTAGTATTAGTACGAAATTCGTTTTTCATTTACCTCTATTTCATTAAACACCTTGTACATTTGAACTTTACCTGACGGTAACCTCTTCACTTCAATAGATTTTATTTTGAATATTCCTCCACCGATTTCTATACCATCTGGCCACGACTTCTCTTTGTATTCGGAGACATTTTAGATCTTTTATACAGTTAAGTGGAAAAAGTTTCAAAGCACAAATATAATGTTACATGTATGCAGTTGTTATTTTTACGTTCCACGGTTTATTTGAAGTTAACAGATTTCCTTTCAGGTGATACGAGTGGTGATTGTGTATGTGGCAATTAAAATGAAATAAAGAAATTGATAAGGCATTTGGTATTTTATTGTTCGTAAATGATCATCTTTTTAGATATTACTAGGTGAAGGTGAAGTGTTTTGAAAACCGATTTTTAATATCTATTTATTGCGTATCACATTAATACAAAAAATATATAAATACAATAGGTAAAAAATCTAATTTAATTACATCTAATAAGTTGAGCTAAAGTAATTAAGTCTTATTTTCGAACAGTTTTGCGGCAGTATTTACAAAAGACTTATTTACAAAAATAGTTTACGACGACGTTGAATTGAGTATTATTGAGTATTATAAATTGACGAATTCGAACACATTCGATGTTTGCTTCAATGCTTTCACTGGTAAGTACTAAATAAAATTGTTGATTGGTTAAATTTTATGCAAAAAACTCTAAATAAACTAATGAAAAGATAAATCAGTACTTTTGCCATGAAGAAAACAAGATAAAATATAATTTCTAAATATCTCTAATAAATAAATTTTAAAATATATCGATGAATCAAAAAGCACGTTTTAGCTAGTATCTGGAACTTTATCCTGAAAAATTCTCACAATTCCTTCCTGATACCCCATTCTATGTTAAAAATTTTTATCACCAACAGAGTAAAACACGATAATCAGGCGTCTTATTACATCCTTACTTAACAGCAATCACAGCTCCCAAAAATCAGACACCTCGTATACAGTCTTATCGAATAACCCACTCGAATAACACCACTCATCACATCCTGCTGTTGTTACCCAACCAACTACCGTTGCTCCCTCTCGGGTGCATCGGCAGCGAATTCCTGCTGCCGTATATCTCATCCTCGGCGTAGGCCTTGTTCACGTGCCCGTTCTCGAAGATCTCCTTCGCCGGTATGCTGCTCGCCACGCTGCTCCTGTGCGTCCTCTGCACGTTGTTGTTGGTCGCGTTGAACTCGTTCTTCGCCCCCAACGTTTGCATGTGCGATTTCCTGCGCTCCGCCATCACCGAATTGATGCGCACCTCCAGCGCTTTCATCGTCTCCCTGCGCATCGTCATCCGCCTGCTCAGCACCGGCGTTCCTGAAACCCGACAGATGGAGTTAGAAGCCGATTAATGCACTTTGAATCATCGGGGAGTCAATATGCTTGTTATTAGTGGAGCTTTAGATGCAATGAGGAGTCGACAGATGTTATTAATCGAGTTGAAGCTGGAGTTTGGAACAATGGAGAGTCGATAGTTGTTAGTAGTTGAGTTGAAGCAGAAAATGGGGAGCCAGTACGGGTTACTAATGGACTGAAATCCAACAGTTTGAATGATTGGACAGTCAATGCTTGTTATTAATGGAGTTAAAGCTTGCTTTAGATGCAATGAGGAGTCGACAGATGTTATTAATCGAGTTGAAGCTGGAGTTTGGAACAATGGAGAGTCGATAGTTGTTAGTAGTTGAGTTAAAGCAGAAGTTGTGAGGTCAGTACATGTTACTAATGAAGTTGAAGCTTGCTTTAGATGCAATGAGGAGTCAACAGATGTTAGTAATCGAATCGGAGCTGGAGTTGTGAACAATGGAGAGTCCATAGTTACTCGTTTAGTAATCGAATTGAAGCCGAGTTTAGAAGTCCATGGGAGTCGATACTTGTTATTAATAGAGTTGAAACTGATGTAAGGAACAACGAGGAGTCTTTAAGTGTTGATAATAGAGTTGAAGGTTGCGTTACCTCCGTCGGGATTGGCGTTCAGTTTGGCGAAGCGCTTCTTGAAGGCGACGTCGAGGGTGCCGATTTGGCGCTTCTTCTGGGCCGCCTTCTCCAGGTTGTGGATGGTTTTCCTGCGGCCGATTCGGTCGGGTCCCGAGCCGGAGTCGTTGTCGTAGTCGCCGTCGATGCCTTGGAGCCGTTGGAGTTGCTTGACTATCTCCACGGCCTGTTTGTCCAGCAGGGCGTTCGGGGACATTTCTTCCTTCTGAAGCGGAGAGATTTTTTAGAGCGGTCGGGGGCGATTGGGGTGTTAGATGGGTTACCTTTTTGGTGCAAGACCAGTCGAGCTCGGTGGAGGAGAGTATGTGGGCCAAGGTGCCGAATCTGTGGAACAACATGGCAACGAATTGGATGACGATGATCAAGGCGAAGAAGAAGACGAACACCAGACCGATGGGTTCCAGTTGGAGGTACTCTTTCGAGATGTGAACCTAAAAGAAATTCAACAAATGCAATTGGTATTGAATACAAGGTTTTGGTGTATTAAAAACTCGATTATTTCGGATTATTCGAAACTTTCCGATCGGAAATAATCGATTTTCTTAATTATTTATTATAAACATAAAACATGCATATTTCACAAAAGTCGCTTAATTTAGGTATAAAAAATAATTAAGCGAATTTTGTCAATATGAATTACATACATTTAGTAATATGCGTTATTAACACATACATAGATAGAAATAGGAGAAAAGAGGAAACCCATATGGTTTAAGGAATTTTTTAATATACCTCATGAATTTTTTATTCACTTTTTGCACTCATTTTTCAATCGATTAAACGTAATTTATAGTCCAAATAAAATTAACAAATAAATGACTGAAATGATGATAATGAAAGGAATATGTAAAAGCATAGAATTGAAAGAAATTTAAGCAATATGATTAATTTTTTCTTTATTATGAGAATAATTTTGAAATTTATAACTAGCTAATTTAATGAAAAAACTAAAATGCAACGCAAAAGGAATAGGAAAATAGAAGCAATTTAGACAGATTCAATCAATTCGAAATACAATCTAATCCTTCACAATTCTTCATTGTATTCACTTTTAGAGAAAGTGCTCTTGTAATATCTCAATTTACAATTCTTCTCTTTCATCTTGTCTTCATATTCCTTGGAAAAATTCTCTTATGATTGAATCTGCCTAATTTCCTCGATTTATCTAAAAAGATGACTTGCAAAGGTATATTTAAGGTTCGAAACTAAATGAGCGAAGAAATCGGAGGAAATGGACAAAAAAATAGATGGCAGTTAGTAAGGATGCAATGAAATGTGCGTTAGTAAAATCTTTCTGATTTATTTGTTAATTAGTAAAACATCACAAAAAAATCGGTGATAATAATGTACAACGTGCTATACCCGATAAGTTTTAATGTTGCCTTTCCTCGTATTGATTTTTAGTGAAACGAACAGTATTCAAATGTGTGGACGTTTTTGAAAGTTTCGTGGCTTATGTGTGTTTATAGAGTTGTTACGATAACAAACATAATTTGCTTAATAAAGAAAGTGTATTAATTACAAGTTTCCAGTAATATATGCTTCCGAACGTTGCTTTAGTCCACGGTGAACAAGTAGATTTCCAGCAATTAGCAACTCCTTTAATAGCTACAATTATCAGAGTAAACTTGCAGGTATAATAGCTACAATTATCCGATAAGTAACCACGACTAGAATTTATCAATGTTTGCTCAAACCATAAGATAACTAAGCCTAACTTTTAGTTCTAAATCTGAGGAACTAATTTCACAAATGAGTCAATAGTAGTACTCGTCGTGGTAATCTCTAGAACTATTAATCCTTTAGGTGTTTGCAACTGGCTTGTATTACCGATGGATTAAAGCATTGTGTTAAAGAAAACAATAATACGGTAGGTAAGTCCCATGCCAAAGAGACTCATTAGTATCCTGTTCCCGAGCAGAAGGCTCACATTAAAAATCCTTCAAATACCTCTGAGGTTTCCTCAACAAACGTAATATTAGTTCGAACTCCTAAAGGCCACTTTACGTGGATCTGATCCTTATTGAGTTGAAGCAGAAACACGCCTAACACGAATAAAGCATTAAACATGAGGAAAGCAAAGACGGACTTGTTCCTTAGTTCGATTAAGTCCTTTGCTATCCTTTCCTGTAAAAATTTCAACAAACTATTAAATAGAGCCCCAAGACGCGGGTCACGCGGATCCTTGCTGGTAACGAATCTGTATAGGAAAAGAAGTCCAATCGACCAAGAAAGATGCCGCGATTCCCGCTTTAATTACCTCTTGCGTCGTTTCGTCGTATGTGATATTAGTGCGCACTCCGAACGGCCATTTGATATGCAGGTAGTCTTTTTTCAGGGTCAGCAAAAATACAATTAACACAAACAGTGCATTCATCATAAAGAACGCGAACACCGATTGGTCTCTTAGCTCCTTCAGATCGGCTGCTATTCGGGCCTATAACGATTCGCAAATAAACGTTAACAACAAATTACTGAGTTTTAATAAACGCTGAAACCAAAATAATTGATGCAAGCGTTGGTTCAAAGGCCTCAGATATTTATTTGGTGCGTAAGAAAAGCAGCCATCATTTTTTTATTGTTTATAATACTCTTCAATCCAAAATGGCTGCTTTTCCTCGTCACTACTATCACACTTAATCCATCAACACCCGTTACCTTCTCCTCTTTGTTCTCATCCAAAGGATATAGATACTTCTCCAAGAGGTCCTTCCAGAATTGCAATTCGTTGCTGCTGAGATACTCCACTTCGCCTTTGCCTACATCAGGATCTTCTATCCAGTACGGATTGACTAAATCGTCCCGTTTGTTTTGCGGCGAAATCGAAGCAGTCTCATCGTCTGATCCGTCTGAGGATTCTTCTTCCTCGTTGACGGGTCTCAGGTGATCTCCATGACGGGAGGAAGAAGACATGCTTCGCTTCCTCGAGTGGTGACCGGCCGGGTCTATTGCTCTGCAAAGTCAATCTGATTGTTTACTAGATTTCCTTCAAGCTGTTGTAACTTACCTTTCGATATTGTCCAATCGTTTGGACAAACTATCCAGGGAATCGGCTATATGTATCAGTTGCGCCTTATCATCTCCAGCTTTTTGGTGCGTGCACAGCATGCACCTGAACAGTCCCGCTAGAGATATTTCAATGCTGCCTTCGTCGTCGTTGTTTATGCCGCCGTTTTGCAGGAAGCCCAGCAGGGATTTCTGCTTCACGTTCTTCTTGGCCTCTTCGGCCTGCCGGCGCTCCTCCTCCAGCTCCTTTTTGGTTTTCTTCACGGGCACTTCGCGCGTGCCCCAAGTGACGTTGTTGAGGTTGATGATGGAGTAGAGGATCAACAGCAGGTACATCGAGGGGATCGACAGGAGGTAAATGATGCCGGGTACGATGCACCAGAATTCCTGCGGATGCAGAATGGCGGCGATCATGAACGAGCCGGTCATCGCGATGAGGAATATGGCCGACGGGGATCCCACGCCGTCTTCGCGCAATTGCAATGCTGTACCTACTATTACAGCCATCATGATCAGAGCGTAGCCGGTGGATAATATTTGAGCGACGATTAACTACAAAAAATGTTGTATAAACGAACGATTTGGCACACAACTTCATCGGTAACTTACTTGAATATTAGATTTGCAAGTGAAGCAAACAAACATGAAGAACAGAATGGGCCAAATGTTGTAGTAGAAACTAGTCCAGTTGTCGATTTGGAAAGCAGCCACGAAGGCTCCCACCAACATAAGGAATATCGTACCGGGTCCGAGGATGGTACCGCCCATAAGCAGAATCTGGTAGCCGATGTAGGGCATCGAAATGTTATCGTTCACTTGAATGGTGCGTTTGGAATCCATTAGAAGATCCATGATGTTGGCTATGGTCGACGGTACCCATCTTCGCCTTTGGTTGAAGAACTCGTTGAAGCCTTCGGGGGCGTGCGTGTAAGCGTCCGAAGCGGCCGAGTACTCCACTCGATAGCCTCTTTGAAGTAGCAGCGTGCACAACCAACGGTCTTCTCCTTGATCGTATTGGACGTAGTGCCTCGCTTCGGCCGAACTGGAAGTAATTAAATGGAGAATACCACGACTGTTTTTGATTCTTTTTTTCAAAAAAGAGTGGTTGTGTGTTTACGTACCAGGTGGTGTATTTCTTCATAACGTTATCGTCCATTAGGGATTTGCCTCTGAAGAGCGAGAAACACCCGGGGCTGCAGAGCACGCAACCGATCACGTGCTCGGTGGCTTTTTGCATCCAATGACCAATCGCGTACTCGAACAGCTGGTACCACACCATAGGTCCGGATCCCACCGGGTGGATACGACCACATGCTGCTCCTATGGTAACAATTTTGAATGAGTCTTGAGTAATAAAATAGGTGCTACTATTGGTTTACCTAAGTTCCTGTTCTTCTTCATCAAATCCACGAGCAGCAACACAGCCGACGGCTGGAAGTCAATATCACCGTCCAAAGTTAACAAATAAGTATTTTCCGCTATCGTAGCCTTTCTGTCCACGGAAATCGGCAGTTCCATCAGCCTGTGTCCGAGAAGGTAGTACATATACATGACCTGCAATCGATAACACATTCAAACTGACCCAGATAGAGAATCGTCGATATCAATCGTACCTGCGACCATCTCTTCCTGTGCCTGATCTTCGTGGTGTCCTTCAGGTGACAAGTCATCTTCGTCTTGCCGGGCAACTGCCAGATGAGCCGGCCCCCGTAGGGCGTCGGCACCTTCTTCGGCGGGCGGATGCGAATGTGCGTTTGGTGCACGTCCGACGCGGCCTCGTCTATCGTCGACAACAGCAACTTGACGAATCTGTTCACCTGGGTCTCGTCGTCGCTGTGATCGGACAGCTCGAAGGCGTCGTCCATGAAAATGTGAGCTAAAAAATTTCGCAATCATTAATAGGTAATGTACGATGGGAAATTAGTTACTTTCGAATTCGTAGTAATCCGGATCGACTACTCTGAGATACTTCTGGGCCACCCTTCGGGCGGATTGGTCCTCGTCCAATCTGAGAATGGACTTGAGGAACTCCATCATCTCGTCCTTGGTCTCGTGCCACATGGTGGCGCAAGCGTATATCCTGGTGATGTTGTCGGAATTTTTCACGGTCTTGGGCGAGGAGCCGTCGGTGTGGTTCGAGATGGTTTCGTAATACTCGTCGGCTTTCTCCTTCTGGATTTCGTCCAAATCCTCCGGCTTGACGTCGGCTTCGTCGTCGCGTCTTCGATTCATGCCCAGGCATTGATCGATCAGGAAACCTTCGTACATCGGTACGACTTGTATCTTCTCGGTTCTGGCGAGACGCTCGCATTTGGGCGTCCATATGTGGATGGTGATCCAGGTCTGCGAGAGCAGCCACAGCAGCCAAATCCAGGCGTGCTGGTGGGAGATGAAGTCGTTGAGGAACACGTCCGGCGGCGATTCGAAGAAGAGGTAATCCGGTATGGTGTCGTGGAAGAAGCAGGGGTCGCCGTTGCGCAGCCCGCAGGCCGTTATCAACAACGAAATGGAGACCGGTATGGTGAGATTGACGGGGAAAGCGTACGAGAATCCTTGGATCATGATTTTGCAGGCGAATTTGCCGAATATGTAGGCCAAATAGGCCGCTGATATGTTGATCATTAGTACGTAGATGGGCGTCCAATCGTTCGATTGGATTACTGTATCGTCGCCTGTTGGAATGATTTCTGATATGTCCGGTAAAGAAGTACCGCCCAATACTGATTTTATCTGGAAATTATGATTAATTACGCACTTCAAGTAATTACAAACTACTATTAGTTACCTCAAGTATTGTTATCGGATGAGAACCCCAACCGTCGGAAAACTCGGTGAAGAAAAATCCGACTTCTCCTTCCCTCGCCAAAATCACGAAGAGAATGGTTATGAAAAAGCAGACGATTTTCCACACCGACAGAAACATGTAGTTGAAGTATCTGGTTTTGTCGAATTCGCTCCGGATCCTGGCGATTTTCTTTATGAACGGCAACGGCGAGTATTTGGACAGGTAATTTTCCCACCAGCCCAACGATATCAGGAAAATAGATATGGGTATTATCCAGAGGTCCGGCCGGCCCTCCATGATGGGCCACACTATGAAACCGGTGGCTTGCGCAGAAATTGCCAGGAGATCCATGATGACTTTTATGAAGCGTTGGGATTCTTTGTTATTTCTAGACAGTAAACCTGAAACGAAATACCAATTAAATTCCTGCCGAATGCTCGCCATATTAAGGAATGCATTGTATATTTATTAATGAGTTTTTTGTGCGCTTGTCTAAAATCTTGACGGAAAAGAATTTCGATGATAAATATGCAAAATCATTAGATTTGCGTTGGGATTATTGGGATGCATAATTAATATAGAAGAATCCGGCCATGAACTTTGAAGAACATCGCTATTAATACAAGCTATTGTTGTAAACCTCAATCATTTTTTCTGCGACTCATTCAACTCCGATGTATTAAAACAAGATCATCGTGTAGCCAATTCTTTAGGTGGTTAAATTGGTGGTACTTACTTAAAAGAGCAGGTACAAAACAAAGACAATTAGTCAACATGGCCCCTTTGACTACATCTATTTCTGGCAGTACGTGAAAGATCAGGATGGCCAGGCCGACCGTCTGGGCAGTCTCTGTTAGAAAAAACAGCAGGAAATGGGCGAACGACGGTTTCTTCCACGATTTGAAGTAGCACATTCTGGTGGAGCGAAACAGCACGCCCAATTGGGGCACGCAGAACGCGAAAAACAAACACCACATCCATACTACCCGTTCGGCCGTCGGTAATTTGACTATGAATTGCTTTTCTCTACCTGCAAAGAATACAATTTCATCATTACAATGTCCACCAAATTCCCACAATTTGGGATGACAGTGAGGTGACAACCCATCAACTCTCCAAAAATCAAATTCTTCGCCAGGACAAGCACCACCTCGCCTAAAAATGGCGAGAAAAAGCATGGTAGAAGTACCGATAGAAAAGACGATGGAAGAAAAAATAGCCTTCGAGAATCTCTTCGTACTGGAATTCGCCGTCGATAAACTAACTATATTCCCTCACTGCGACTGCGAAGTACCCTCAGCCGTGACCTACGTGCAATTCGAGGTATCCTGCGAGGAGCCCGTCGACTACTGCGAGACCCGCTTCACCTGCAACAACACCGCCGGCAACAAAACCTGGATGCAAATCAACTTCTCCCTGTCGGAGAGCCAGATCAAAGACCGCATGCAGACGTTCGATGTCTACGTGATGGCCTACAAGAAGATGCCGCTGGGCTGGAACGTCCCCCGGGCGGAGATCGGCATGGCCAGGGTGTCCATACTGAAGCCCTTCTGCGAGCTGATCAATTGCTTGGTGAGCTCGCCCAACAGGCAGGGCATTCCGACCCCCAAGTGCCTGTGCAAAGAGTACACCCTGGAGAAGATGGCCGGCGATCCCATCGCGAAGATACAGCTGTCTTTGAAGCTGTCCAGCTTCTACAAGTGCAGACCCGACATGATTTTCAAACCCAAAGAGGACCCCAACGATCCGAAGAACAAGAAACCTAAGGGGAAAAAGTAAGGAGTTTTATTGTCCTGACTCCTGACGAAGAATTAAAGTACAGTTTGATTTAGAAACGTTGGTGTTTATTTACTGAAAGTATAGTTCAATCAAGAGGTATCAGGGTTTCAACTCGAATCATCCAATCGATCAATCGACTTACCTAAATCCCTATTGCAATATTGAATTACTTTATCTACCCTAAGTTGGGACGTCATGAATAAGAGCGTTCCTTTGGCTATGACGCCCGATCCCAAGACGATGACGAACGTCACCAAATAGGCGAATACTTTGAGCACCTTGACGGATATTTCCAGGCATTTTTGATTCGCCATCGATCCGGATACCTCCTTGATAGGAGGATCTCGGAACACGTCCCATCCTTTGGTCTCTTGCACCGTCCTCGTGCTGAAAAGATAATTCAAATTCAGAATAAGTGTTTGCATGTCATGAGAGATTCGGGTTTAAGATGATAAAAATGGAAATTCTCGAATATGGAAAATCCGCTGGAATGTAGGCTAGTTTATTAAAACGAATGGATTTGTAATTCGCGAATTAGTTATATAAATACCAACAGATATGTGGCTGGTTGTTGCGTAAGGATTGAATTAAATATGTAAATAGCAATGGATTCTTTTAAGAGACTTGTTATATAATTTCTTTGATATGCCTACCAGTAAATGCGATATCAATTAGATCTACAGACATACAGATGGAGTTTGAGAAGTGGATTAGCGGTTGTGCTTCGATCTTTTCCTGATAAGTTTCGTTTAGATTTACCCGACATGTAACAACATATTTATTATTTACCAGTCATGCCATTAATTAGTAAGGAAACGTTTAGAGATATTGAACAATAATGACAATAATTACTCTCCTCGGTAGTTCATTTATGCTTCAACATCATTTTTATTTACTTTGGGTTTGCTTTATACAAATATTTCCAGTTTTAAGATATGTTCTGACCAAACTAATCCGATAATTTTAATGCCAAAATTATCAATAATATAATTAAAATCTGTGCAGTTACGATCGATGAGAGCCTAGATACGTCTTGTTAATAATCTTCGCTTAAATACGAGCGTCGTAAATCATTCCAAGTGAGGTCAGAGCGGGAGATTAAAAGACATTAAACTGTATAGAATACCCCACTTGTCCACGACTGTTGATTTATCTCCAATATTCCTTTAAAGGTCTATAACATGCAACTGGCAACAAAATTTTATTGTGGCCTTTTTTTACACGGGAGTTAAGCGATTTGAATGTCGATCATAAGGGGTTTTGCTTCGGTATTCATCATGAATCATCCTATAAAACTAATTTGTCTAGATGATACCAAACGGATATTTGGCAGTTGATAGACAAGCAACTATAACAGAACATTCTGATGAGTGATTCATCACAATCCTCTTGTTGCGTTAGCGACGGGATTTACACTTTCAGACATCAAATCATCACTTCTAGGTACTCTTCAAGTAAGATTACGCAAGGCAAGTGAGCGATCAGTTAGAAATTTTTATAGACAACTCGCTGCATAGTTTCTTTCTGTCGCGTTTCTCGACATTACCATTTCGGCGTGCACAAAGCGCAATCATCGCGAAGAAATGAGCCTTCTTCGGGGTTCTTGATCCTACAAAAAGACGACGAATCGCCGACCGGTTGCGAGATGTGAACAAACGTCCTTCTCGACGGCGGAGGCGCGGAGGAGGCGGGCCCGGAGCCGACGACTTCTGTTATCAATTTCAGGAATCGTCCGCTCGAGAAAAATATGCATATTATAATATATTTCGTAGTCTCGGCGGTGGCGGTTTGGAACGCATTCTAGTAGCTTCTCCGGCTTCCTTAATTGGGGTTCCTGCGACGATTATCGAGCGGATTGTTCGGAGAATTCGGCGGGTTGGAATTTTTTCGGTGTAAGTATAATCCCTTTTAATCTGTTCTGCGAACGATGAGTTTTTTCAGGCGAAATCTAATCCGCTTATGCGCTTTAAAAACGGGCAATCCGGCGATTAATGTGTTGGATTCGATGTTAAAAAATCCGAATCTTCTTAAGATCTAGCATCCGCTTGCAAGCGCTGAGCCTGTTATCCTTGGCATTTCACTTTTCATAATGTCGCGCTCCGAAATCTAAATCAGTATAACGAACGGCGATAATCCATTTCGAATCGAGAATAATTCGACTTCGATCGGTGGATTCTTTTCTTCCTGCATCATCATCAGCATCATTAATACTTCACACGAATTCATCTTCAATCGTTCAATTCACACTAGATCTTCGGGTCACTAGTAGTCGTTGTTCCCATTCGATCAGAAACTTTGGAGGAAAAGTTTCCCCATAAACTAGTAGATACCAGGTAGAGATAGTTTATACCAGTAGATAATTTTATAAGGTTTTTATATGGTTTTATAAGACTTTTCCTCCATAATTTTACATGAATTCTATAATATTTTCCAAGCTTTTAGATGCTCCCCAGGACATCACTTAACAAATTCTCTAAAGGAACAACCTAATAGAAGAATCATCAATTCTATCACCATGAAAATAAACCCCACACGATACATTCCAAACACCTCAACTTCCACCCTTCCAGCACAAAATCCCCAATCGAGCTTGACCGGCCGAATTCCACAGCGGGGCGATTCCATCAAAACGCATATAAGGACCTTTCTGCTCGAGCCCCAAGGTTAGATTCGTCCACTCCTTTAGTTAGCCGGAGGTCGATGATCAGCACGCGGATTTCCACCGACAAAGCGCCCGCCGTACGAAATGCATGGGCGTTTCGAGCGGCATTCGTTACGATCTCGAGCAGCCCGTCGCAATTCGATAGGCCTCCTAATTGACCCGGTTATGTGAACGGGCGCGATTTTCAAACGCCTAATTTGTTACGCCTAATTGCTCTGTAAAAGGTTCGCGCCGTTGCGCAATTAGTTCAAGTGCTCTTTGAAATGACTGCCAGTTATCTAGCAAATTCTTAGTTCTTCTTATCTAGTTCTTATAGTTCTTATAGTTCTCATAGTTCTCTTAGTTCTCTTGATTCTCTAAAGTTCTCTACAGTTCTCTTAGTTCTCTACAGTTCTCTTAGTTTTCTAGAGTTCTCTTAGTTCTCTACAGTTCTCTTGATTCTCTACAGTTCTCTTAGTTCTCTACAGTTCTCTTAGTTTTCTGGAGTTCTCTTAGTTCTCTACAGTTCTCTTGATTCTCTACAGTTCTCTTGATTCTCTACAGTTCTCTTAGTTCACTACAGCACTCTTAGTTCTCTCGATTCTCTACAGTTCTCTTAGTTCACTACAGTACTCGCTGCGAACAATGAACTAATTTTATGGAAAATGATACACTTCCGATTTTTAAGTGCTAAACAATTTTAAAACCTTTACTTTCGTTAACTAGAATATTGACCAACTTAAGAATGGGAATCAAATTTCAACATTGTTAAACACCAATTTCTGAGCGTGATAATTAAATTCAACACAATTCGAACAATCCTTCCTCGTTTTCAATGAACAATGAACCTTTTTTTAAAGGACTTCCATACATTCTCGAGCATCTTGTGTATATGAAATGGATTCGTTGGCGTGCCTAAAAGTATCGAACTGTGTCCGGAGGTGAAGGAAAAATAATGTAGCAAGGCCGTCGCTAGATCCAGTTTTTACAACAACAAAAAATAAAAAGTGAACGGAAAACTTTCGCTTTATTCAACACACAAGTGGGCGTTTGGTAGGTAATAATGCTTTCACGCTCCATCTGATCCCAGTTTTTTGTAATTCTCTTCGGGTGAAAAGCCCCTAAGAAATTCTACTTTCGTTGTTTAAATTCTTCACTCACAGTCTCTTATGTTTTAGATTGTTTATTGCAATAATTCCAATTTACAACTGTGTATTGTAACATAATTACCTTCCGCTGTAAATATTCTCGGTCAGAGGCGAGCTTTCATCGTCCGTTAAATTATCGTCGCTGTAGCTTTCGTTTCGGAGTCCATTAGAGGTCATTTCTGCAACAATAAAAAAAAATTAAAATGAAATTACCGCCTATAAATTCGTTCAGGCATTCAAAAGGGAACCATAAGGAAACGCAATAAAGCAGCGAAACAAAACGAAAATCTCTTCACTTTGATTTACAGCAAAGCTCTCTGTCGCGAATGGTATTTGTAAATCGGTAAATCACGGCGTTTTACCGAGTGATTTATCGAGAAAACCCATCGGGCGTTATTCGGAAGCAAATGAAATTTAATCAACTGACAATCCTCGAGCGCTTTAACGACCGTTTAATGTCCGAACGAATGGCGAATATTCGAACGAAAAAAATCGCTTATCAAGTGACGCAAACCGTCGAGAAATTTCAAGATCAACTACTTCGCAATTTCGATTTTTGCACCGCGCCCAGTCCGGCATAAAAAGGTGGGTTGGTGAACAAGTATTTCCTTGTATACCCGCCAATTTCGATAACAAAGTGGATATCTGATCGAGTAACTATAACGATTTTCTAAACGAGTTGTATATCGTTGTTGCTGTATAAGTTATTTGGTTGGGGCATCGGTGAAATCTAGAACAATAACGTTATTTTTTGTCGGTAGATCTCGAAACAATTCATTTTGCGGCGAGAGTTCTCATGGCAGTTTGTTTACTGGTAACCGCTTTATTACTGCTTCTCGAGACTCTCGGGCATAAAGCCGTTAAAAAACGAGGCCAATTAGTCCGATTTCGCTTTCACGAATTTCAATCGGAATGCAATTTTCGGATATTATCGAATTCATCGATTAGGGAACTAGTTTCAAACGAAAGAGAACGTCCACCGAAAATGTCCATCGATCCTCGAGTACAAAAATTGTCCCGACCTTCGCTCGTTAAGGCTTCGATAAAAGGTAGTTAAAAACCAATTTTCGTCTCCGATTCGATTAGTATCTAATCTGGGTCGAACCGATTTTACCTAATTGATCGAATCGGTTGCAAAACCGCGTCGAAATATCGACGCAATCGCCATTACATCTAATTGATTCGAAACTTAACGCTTTAATCGAAGCGTGGTAGGTACTGAAATTTTAATATGTTTCCGTTTTACTTTTATTTCAGCCGGCCAATAAAATACCGCAGGAGAAACAACGCGGGTCGAATCAAGAACCATTGCGTTCAGAAAGCCTATCAAATATGCTATGTGTAATTTATCTGCGGCTGGGGATATTAGATAATCCCTGTTTAAGAATATGTAAAGTACCTACTCAAATTATTAAATATTTTTTCATAATGTTATAAAATTTAACTAAAATTTGATTTGAGTAGATTTAGGAAAAGGAAGCTTTAAGATAAAGTGTCCTTTAGCTTTTATTTCTAATGTCAAATGGTTCATTTAAAAGGTACCTTTAAGAAAAGGTTGCTTTAATGTTTCCTTTATGAAATCGACCTTCCTATTGCATAACTTCGATAATTTCGATAACTTCTTATTGCAAACGTAAAGCCTTTATATTAACGAAGTCATTCAGCCCATACCAGTTTGGCCCTTTATTTACGAAGTCATTCAGCCAACAATTTCAAAACTGCTTCGACAAAACGGTGAAAAAGAAAAGGAGTTGAAAAACGGCGAAATATTTATGAAATTACATATCCGTTTGTCGTTTTCAGCGCTGAATCCTTTTGGTAACCTTGCCGGCTGCAATTCAATAAGCGTGTTGCTTCACATTTCGTTTGAATCGAAACAAAATAAGATAGCGGATTCGCGTAAGCGTGATTCAACGACGCGTTTAATAAATAAAAAAAATGCCCATTGCGAAACGTGAGAACTCCGTCCTGTGTTCGACTCCTGTCGCAACTTCTTCATCCGAAATATTCGACAGTATATCGATGACTCGCCGTTGAAGTTGCTCGCAATTGAAGCGTCCTCGATATTTATTTATCTTTTGCTGCCGAACCTTTTACTACAAAACCGGCATTTTATCAGCTACATCTTTCGAACTAATATATGGGTTTTTTATTATAATAATCCTTGAGTTTTATTCTCTCTATACGATGCATTGTAAAATTCAATTAAACATTCTCTCTTTAAATTGCACTATTCCAATTTGAACAATCTGAGTGATAATAAGAGCAAGTAACTTTTCGGATGTGAACTCGAGATATAGCTGTATAATTTCGTGTTTGTTGACCTATAGTTTCGACAGAAATAATATAAAGGATAACGACTTTTAAAAGTGCATGCCTTAAAATGGAAGCTTGCTCGTTAGTGGGAACGTTGGATACACATTTTTGATGATTCACTGTAGATTAAAAAAACCACTATATTTATATCAACTATAATAATTAAGGAATATTAATGATCCATTTTAGGCATCCCTAATTGTGTGTCCTCTCCCATTGCGTTTCTTTTTTACACTAATACTTCATTTCAAAAAGTTTATTAGTGTTATAGGATAACAAATGGAGATTGTGAGTGTGTAAGTACCACTATTACACGGTGCAGGATTACCACACTTGGCTGCTTGTTTTCTCTCGCGTCATTCAAAGGCCTGATGTTTCCTAGATCCGAGTTTGGATATCCTAAAAACGGCGATTAAAAAGAATAATGATCGGAAACGGTTGATTATACTTTTATGCAGTTTGAACGCAGCCGATGGATCGGCTTTCTTTTCCTAACGATGCTCGGATTTTAGATAATTTAGGAAATCCAGAGGAAGAGATGTTAATTGTTAACTACAATGGTGTCGTTAAGATAGCGCATCTCCGTTTCGAACTATCGATATCTTATAGGAGAATGTTTACTCAAGTATGTATTTTTGAGAAGAATCCTGGAAAATTTCGTAAGAATTTTTGCCGGTTTTTTTGTGGGTCAAGCGTATCATTGTCTTGATGATAAAATTGTATTCGCGCATTCGAACAATCGATATATGTCGACCTTCGGGAGCCTCTTCTGAGGCCGATTTTGTACAAAATAGTGGGATGTTTTGTAATAGGAAGTTATGACTTTTATCGGTTTTTTAACATCTGGTCATTGTTTACCCATTTTTTCATTCAAGGAGCTATTAATAATTCATATAAATTCAGCTCTGTGCGCTCTCGAATAGTACCTACGTTACATACCGTTAAATATTTATTTGAAGCAATTCAACAATAGCGATGATTGAATTTTTATATCAATGAATGAATAGTATTGTAAATAAATCGACTCTATTATGGAATAGTTACGTATGAATTTTTCGAGTATATTCGGTGAAAGTTATTCGCCCAATTAAATTAATCCAGTGTAACTAGTGAGCTTTTTTAAAAACGGTTATTACGTTGGTAAACGCAGAGTAATTCGTGACCGTATTGTTTGCAAAATTAACGAGTTCTTTTAACAAAAACCCGCACAATGTCCCCAGTTCTTGTAATAATATTGTTTGCATTCACGATTTGTGAATTTAAACTACTTTTTGGTAGTATAAGCGTTAGGTAATTTTTCTTTGAATCATAAAAATATCCATTATAAGAATCCTGTTCTTTTGTTCGTAATGCATTGGTTAAAAACTTGGATTAGTCTATTCAATTTTGTAAAAGTGAAATGTAAAAAAAATGGAGCCCCGTCAATCATGAGTATAAATTTATGCAAATATGTTAAATACATGTATTCAGTTTCTTAATTCATAAGCGCCTAAAGACATTTATCCGAGCGTACGTAATACGAAAAAAGTCTCACAGTTATTTAATTTGACCGTTTGTTTACTTTAGATTAGTTATTTAACAGTTTTAACTGACACGTAGGAATAACCTTTATCCAATCGGCGATTTAGCACCGCTAAATTCGCTTCTTATATAATGGAAATAATAGGGGTCAGGAATACATTAAAAGAGAAAAAGGTCAAAAATTTGGCAGTCCATAAAATTCGTCGTTATAACAATCATGCAAGAGAAATGTGAGTAATTGCCTGGTGTATAGTTACAATATCTGTCGACTGAAAGTGCTGCTATATAGGTCTCAATTTTTGCAACTCGATATTATCGTGACTTTCGATTTGCAACCATAACCGAATCGCATGCATCGGCGACGAAGCCGCTTTCAAAGACGATATTAATATCCTTTTTTCTTTCGGGTAAATAAAAAGCGCATATAATTGTTGCGGCGAATTTGTAACGCGCAATGATATCTGTTCAATAGGTTCATATTTATGCAATAGGTCGCTTCGTTTTGACATTTAGATCCAAATCCTAGAAGGTTTAGAAATTTATAACATAGAGAAAAGAGTGTAGAGATATTGCAAGGCTGGATATTGAAATAAATTTTTGAATAGTGTAAGTAACGAGAGTAAATTTACGATATTTTTAGAATAGAAATATGGGATAAGTCAAGGATTATTACACCTAAACATGCTACGTATACACTGCTATTACGGGTATTGTTTGATTAATTCAACAATAATGAATAGGTAATTTAGATTAGCAATAATATCACCTCAAATTGCTAACATCTAGCATAAACATATTTTACCAATTTGGAAAGTTAAACGTACACATAAATCTTGCAAATAAACACAATTACTTCTTTTTCTAAAGCGTCCAACTGTCTATTTACGAGTTAAAAGTGAATGGAAAATTTCAATAAATATCTCATAAACCTCTATACCTTTTTTTATCGAAAAAAGCCGGTATCTATGGGCATTTCGTATAGCGACATCGGATACCAGATCGTCTAGCTGCAGCGTATGGCAAGTGAAAGTGGGTCAGACGGGTTTACATCTGCTGTATCTGCTACTTTTGATGGTGCGTGGAGCCGGTAGAAGGAACTTATATAGGTGCACAAACACGACAAACGCCCGGTAAATATTTGGACTGTAATCTATTTAAATAGTTTCTGTTTGTTCAAATGATTTCCTCTAACACATTGAACTTGAGTAGATTAGACAAACTAGAAGTCTATCTACTATTGATCTACCAGACTTGTTATTTACATAAGAGAGTATTTGTATGCCTATAAGAGAACCAATTAATTATCCCAATCATTCACCACATTACCCTTCTGTTTGCATTTATGATTCATAAATCGCCGTTTGCAAATCACAATCGTTTTAATAACTATTGTTGCCGAATCACCTCGAGGACAAGCATCAAAACTCTTGGCGAACCCACCCAGCTCTTAATCAATCTGATTAATTACCTAAATTTATGAATCGACGATAGGAACAAAACAAATCTCGGTCCGCTAAAGACATTGAGGTGTCCCACCCACAGCGGCATAATGAAATTTATCCAATTCCAATCTATAATGAAAATCAATTCCGAATAAGCGATTGGCAATCGGCCGTTGCTGAACTAGAACAATAAACGTTGCGACAGCACCCGAAAAAATATATTTCCGATGTATACTCCCACTAATGCGCTTGCATAATTACTTGATCTAGTTTATTCCAGTGACAAAGGATAATAACACTCCGTCGCTGTTTATAGCTATGCAAAGTAGACGTTAGCGGGATTGGTACAGAGTAAACGCTCAAACAAAGAACTGTTACTGGCATTTCAAAACCGTACTTCAAGGAAACGTTTTTTTTTATATCAAAACTCCACCCATACCCGGCATGGTACGATCGATAACGGTAGCTCGAGATTATTATTTCCTTTCTAGGAATTAGCGTATGGAATTGGCTTTTGTATTACACAAACGATTCGATTATTAATTATTAAAAAAAAACGATTAGAGAAAAACGGATTTCGCATCAGATAGAATTTATTTCTAAACTTACAACTTATTCGTTCATATCATTAACGCTGCTGATGGTAGAACCGGAGGAAATCTCTCAGGATCGTTCGCACTGTACCACTCTCTTCGCCTCGGTTTTGAGCAGATCGTAGATCAGCTTCACCACGTCCATGTTGACCTCGCAATTTTCGCCGCTCTCCCCCGACGATCTCTTGCCCCAGTTGGGCGAGAAGTTGACCTGGGCGCTGCACAGGCCGACGAGGATCGCCACCAGCAGGAAACTTATCGCGAATCTGGGCATCTTGTTTTGCAGCGCAGGAGTAAACTTCTGGTTCAGACGGATGAGGATTTCTGGATGCTCGAGATTCTCCCGCCGGCGGTTTATATACGGTGCAATCGGAGGGAATAGTTAATTGGTGAAACCCTTGGATGGGCTGGATGCGTAGGTAATTAGTAATGTCGCAAGGAAGCCGCACAAAAGGCGGTGTAATTTTTCGGATTGACGAAAACGCGATTCTTCGTTGGCATGTAGGTTTTTTTGAGGCTGCGAATGCAGTGGAAAATTTGTCGTTCCAGAAGCTTCATTCTTCATCTTTCCAAGTTCCTAACTCTTGAATTTTCTAGTTTTTAAATAGACTTGTTCTAGAGCAATATCTAAGTAGAAACATCCAAATTGCGAACTTTCATCGACATTACATTTCCTATCAAAGGCCCGGCTTTATAGCCTCTAGTTATAATTTGGTGTTTACGGTTGAGCGGGCATATTTTTTCACCTCCGTTGTCCATTCTATGATACAAGATACAAGAGCGTTTCGAACGTGAGTTATTTCGCACCCACTAATACACCGTAATAAACGCCTTGTGTTAACGAATTTATTAGGTCGATTATCCGCTTGCGTAAATGTAACAAACGCCTGAAATATTGCACAACACGAAGAAAATAAAAGCATTAAAAACAGTATAAAAAATAGTCGAAAATTGACCTTCATTTAACACCAAAAACGGCACCATAAAAGTACATTATTAAAGCTGTCATTTTCTAGTTACTAAATTCTTCGGTTCGTTCTAAATCGAAATTTAATTTCTGCTTATCCAACGCGACTGCAAATTAGACGATACGATCGTTGATCAATCGCCGGTCTTTCTTCTTTTCCCAGAGTGGGTTACTAGGTATCCGATGGTTATTCAAGTGATGTCTCCGGCGACTGCGAGAAAACAAACAGGCGCTCATTGAGGTCGCGAAACTTTTTCTTATAACACCTATCTGCTTACGAAATTTTCTTTTACATGCAAACGCTATTGATATCTGGGGAATCCCAAGAATGATGGCCCGATGATGGGCTCAATGGCGGAAACTTTGATCGCAATAAATAACGAGCTATTTGTAAAAAAAAAACTGTTTATGAAATGGTTGCTTCATATAATATAATCAAAAATTAGAGTGGATTGAGATCTACCATACAATAAAAGTAGTAAATTATATTTATATTCCCACTGTTGCATCATCCAATTAACATCTTTTTTGACTCTTCAATAAATACCAATTTCTAATTGTTTCGTAAATAAACTGTAATTAATGTACCGAATCCTAATCGGTGAATGCTCCGGGTACTCGCGGTATTGGCGCGAAATTCCCCGCAATTAAACTGCTGGTTCACCGTACGTGGAGTTGCATCCGAAAAAAACTAGTGCATTAAATTCGAGCGAAGACGATTCGGCTCATAAAAAAAATTAATAAGCCTTTATGTTTATACGAACGCAATTATTTTGCTCCAGTTCTCACGGAAATGTCACGCATTTTAGAAAAGCTGCCAGACGGTTTTTGCCCAACGTTCTACTCTAATGACGGTGCTCGTTTCCCAATCGTTCAGACACTTCTTTGTGAAATATTTTCGAAATTATTCCAAGTGTTACTTTTAAAAAAGCAAAACTATTCTCCGCCATCTTGAAGTTATTGATCAAGCTTTTTGAAATGCCTACTAGATCAACAAAAATCGTAACCCTTATAAAATGTGTGTCTGATATTCTTAAAAATTCCACTATTAGATGCTTCTTATTTTTATTATATTAACTAAATTGGCCAAATAGTACGCCACTGGAAATAAGTCCGATAACTGTTGCTTGATTTAAATCGATCGAGAAATTGTTTTAAACAAACGAACGCAGCGCACCGTATTAAACCGGATTGGCGAGCATCGAACGCAGCCGAATAGGTCGAATGTACCGCAGTTGGCACTTGTCAGCTGTCGTTTGCGCTTGTCAAATAGGTCGAAAGTCGAAAATTAGGTTATAAAATTTACGCCAGTGGATTCTGTGTGGGTGGTAGGATGTCTCAGATTTAGTATTATGTGGTTTCAAATCAATTCTAATTTAATTTAATTTACATTCGCCAGGTGAGTGCACCGATGGTCGTCGGTCGGACGCGATTAAATCAGGTTCTTTTGTAGTTTTGATGTGAAAAAAAAAAACTGGATTCGACTTTGGGAGTTTTCGAATTTTAAATGAAGGTGTATCTAATCTGGATTTGGAGTAAGTTGACCGAATTACCAAGTTTTTATGTAATACTGAAAATTCCATAATTTTAGGTTGGAACATAAAAAAATCGTGAATGACAATTTGTTCGAGATACCAAATAATCGTTCCTTATCTCGCGAGATATACTTGTTGACTTCAGAAATCAACATTGAAATTTAAACTTCCATTTTGCAAAATACACACCATTAATAGTAGTTATCTTAATAAGACCTTGCTATCTGTGATAGTTGCAACATGTGATTGCAATCCGTATAATTAGCAGCGTTTTTTTTATGAATTAAACGAGTACATGTACATAAAAATGGACAAAGGGGACCATAAAATGAAGAGCTCATCAAAGCACTACAACAGTAACGACACCAGCTCAAATCCTACCTCCGGGCTAAAGGTCGGCCCTAATTTCTTAGTCGGCAAAAAAATAGGCTGCGGAAACTTCGGAGAGATCCGTCTAGGCAGGAATCTATACAATCACGATCACGTAGCCATCAAATTAGAAGCGTTCAAAACCAAAGCACCTCAACTCCACCTCGAGTACCAATACTACAAGCTCCTCGGCTGCAACAAAGGCATCCCCGAAGTCTATTACTTCGGGCCGTGCAGCAAATTCAACGCCCTCGTGATGGAGCTGCTCGGTCCGAGCCTCGAGGACCTCTTCGACGTCTGCGACAGGAAATTCAGCCTGAAAACGGTCCTGATGATAGCCATCCAGCTCCTGCACAGGATCGAGTACGTGCACAGCAGGCACCTGATATACAGGGACATCAAACCCGAGAACTTCCTCATCGGCCGGTCGGGCGGCAAACGCGAGAAAACCATCCACATGATCGACTTCGGCTTGGCCAAGGAGTACATCGAACCGGAGACCAACAAACACATTCCTTACAGGGAACACAAATCGTTGACGGGCACCGCCCGCTACATGTCGATCAACACCCACTTGGGCAGGGAGCAGTCGCGACGCGACGACCTCGAAGCCCTGGGCCACATGTTCATGTACTTCTTAAGGGGCTCGCTGCCGTGGCAAGGCCTCAAAGCCGAAACCCTGAAGGAGCGCTACCAGAAAATCGGCGACACCAAGCGAGAAACGTCCATCGAGAGCCTGTGCAAGGGCTATCCGGAGGAAATGGCCTCGTACTTGAGCTACGTACGGCGGTTGGACTTCTTCGAAACGCCCGACTACGAGCACCTGCGGCTGCTCTTCACCGATTTGTTCAAGTCCAAGGGGTACGTGGATGATGGGGTGTTCGACTGGTCCGATAAAACTGTGAATTTGCACGCCGGATCCCTGCCGACGGCCACGCAGGAATTCGCCATTTCGCCGGTGCGGGACAAGCGCTCGGCCACGCCGAAGCCGGAGAATTCGAGGCACAGCACGGGCGGTAATTTGGCCGAACGGCCGGGCTCCGCGATGGTGGTGAATTCGACCAACGGGGACCTGAATGCGGATAACTCGATGGGCCACAGTAACACGCCCATCACCCAGCCCAAGGAGGTGGAGGTCGTGGAGGAGACGAAATGCTGCGGGTTCTTCAAGAGGAAAAAGAAGAAGAAGGGGATCGCTAGTAAGTGAGTAGTGTATGCTGTTAGAGAGAAATATGTTACCTTGTTGTAGTTGCCCCGTTTGAATGGTTTTATGTATATCGTTTCGGTTATTGTTTGTGTCAATGTTAAGAAAAAAATGTATTATCCTTATGTTTAATTAGTTATTTATTTATCTTGTAGTGTAAAGACGTTTTATTTTAATATCTATCCATCGCTATGTTATTAGCTTGTTATATTTTATTCCCTTTAATTGCATAAGGTGCAGTTTGTTTTTAAATAAATTCTATAATTTGTGCATTATCTGCAATTTAATTAGATATTCACTAATACCTTTTAAAACATTATGGAATCAATTAATGGTAAATTTTAGGTAAAAATCTCTGATGAGAAACTACCTAATTTAGCTATCCCCATTAAACTCATATTATAATTGAGTTACTTAATTAATAAACTTCAAACTTACTTGTTTAAATGCGCTGGACTGAGAAATTTTTCCTGCAAAAAAATAAACGAGTGTTACTTTTAAATATGAAAGTATGAAATTATGAAAAGTATCTCTTATACAGGGTGAGTCAACCTAATGCATAATCAAAATAATTCTTTTTTTAGAAAATTTTAAATAATTTTCATGTTATCCATCGTTTTTGGAGGAGATTCACCCTGTGTATAAATGCAATTTTAGTGTATATTTTTATTTTTATTTAGTTGTTTTCAAAGAATATTGTATCAATAAAGTAAAAAAAAAGATTATTAATTATATTTTTAGTTATACGTTAGGTTATAGTGGTATTAAAGGTTGTATTAAAATTTATTTTTATCTTATGCTAGTCGAACTGAATTTTTATTAAATCGTATTTGTATTGTATTATTTTTAGTACAGAATCAATTTGACTGCTTTATTCTAGTCTAACTGTCTGAAAAGTATTCCCATTATTTTATAATTATATGGAAAGCCCATTCAAAAATCTGGATGGATTCGAAATAGTTTTGATAATCGCTCGTATTATTGTTTAAATAAAACCAATCAAAGTATATTAAATATTGAGTTATAAAAATGTAAGAAATTAAAATATTTTCATATTACACGGTGTATTTTATAATTTTTCATCATCATTTTTTCATAAATATTCCCATTGCGTAATAAGTTTTTATTGGAAAAATCATTGCACACATTTCCCTTTGTTTCAGTTTTATGTGTAGGCGATTTGTGAGAACTTCTTTCGAAATAATATAATTTCTTTACTTCTGCCCAGGCTTCTTAATTTCTTAATTCTCTCCACAAGCATTCACACAAGTTTCTCGTTTTATTATTATAGAATTTAAATCTTAGTTTCCGTTGATCTCATTAATTTATTTTATTAAATTTAACAAAAAAACTGACCTGAATATTATTTGTATCGGTTTGGGGGCTAATCTAACACATTAATATATTAGATGTAAAAGGACAAATACAAACATTTTTTACAATTTAATTGCAAAGATATTCCTCGTAAATTATCATGTATGTTCAATTGAAAAGGCTTTCTATATGGCGGAGTAAAACTGCTACATTTCCATTACTAAAATGAATTAATTTTCTTACGACAAAGCGAGAAATGGTGTTGAAACAAACAATGAATCACGTCTTATAATAATTAGTTGAAATTTCTCCTGTAAGCGGTTGAGAATTTCTCTCATTCTATTACTGAAAAAAACAAATAATTGGTTTCGATAATGATCTGTATACTTATTAGTTTGATATTTGCGTGTACACAGCAGATTTATCATGACGACCTTACAGATAATTGCGTAAAATAATCGTGTATTATAGGTATCCTTATCAAGAGGTTTTTTTGCCTGCCTAATTCATATCTATCGATAAGGTTTAGAATTTAATGAAAAAAATTGACACGATTGTTTTTAAATAATCGCTAGTTTGATAAAATTGATAAAGTAAAATTAACTCCAGCACATCAATTAGCTAACCAATCAATACAGTTAACATTACCGTTTATACTCTCCTGATTATTCCTTTCAATTTGAATTGCTGGACCGACTTTGAACTTGAAACCTGTGATTTAACAAATAATTTTAATGTAGGCAAAATGATCTAATTATAAAACTAAACCAAAGACCTTCATGTAGCCCAAATCGGAGAGCTTTCTAAGCTATTAAAACAATCGCATTAAATTTTTTATAATCTTGCTATCCGAGAACTGTTCGAAGGTTCTTCTAAATGTCACTAAAGTCTCGTCTTCCTCAATTTTGCAGGCTTTTACTATTCATCGGTACAAAGCAAATAACGTTTCGTCTGCGTTTTCGTTAAACAAGGATAATTAATTGTGTTAATGAACTCTTCAATTGATACAAAATATTGTAAAATTATACATTAAATTTTCTTGTATCTATCTTAAATGAATTTTATGATTTACCAAGATTCATCGAAGATGAGTGCCCAGAAAATTGTTGACTAGAGAAATTACTTGATTAGGAATGAATTTTATTATGCTTGCCTTCTATTATAAATGTTTTATAATAAGTATAATCGTTTATTGTACCAAATGAAAATTTTAATCCGCATCTCTCATTATTAAAATGTTTACCTAGATTTTTTATATCCAAGTAAATGTAAAGCATTCATATATTTAATTGTTGGTAATAAAGTGATCGTATACTATATTGTGTTAAAAGGCGTGCTTAAAGCAATAAATTTGATAATTTATTAATTCATCATTTCGATTTGAATGTTATTGAATAGGAATAATCCTTATGTATGTATAAGGTATACGCGACAAAACTAAAATAGGTTAATTTAGTATTGTAATATATTGATTAGGTAATTATTAAGAGTACTGAAATTTTTGTTAAAACTTGTTATCTATCGACAGAAACCTTATATTATAGCAGCTTCCTCTGACTACATTTTGTAGTTACTTATTATGAAATATATACCCTATGTTAAAAAGTATTGTATTTTTTATTTATAATATTTAGGTACCTTGTATTGTTTTTTATTAGAACATCAGCCGTTGCGATATTTTTTGTCATATTTTGTCTTAAAATATATTCAAATTGGAACAAAATCTGCATAAAGTAGATTTTAATCATTCGATTGGAATTCAATGGAAGGTGTTCCATTCGCGGAAAATTTACGCTATTTCGCTAAAATCCATCGAAATTATCGTTATTTCTTTCATTCGATGAAGGTTGCGGGGCTCGCGACCTTTTCGCAGCAGAACCGGATCGCCGGGCTTTCTAACTACGCGACAAATTCCGTTGGTTTTAAAACCGACCGTAAAATTCAAAATTTTTTATCGATTCCAAACATAAATTAATACGTTTAATCAGCAAAGTTAACCGTGTTAGTTCCATCGAAATTTATTTTCTATGCGTATACCTATTTCCTTATGCAACGCAGAAACGAACTTTCACTCTACGCTTTCTTATGCGTTGATAATTATTGTTATCGATCGGTATTACAAAAATATAGAAATTTGTACCATTTTCTCTCCTTATTAGCCGAGCGATTTGGATGCAAAGTCCCTGTTCCTTGTTCTTAAGCGGCTATTTAAATGCTCTTAAATTCTTCCTCAATTTATCAAATACAATTAAATTTAAATTAGATTGAATATATTTTGTATTGCATTTAAATTTGTGTTTGTATTTCGAGAAGTTTAATACGGGTTACTGTTCTCATCGCCTATTCAACTCTCTTATTGATATACTGCAGAATTTTAATTAGGTATTAATTCCAACTACATGATTCTAAATATTCTCATCCAATGGGGAATGTATTTACTATAAGAATAAAATAATTGTATTCACTCCACATTGCGCCGAATTCGCCGCTTCGAAGAAAAAAATAAACACCAAAACGTGTTTTTTTTGGATTTATTAAAATTTATTGACTCTGTTCGAAAACACCGTTATTGTTCGACCATACTGTGAAGTTGGCGAATAAATCGCATTTTTACGATGACCATTACGCAATGTTAGTATTCTAAGCTCGGTTCAATGTTATCTGGGATGCTAAACACTTGTGAGAAAGTCCACTTCAATCGGCTTTTTCGACGTATTTATTCCCCGTTTGTTTGAATAAACTTCAAGTTCCGTTCGAAATTAGCGTCCATATAATAACAGTAATATTCCGCAGTTATTATTGTATACGATAAAGAAGTCAATGTTATTACAAAAATTTGAGTAAATTTCCCTTGCCCTTTCATTGAAGTTTTTACACAACAAATTTCGGTTTTAAATAGGCATTGTTAAACAAAGCTTTTCGAAACAATCGAGCAGATAAAGTGGAATTATTTTAATTTGAGGTTCACCGTAAATTAGGATTTCTCATTCAATGAAGCAATTAAATGCCAAGTGTAGCTAATAATAACAGATAGGTATATATTCACGTGAGGCAAAGACAAAAGAATAAGTATCTCAATAAAAATAGATTTCCTTATTTGCTAACATATAATAACGTAACGACATTGTTTATACGCCTACTTGGAAATCCGAACCGAAGAAGAATCTTCGTTTTCGTCTTAACAGTAACGTTTCGATAGTTGAATAAAAGCTAAAAATAGCTCGCAACTTAGTCACCTTATGTAATTAATTAACGCCAGGATGCCGTAAGGATGCCCACTATATTGATATTTGCCCTAACGAATAGTCGAGGAGCAAACTCATAAATATATTTGTTTATTAAAAAAACTAATTATTATTAAAAATTGTAACAAACAGAAACTTTTCAAAATCAAGGCGTGTATAACAACCACAAAAATGTCCCATTAAATTTCTCTAACTGGCCACTGCAAATATTTCACCATTAACTGACAATTACGCTAATTGTTTACAGGCTACCTTACTATATGAACACTTAAACGCTCGGTGTTTATTTAACGTATAAAATTAGTAATTGCCTGATCTAACAGTATTTCGTGTATACGGAGTGTTTTTTTGCTATGATTACCTGCGCACTGTTATATACAGAAAAACGGACGTTGCTGTACACATTATGTAGATTACGATTAAACGGTTGATTATTTTAAAGGCCGTTTAAATACTTCTTGTAAGGATGCTTGTTGCAGATATATCGTCGATTGCTTTAATTAACATTTATTGTTGTAATTGATAATGATAATGCGGGTAGGAGATTGCCAAGGTTGGAAGTGTAAATAAATAAAAACGTCGAATGAATTCGAAAATTCGCAAAAATTAGTTCGTTAAAAAATTGGAAAATCAATTAGAACGTTTCGAAAATAATTATAGTTTCATTAGGGAGAAATTAAATAGGTAATTGTTTGTGTAATTACTGCGGTAATTTTAGAATATTTTGTGAATGACCTCATTCTGTGCGAATTTCTAGGATTTATTGAAATCGACTATTTTTGAATTATTTAATTTTCAATTTGATTTACAATTTATATATTTTTATCCCTTTTGCTACTAAATTGTAGTTTTTGTCGGGGTTATTTTAAGCATTTTTCGAGGTATTGATAGAGATTTAAGACAATTTAAAACATTTTCTCTTTTTTTAATACTATTTTCTAAACAGACCTCGTCAAGCACATTTCTTACTCGTTCCCTAAACCTTTATAGTAAACATATTTTAAAATAAACGAAAAATTAATACAAAAATACTGTCCCACATTAACTATCCACCATTTAACTGTACTGCAATACCAATCTTGAATATTAATGAAATGCATACTCGACGAATTCAAGTAGGTACTCACCAATAAATCCTTTCACCGGACAGACAACTCGAAAATTCTCCAACTCGAAACTCTTCCCGTGGAAACTCTGCGGCACACGATTCGAAAAATCTAACAACAAACCCGGTCGGAAAAACGGTTCGAATTTCATTAATCGCGCGCGAAGTTTTTGTATCTCATCTTCGACGGTCCGCGAGAGGCATTCACGTTGACGAGCGGCGCTTTCACCATCGACTTCTGCAGCGCGAGAAGAACTGGGCGATTCGAAAATGCAAGAAGTCAGCAAACCGTTCACTTTTCGGGCCGCGCGGGCGCACTGGCTCTCGAGGAGGCCGTCTTGAGCGGCCCGACCTGGTGCATGGGCCTTCTCGAGCGGCTGCCGGCTTCCCGGGAAGGCCCGATTTTGAACCTTCTGGGGATCGGGAAAATCGCTATAAGATGCTCGTCGAGGATGATGCCAATTCGGTGATTCAAGTTCTTGCGAAGAGCGGTGAGTAGTCTTGGGTTTTGGTGATTAACATACTAGAACAAAAAATGTCGCCCTGTAGTATACAAAAAGGGAATTCCTCACCAATTTCAATCTCTTCAAAATGGCTTTGAAAAAGTGTCCCGTTATTTGAGGGTAAAATGGGGTTCCTAAAACGGCCGCTAGGAGGCGATGTTGTAAAGGACCACGGTTTTTTTTGCATACGAATTATAATTAAAAATGGTATTATCAAACTAAAAATATATACGAAATATAAAAACATACTTAAATCAGCGATGATTTTGTTGTTAACATCATACCACACGTTTCTTCGGTTAATGTATTTCTTCATTTTCTCCTCGAACTGTCAAAAAATAATTTTTGAAGTTTTGACAGCTCGAACTGTCGTTTCACACAACTGCGATTTATTCTAGCGCGACGCTGATTGGCTGATGACATTATTTGAAAATAAATGAAAGAATGGAAAAATTACCAACACTTTTTCTAGACAATAAACCTACTTTTTGTCACACCTGCTACTTCGAGAAGATACACAAAAAAAATCTGCAAGACTATTTTTATTAAAGTATTTATTTCTGCATTTGGTGAAAGTTTATATCCTACTAGTTACAAAACTGAAATTAATCATCTGATCTCTTCTTACTATTACAAGATAATAATAATTTTTAAACTTCATCAAGAACCGACCTCAATTGATTAAATTTGTTATAAATTGTTCATAAATTCGCCTACAGTTAATTACCAGTTCATATCAAATTCTTTGTATGGAAAATATACCGAAATAATAATAATCAATTCGATAATCAAATAATAATCGAACCATTCGCTGAGATTGTTGCACAGATTTGTTGATTGTTGAACAGCAATGTGGAGGACAACACGGGAGGATTTACGAAGGTTTCTTAATAAGGAGGCAACTTCATTGGTGGACCTAATGGACAACATTGTGGTTTAACAGGTCTTTGACAAGGTGGTAAAGCAGGTGGAGCGCATGGTGGACAACATGGAGGTTTTACTGGTCGTTGGCAAGGTGGTAGAGCTGGTGGGGCGCATGGAGCACAGCAAGGAGGTTTAACTGGTCTTTGGCAAGGGGGTAAAGCTGGTGGAGCGCATGGTGGACAACAAGGTGGTTTCACAGGTCTTTGGCAAGGTGGTAGAGCTGCTGGGGCACATGGTGGACAGCATGGAGGTTTTACTGGTCTTTCACAAGGGGGTAAAGCAGGTGGAGCGCATGGAGCACAACAAGGTGGTTTCACTGGTCTTTGGCAAGGCGGTAGAGCTGCTGGAGCGCATGGTGGACAACAAGGGGGCTTCACTGGCTTTTCACAAGGGGGTAGAGCTGGTGGAGCGCAAGGAGGACAGCAAGGTGGTTTCACTGGTCTTTGGCAAGGAGGTAGAGCTGCTGGAGCGCATGGTGGACAACAAGGGGGCTTCACTGGCTTTTCACAAGGGGGTAGAGCTGGTGGAGCGCAAGGAGGACAGCAAGGTGGTTTCACTGGTCTTTGGCAAGGAGGTAGAGCTGCTGGAGCACATGGTGGACAACATGGAGGTTTCACCGGCCTTTCACAAGGAGGTAAAGCAGGTGGAGCGCATGGTGGGCAACATGGAGGCTTTACTGGTCTTTCACAAGGGGGTAAAGCCGGCGGAGCGCATGGAGCACAACAAGGTGGTTTAACTGGTCTTTGGCAAGGTGGTAGAGCTGCTGGGGCACATGGTGGACAACATGGAGGTTTCACCGGCCTTTCACAAGGCGGTAAAGCTGGTGGAGCACATGGTGGACAACATGGAGGTTTAACTGGTTTTTGGCAAGGTGGTAAAGCTGCTGGGGCGCATGGTGGACAACATGGAGGTTTCACCGGCCTTTCACAAGGCGGTAAAGCTGGTGGAGCACATGGTGGACAACATGGAGGTTTAACTGGTTTTTGGCAAGGTGGTAAAGCTGCTGGGGCGCATGGTGGACAACATGGAGGTTTCACCGGCCTTTCACAAGGCGGTAAAGCTGGTGGAGCACATGGTGGACAACATGGAGGTTTAACTGGTTTTTGGCAAGGTGGTAAAGCTGCTGGGGCGCATGGTGGACAACATGGAGGCTTTACTGGTCTTTCACAAGGGGGTAAAGCCGGCGGAGCGCATGGAGCACAACAAGGTGGTTTAACTGGTCTTTGGCAAGGTGGTAGAGCTGCTGGGGCACATGGTGGACAACATGGAGGTTTCACCGGCCTTTCACAAGGCGGTAAAGCTGGTGGAGCACATGGTGGACAACATGGAGGTTTAACTGGTTTTTGGCAAGGTGGTAAAGCTGCTGGGGCGCATGGTGGACAACATGGAGGTTTCACCGGCCTTTCACAAGGCGGTAACGCTGGTGGAGCACATGGTGGACAACATGGAGGTTTAACTGGTTTTTGGCAAGGTGGTAAAGCTGCTGGGGCGCATGGTGGACAACATGGAGGTTTCACCGGCCTTTCACAAGGCGGTAAAGCTGGTGGAGCACATGGTGGACAACATGGAGGTTTAACTGGTTTTTGGCAAGGTGGTAAAGCTGCTGGGGCGCATGGTGGACAACATGGAGGTTTTACTGGCCTTTCACAAGGCGGTAAAGCAGGTGGAGCACATGGAGCACAACAAGGTGGTTTTACAGGTCTTTCACAAGGTGGTAAAGCTGGTGGAGCACATGGTGGACAACATGGAGGTTTAACTGGTTTTTGGCAAGGTGGTAAAGCTGCTGGGGCGCATGGTGGACAACATGGAGGTTTCACCGGCCTTTCACAAGGCGGTAACGCTGGTGGAGCACATGGTGGACAACATGGAGGTTTAACTGGTTTTTGGCAAGGTGGTAAAGCTGCTGGGGCGCATGGTGGACAACATGGAGGTTTCACCGGCCTTTCACAAGGCGGTAAAGCTGGTGGAGCACATGGTGGACAACATGGAGGTTTAACTGGTTTTTGGCAAGGTGGTAAAGCTGCTGGGGCGCATGGTGGACAACATGGAGGTTTTACCGGCCTTTCACAAGGCGGTAAAGCAGGTGGAGCACATGGAGCACAACAAGGTGGTTTTACAGGTCTTTGGCAAGGTGGTAGAGCTGCTGGGGCACATGGTGGACAACATGGAGGTTTAACTGGTTTTTGGCAAGGTGGTAAAGCTGGTGGAGCACATGGTGGACAACATGGAGGTTTCACCGGCCTTTCACAAGGCGGTAAAGCTGGTGGAGCACATGGTGGACAACATGGAGGCTTCACTGGCTTTTCACAAGGGGGTAAAGCTGGCGGAGCACATGGTGGACAGCATGGAGGTTTAACTGGTCTTTGGCAAGGAGGTAGAGCTGGGGGAGCGCAAGGAGCACAGCAAGGTGGTTTAACCGGTCTTTGGCAAGGTGGTAGAGCAGGAGGAGCACATGGCGCGCAACATGGTGGTTTAACAGGTCTTTGGCAAGGTGGCAATGCAGGTGGTGCACAGGGTGCACAACAAGGTGGTTTGACTGGTCTTTGACATGGTGGTAAAGCAGGAGGAGCACATGGTGCACAGCATGGTGGTTTTACTGGTCTTTGGCAAGGAGGCATTGGCGCTGGAGAGCAAGGTGAGCAATATGGTTCGCATGGTGGTATACAAATTGCAGGGCATGGTGTACTTGGACAACAAGGGGGAGGACATGATAAACAAGATAAGGGATAGCAAATTATTGTTTTGTTTCTTGATGCGTACATGTTGGCACTTTCTTTCCAGGACTTATCTTTGTTTTCTTTCACTTTTTCATTAATCATATAAGATTTGTAATTTATTAAGTAAGAGCATAATAATTGGTTAGATATTGATAGTTGATTGCAACAAACCTCCGCAGTATTATATTTTGAACATTGAACTGGACGGGAATTTATTTTCAAATTATTCACTCCATCGTTCTTTTCTGTTACATTCGCATTGTTATAACTATTTTTTGTAACTAATATTGTGTTGCCATTTTTGTTCGTTTTTTCATTTTTACTGTTGAAGTTTTCGGAAGTCGACGAATTTATTGGGTTTTTCGGTAACATTTTAATTTAGAATTTAATTTAAAAATTAACTAGAATTTAGTACAGTTTTTGTTTAAGCCAAAAAAGTTGTCAAAATTGACACTAAAAGTGACATTACTCAATAAGAGCGAAACACAACTTTATGCGGCACTAGCGGCGTTAATTTGAACTAAACATAACGAATAATATTTGTTTGTTTGTTAAGATTAAGTGTGTAAATCGGTATTTTGAGTTGGTTTTTGAACTATTTTGTATTTTCTTTTTATCTTCAACGTGAAAATAATAAACTATAACGCGTTTCGAGAACAGCTGGTCGAGCGAAGGTAGCGCCACCATCGTTCAATAATGTCAATATTTGTTTCAATCTACAAGTATGCATTTCTGGGCACTCTTCGCTTCAAGGTCAAATCATATTTTAGTTTTCAATCGGGTCGCCTATGTCGCTACTGTCGCTAAATTTAAATCTAGCATGCTGCGCGGTAGTTGCCGTGTTGAGTCTGAATTTCGAGTTTCAGTATTATAAATTTAATTTATGAAGTCTCATTTAGATTTGAGTTTGTTCGGTTCGTTTGCGGTTGTTATTTCGATTATGTGCTTTTAATTGTGAATATTTTATATGAACTAAAACGGTTGTGAAGTGTTGTGCCGTTTCGAGTAGCCAAGTCAACAAGTCAACAAAATTTCATTGCCTAGCCTTCTAGCCTACCAAACGATGAAGTGGTATGTATACAATTTTTAGTATACACTGTACGTGCTTCATTCCAGATCGCAACATAGGTTTTATAGGCTATAGGTGCGATAAAGATAACTTTCATTAGACATTTATAAAAAGAAAAAGAAAGAGTGACATTTGTGTCATTGCAACTTTTCACTCTGACAACTGTCATTTTATTAATCTTTCTTTGTTCAACTCATAGAAACGACCTTGTTGCGGTCCGAATTAAAGCAATCTGTATGATCTGTGATGCATTTCTTCGAATTTTCAACTAATGGAACATTTAAGAAACTCGTTAAGAAACTGGTTTTTATGAAAGTAAAAGTCCATTATCACCATTACCGTGACATTAATATCAACAAAGTTGTTGCTCGGCAACATTTTTCCTGTCAATTTTTTTCCACATCAAGTTACTCATCGACCGCGATCAAATGTGACCATCGTTCCATCACCTGTCCAATAATTGTCAATGATAAATTCAATTCGTTAGCGTCTCATTCCCAACCACCAAATTCCCGTTGTATGGTAAATTGCATCCACGATAACCACTAATGATCCCCGCCAAATCGACAATGAGCATCACCCGCCAAACGCCCGCGACCGCCGACGCCGAGCAACTCTCGCGCATCGAAAACCTGATCGCCGACAGCCTCGAACCGGCGTTCGACTACGATCCGCCCAGCGCGATCGAGTGCTACCAAGCCGGCTGCCCGCCGCCCAAATGCCCGCCGTCGAAGTGCTGCCCGCCCGCCTCCTGCTGCCCGCCGGCCTGCTGCTCGCCGATGTGCCCGCCGTTCAACTGCCCGCCCTGCTGCGCCCCGCTGGGCTCGTCGTGCCCCCCGCCCTGTAACCCCTGCTGCCCGCCGCCGTGCAACCCGTGCTGCCCGCCGTCCTGTCCGCCGTCGTGCCCGCCGCCTTGCTGCCCGCCGCCGTCGTGCAAGCCGGCTTGCTGCCCGCCGAGGTCGCCGGCGAATTTCCCGGTGCCGCGGAGCTGTTGTCCGCCGAAGTGCGGGATGCCTTCGTGTCCGATGAACACGTTGGCGCCGCGGCCTTGTTGTCCGCCGGCGTGTCCGCCGAAATGCCCGCCGTCGGGTTCGCCGAAATGTCCACCGCCATCTTGCTGCCCGCCGCCTTGCTGTTTGCCGCCTTGTTGTCCGCCGCCGTGTCCGCCGTCGTGCCCGCCGGCGTGTCCGCCGCCCGGGGGTTGTTGTCCGCCGCCTTGTCCGCGCAAGCCGCCTTCTTGTCCTATGAATTATTTGCCGCCTAGGCCTTGCTGATTCGTAATATAGGGTTTATTTATTTAGAGGAAATGGGGAAACTCCAGCAGATTTGAACTCGATTTCTATAAAATCTCTATGGTTGTTTGAGTTCTTGTTCAATCTTCTCTGCAATTCATTCCATTCGCATTAGTTTCCTCAAAGGTTTCTATTATTTTTCATTATATTTTATTAGGGTACATTATTCATAAATTGGTTGAGTATTGATTTGAGAACAGAAGTAATTGTAATTAATGTTCAACCATTTATGTTTCCTTGATAAGACATAAATAGATTCCATAACCATGCCTCATATCTAAATAGTCGGGTGATACTTCGAGTTGCAAAACAAACATAAAAAATTAAAAACGAAGCGGATTTTATGAAAACTTTTTTTGTAACTTAAAAATATTTACAAAAATGCACAACATTCCGGATGAAACAATTTATCGAAACATTCATCATTGTAACGCCAAAAAATAAGAAAATTGTAAAACCACATTCAAATAAATAATTTTCGTTGGACATTCTTTAATTCCATATTGTTTTGTGTAGATGACATAATTTCAAGAAAGTTTAAACAATTATACAAAATGCATTTTTATTAGAAATTGTGTCATCTAAAATATATTTTAATTTCTAAGAAACTTAAATTATAAACGTAATTATTATTATAAGTTTAAAACAATTATACACAATAATTCTATCACAAATTACTTAAGTACCTATATCTAATCTAAAATGACTCCCCATTATGTTACTGGCAGATTTAATTAAAAATTCGTTCTTAAGGAACACATAATACCATCACAACTCTAATCACTCAATTAATAAGCGGGAATAAAATTCCTCCTATTGTTTATTCCTATTCAGCAAATAGTCCTTCCTCAGATTTAAATTTATGTGCGCTCCAACGTACGTTCTCAACCAAACCGGCGAGAATTTCGTGAAGAAAGTCTAAAAAAATACAAAGAAATTGAGTACAATCACCACTGTATTATTGATAGTCGATAAACTACTATATTTTTGTTCACACTACCCTGTACATATTTTTTTTGGTTCACACTACCTGAATTCCATGCGTCCAATACCCGGACGATTCGTCCATTTTCCCCAACGTCATCACGGCGTATTTGGCGTACTCTTCGGCATCGGGTATCAGGAAACCGTTCCTCTGCAGCTTCTTGCTGAACGCATTCATCTTCGTATCGACGAAAAACGGTGCTAGATGTTGAATGGTGATGCCGTAACGGCTGTATTCAAACCTCAATGCCGCCGTAAAACTTTTAATGTACGCCTGTAACAGCAAACAACAAGGGTCTATCAAGAAGAGTCGACAAAATTTTCTCTCTACTTTTATGCGCAACATGTCCCTCTACCTTTATGTCCATCATTTTCTCTCTAGTTTTATACTCTAAATTTTCTCTCTACTTTTATGCACTAAATGTTCTCTCTAGTTTTATACACTAAATTTTCTCTCTACTTTTATGCGCAACATGTTCTACCTTTATGTTCATAATTTTCTCTCTACCTTTATGCCCATAATTTTCTCTCTACTTTTATGCACTAAATTTTCTCTCTACTTTTACGCACAAAATTTTCTCTCTACTTTTATGCACAATATGTCCCTCTACCTTTATGCCTATAATTTTCTCTCTACTTTTATGCACAATATGTCCCTCTACCTTTATGCCTATAATTTTCTCAACAAATATTTTCTTTCTACTTTCTTGGACATTTTCTCTTCATATCATTCATATCCTCTTCATGGTATGCTCTCTACTTTTACGCACAAACTTTTCTCTCTTCTTTTTGCACAAACTTTTCTCTCTGCCTTTATGTACAAAAGTTTCTCCCTACTTTCATGAACATTTTCTCTCTAGCGTTATGTATAAAATTTTCTTCCTACTATCATGGACAATACCTGCATATAGGCAACCAGCATTTCTTAAGCTGTGATGCACATTTTACTGTTACCACATATGGTGTTTTTACCTTGGTGGCGGCGTAAACGGTCATGAGAGGTAGCGGTTGCAGCTCGGACCCCGAAGACACGTTCACGATGGCGCCGCTTCCTCGTTTCTTCATGTCCTCGATGAAGGCGCGACACATCATCGTCACCGCTCCGACGTTGATGCTGATGATGTCGAGCAGGTCCTGCTCCGGCACTTCCGACAGGTACATGGGGTACTCGTATTGCTTGCCGACGTTGTTGACTGGATTTTTGGTTGATTGTTGTAGTAATGAAATTGTTAATATGTGGTTTTGTTACCTAAAATATTTATGGGCAGGACGCCCAGTTTTTCCTTCACTGTGTCCACGGCTTTTTGTCCCAGCGAGAAGTCTGCGGCGATTGTTTTGGTTTTAACCATGTATTTTGTTTCTGAAAACGGTAAAATAAATTTGCATATTTTATTTTATTTGAAATTTCGTATTGAGTGTGCTAATACTATTACTAATGCGCATCAGGAACAATTGAAAGGTAATAGATAATAATATTATTTAGTATAGCAAATTGGTTAAATGCTGGTAACTAATGTATTGGAGTTTACATTAGAACGGTCGTTAAACCTATAATTGAGTTTGTTTAAACGGCAATAAAAATTAATGATGCATCCACATTTATTAATTTCCTGTCGTAGTAGTGAAAACTCTCTAAATTTTGATGAATTTCTACAGAAAAAATAAGCTACAATTAGGTACTTACCAATTTCTTCGGCAGTTTTCTTCAACCTTTCCTCATTTCTGCTAACAAGTACTACATTTATGCCTCTTTTGGCCAATTCACAGGCGTATGCTTTGCCTATACCATCCGTAGATCCCGTAATTACTACAAAACAAATTGCCATTATTAGTGATTTTTATTTATATCTTTACCCTGTATATTAATTTGATTTAAAATCGATCGATTTGGTTTAAAAAAAAATGCTATTATAACATTATTGAAGCGGGCCCTGCTTGGCGCAATTTTATCATCTTACCCATCGGAAATTATTAAACAGATAGTGCATATTTAAGTAATTGTAACGGTTCAGAATGCACCGTTACGAAAAATCAGATAAACATTAAGAAAGTTGTGAATATTGTGTGTTGCAGGAAGCGATGAGAGAAAAAAAAAAGAACATTTCAAACCACAAATGTTATGTCATTTCTTTCACATAACGCTAAATTATTCATTTTATCTTTAATTTGTAAATTTCAAAATTTTGGGATTAATTATTCAATTAATTAATTTTTAATCAAACGAGTGACCTGTAAATGCACCTATTATCTAAATAAATTAAGTACTAAATCGTTTAAAAAATATATCAAAGTAAATTAAACGTTAATTCGAGTTCGTTTGATATACATAAAGTAATTAGCATTAATCATTTACACTAAGAAGCAATTATGCTAATTTATTTAAATAAATCAAAATATTCTTCAGATATATTACTGTAAAATTTTCCATCGAATCAGCAACAATATTTTTTATACATTCTTCATAACATACCTGCGTAGTTTGTACATTAATTAAATAATGTTTTCAACGATTAATCCTTGAGCACAAAGAAAGACATTTCTTGGCATTATAATGGACAGTAAATAATTGTTGTGAAATTTATATGCGAATGCTTAATGCATAATTTCGGTGTGGCTTTTACGGGTAAATTGCAATTGCAGTGCCATCGACCGTGACATACTTTCTCATCTAATAAGTAATTGATACCTAAATAAGCAGGTACACTAAAAATTAAATCCGCTAAGTTGAATTCGTTTGATTACTGTGGTAATTATTTCTCGTTATTTAAAGCGGTTTTTTACGAAGTGTTAAATTTTAGACGACGAATAGATCGGTATTACAATTTTTTAATATCTTTCAAGGTCGCTTTATACGCGAATGAGCTAGAAGTTATTTCCAACTTTGATATAAATAGATGTGATTTGAGTAAATTGATGATATAACCAATTAAAAATTTTAAATAAACGCCGTATTAACAATTGAATCAAATTAAGAATCGCGTAAAAAATATTTAATTGACCAATTGAACAATAATTACGTTTTTCGACGAGACGACAAAAGAGATTTAAGCGGTATTCAAAAAGTAAAAAAATATTCAGTATAGTTTCTAATAATGTGCTTTGCTTACATAATTCGCGCATAACAAATAAGAGACACCAAACCGCAGGTAAAAAAATTTAAATTGCAAATTTGATATTAAAACTAAAGAATATAAATAAACAACCAACAACCAATAACAAACAAACTCGAAAGAATTTTAAGCGCACTCTTGTAATCTTTCAAAGAGATTTTAATGAATTCCAAGATTCCCATTTTACAAATGGTTATATCTCTAACTTACATGCCCATGGTCCGTATTTCTTCAGCAAGGAAGTTTCTTCAGCCGGCAAAAATAAGGGAGATAACAGCGCCCTGCATGTTTGAAGAATATTCCAGATGGAATCCAGAAGAAACAGGATGATCACTATCAAACCTATCACAGCCAACGGGAGTGTGTAATATTCCGACATCATCATCTCCTGCAAAATTAAATACTACTAAATGTATTAAAGTATAGAGGCGAACGTAAAAGTTTCCTAAAATTTAAGAAATGAGGATTTAATGAAACGTTATTAAAAAGTGAGTAGGTTCCCAGGAAGATTTATATTTCTTTTCACGTCGAATTGAAATCTATACTTATTTGGTAATTAAAAAAATTCCTAGACATTAATTTTGTTCGATAAAATTATTAATTAGTTTTATAAATAATCGCAGCAATTAATATGCGATTAAATTTGGTTTTCGTAGATAATGTAATTGAATCGTATATTAATAATTTTAATAGCCTAGCGCTTTTTCGAAATACTTAGTTTCAAAATTAATAACATGTACTTATAATACAAAAGTAGTATTTCTCATAGCTTTCATTGCAATCGTAGTACATTCTAATTTTTGGCAGTGCATATACTTAAAACAGGCTTGTCTCTAGGGATCGGCATGCTAACTTAGGAATGCAGTAAATAAAATCGAATTAATCAGTATACTAGAGCTCATAAATCGCAGATCCATCGCACACGATTTAAGTTTCGATGTCAAGGGCCTTGAAAATGTAGCGCAAAAATCGAATGTTTCAGAAGAGAGAGTGAATAAATTTTACTTTTATCTTACGCAATTTATTTTTTTATTTTTTGCATTTTAAGGCAATTCAGAGTCGACGTAATTCGACGACCATCAGGGACATTTTGTGAGAGTGTATAAATTTTATAATCTCAAATTTCTTTATACGCAGTGAGATCAATTTGGGCGCCTTAAAATCCTGCTATTGTTGTTAATTTTAGAGAAACTCGGCGAGTCGGCTAAGTGATCAAAATTTCCTCATTTATAGCGCGAAATCGTTGCCGAAACGATTCGCAAATCGACTTTTTTTCCTCCGTCGATCGGATCGAATCGCTCCGGATGCATTTCCCCGTCGATTCGCTATTGCACTTGTAAGTTCGCCGCAACCTTGAAAGACCAAACGGCGTTTTACAAGAAGAAAAAGAAAACTATTACGCCATTTGCGGGCCACTAATCGCAAAAACCGTTGTTCCGACACCGATATTCCGCTATTTCAATTCGCCAGATCGATATCCACTCGACCACAATTCCATTAGCAATGATCGTTGCAAATTAACCGCTACAGATACCTGTACCATGGTCGTAATAAATGTTAAAATTGGCCAGAATGTTTCAATTACATTATTATATTTTTCACAAATTGTAACGAATTTAAGAAGACTTCTTGTTGTCCTAAATATTTATTAATGCTGTCGATTACAAGGTTGATGAATTGAATTTAAAATCGAAGAATTATTATGTAAATGTACCTACTTATTAAAACAAGGTCAAGGCTATATAATCAAGGCTGTAGGGGTTCTTCGTTATTGATAAAAAGAAAAAATGGCGTTACTGGAAATATAAATAAAATACGCATTTATACAATAAGTGAAGAAATCTTGGCATAAAAGAACCTTGTATATCCAAAACTGCATTAAACTGGGTTAACTTAACATGAAAAACAACTATAAAAAATACGTTTGTCTGTAATTACTGGTTATCTAGGTAGAAAGACACATGCAAAGGACAATTATTTTCGCTGTACAAGACAAATAGCAAAACAATTTTTGAGCAATGGTAAAAAAAAGTAAAACATGAGAATTTCTGAATTAAATAGTATTTAAAAAATCTTATGTAACAGTCAGTTTTTTATTTGTTTATACCTACCATTTAAAATTCGCACAGATTATGTTTAGTTATTCCTGTCGTACTGTATGTAGATACTAACAAATATGAATTATGGATGTAATTATTCATGTAGTTTTTTATGATCTTAAAATAAAATTATTGAAACAATGATATTCTTAAAAGTAACATAAAAAATTGTAATTAAGCATAAATTAGAAGTCGTTGGACCATTATTTTAATAGCTCGAAATAATGGAATTCCTCAATAACAACCTACTATTATAGTATTGATACTGTATAAAAAATTAATGCGTATCATAATTTTTAAATTTGTACAAAATTAAACCGAGCATATCTTTGAATGCCAGAAATTAACCGTACAAAGAGGATTAAAAAATGTAAAAAAAAGTATGATTATTAACATCAATCTTTTTTTTATTATCAAATTTTGTATACCTAATAATTATTGTTCGACCGATAATAAAAAGTGATTTATTGAATTTTTAGCATTTGAGTATTCAAGTACTAAGATTTTAATTATTTTTTATACATTTAAAAGCATGGATAATTAAGCAAAGTGCTATTTGTTAAAATGCATCGCTAAATGCAATAAATTTTAATATATTCTACATGCTTGTATAGATAATTGATAAATCACGAAAAGTTGTTAAATTCAATGGCACATCGTTAAATTAAAAAAAAAACCAACTGTTAGGTAGTTGATTGTTTTAAAAATGCTTTAAAAAACATAAATCTGTATTTGATAATTGGTTTATTGTTACATTGTTTATTAGAAATTATAAACTTTCTAGAGGCAAAAAAGTCTATTATAACATATGAATCAATTAGGAATATTACAACGAGCTCGCGAAGCGAGTCAGACCTTGTCTGAATACCATTTTAAAAAATCGAAAGTTGCACAACCTTGCAATTTAATACTAGATCTGCATAAAAACATAATAAACAAAACACACTAAAATATCGGAAAATGTCAATGCTAATATCATTGTGAACGTTTAATTATAAATTTAAATTACGAATTAGGATACAGCATAACACGTCAATAAAATAGCTTCATTTTTGCATATTAAACACTGCAATAATCCATTAACTACTTATATTGCCCGTTGACATATACAAAAAATAACCGTTTCGCAAGTAAAATTTTGCTGAGCAACGATTTGAGCAAATAAAATCAAATTCCCGTGTTTATGTTCGCTACCGCAATTACCAGTACTCACACGATTAAACAATTATCGTAGGCAATGCGGGCTTTGTGTATTCAAATTTCTTCACGATCTCAAATAACAGGCTTCATCTTAGAAGTAAAAGGAGGACGAATAAGCTTTCTCAAGGATGCCATTACACATGTTTATTAAAAGTACAATTAAAATATACCTCCGAATGGGCAGAATGTTTCGACAGTCGCTATTATTCGTGAAATTTTGGAACGAAACGAGGTGTATCGTACCGGCTGAATTAAAATTGTTGCTTAACATTTCTGTTTTCTATTTAATATTCAATTTCATATAGGCATATAACGGTTTAAATATACATTTTTAGTCGAAATTTGCTTAAAAAAGTAGCTAATAACAGAACTTTACTGTTTTTTTTAGGAAAAAAGCAAAAATTTTAATGAATAAGGTACTTAATTAATTTTTAAATAATAATAACTACCCCCAAATTTTTTGGAATCCGTTTACTTTATTAGAATTAATAAATAGTACAATTTTCCAACAAAACATAGCTCACCGATAATTTCAAATCGAATTAACCAAAACGAGCACCAATCGCTGCACTATGAACTAAACAATGAACAATAATACACTTTAACTAACAATCCAAAAAAATAACAAACCGCCAGCGCCCGTTATCGAATTCGAAACTTGGCCGATGCCGCGCGATTCTTTTTCCACTAAATCCGAAATCCGATCCAAACCGATCCGATTAAAATTTGACCCCGGCTAACAATTGATAACCTCCCACCTCCCTTTCTCTCTCTTTTTAACCTCACCATTCTCGCCAATCTTCATAGTCATAGACATTACGGACAATACTTGCGATACCTTCTACAACGCCAGCGGAATGAAAAAGCGGAGCCTTGAGGAGTTCAAGAGTATTTAGCGCTCTTTGTGAAAGTACTGACTGCTTACCTACACAGTACAGTAGGTACTTCATGGAGATTGATCGCGATAAGTGTACCAGTCGATGGGAATCCTCCAATCATACTTATGTTTCGAAATACGAAGAGTTATAAAGCTCGATGTTCGATGAAGGTAGTAATTAAAGTTCCTCAATCATGAGGAAAATGTTAATGGAATTGGGAAGTAGGAAGTGTTTAGTAAGGGTCTTGTTAATAACAACATCAATTTGGATGAAAATATTAAAATCTGACCCTGAATGTCTGCAAATCCGACTTCCTGCGACCTTCTAATATCAGAGTTATTAAAAAATATTTAAAGTTAATACAACAGTATTTATATGCATCAACAAGTTTTAGATTCCTTTTTTCACACTTAGGTAACCATTTAAAATATGTGCCTACCTAGTAGAAAAAATTTTAAAAATCAAATCATAAAATTATCAGTTAGTTTATGACCTATTAGTTAAAATTTAAAGTGTCCACAATTTTAATTGTTTAAATCTTAAGTACTTTGTACTGTTTTTTAATACCCTAATTATGGTAGATATCGCTACATTACAGTAGTAGTAACAGTGATTTATTTCCATTTGTCTATCGTCTAACACAAAATGTCAATTACCACCTTCCTATCGGGCTATCGTTAATGGTGGTTGGAAAAAGGCGCGTTTTTAAAAGGCGATTTAACGCAAGAGTTGAGATTTCGGGTTTCGCGGCGAGCGAACTTCCCATTAGCCTTAATTATGCGGCCCAAATCCCAGCAAATGGACAAATTTTTTTATTAGCCCGACAGCAATTTACCTAATTATATGTGAAATAATCGGTGCGAGATTTCTCTGGCTGCGCAACCGGATCCGGTTATTTTTATGTTTATTCGGTCGGGTGGGCACAATTTGGAATTTAGAAATCGATTTTTTTTAAACTATTGCATATATATTATTATTGTATGCACATTTATTTCCGCAAAAAAATTTTAAGGTGTACCCAATGTTACTCAATTTTCTTGTTGTAGCTGTTAAATAATAATTAAAACAGGATATTTTTTATTAATTTATTATGCTATTAAAAAATTATTAAATACTCTTCAAAATTTTTTGCAATGAACTGACAAATTGTCGATAAATTGGAAATAATTTTACCAATTTTCTGTTAATAAAATTCCACCGAATAGTTGCATAAAATTCGAATGTTGTCTTACTGAAATCTTTATTTTTAGATTTAATTTGTTTGCGACTTATTTCACAAAATAATTAACATTTACTATCAATTTATAAAGAAATAAACCGATGTATTGAACAGGATTTTTTATTAGTGCCGCAGAATGAAATAAATTATAGTGTAATTAAATTGTAAAACCCACCCATCAATAACTTTTGGAAGCATTTTTTATCTACCTGTTTTTGTTTTTGATCTGTCTTGTTGACGTAGCTTTATTCTTGATTTTTTTCCACAAATTGGCCAAAAATAAACCTTAGAAAGATTCACTTTAAAGCAGGTAACTTTGAAAAAAAATACTAAATGACCTCTCGACTTGTTTAGATTTATTTTACATTAATTTCCTAAAAACTCTGTATATATTGCAGATAATTTTAAAAATGGCTTGATTGATTCGAAAATTAAGTATGTACATGCAAATGCAATAATGTAAATGATAATGCAATGAATTACAACAAAGTCAAGGCTACAATTGAACGGTATTTCGACATTCCTTAATGCCGATTATTTAATAGAAAAAATACGATAAACAAAATTGCATAAAAGAATCGAAACCTGCAACATCGTTTCCTTCGGAATACTTTTGTTAATAAAGATTAGGATTCATCAATAAAAAATAGCATTTTAAACGAAATTTTATTACATACTAAAATTCATACAAAATGGGTTCAATATCGACAATTGAAATTACATTAACGACCAACATAAAATGAACACCAAACCATCTACCTACATACTTCACAAAGAACAAACAAGCTATAGAGGCTTCAATTATCATAGTCGTTTATACTCCATAGAAAATCTCAAACATAACAATTTAATTATGTATAGAACAGTGTTCGAATCTATAAAAATTAATTTTATAGCTTTAGTTAATTAGCATAGTTTTCATCGACTGAGAACTTAATAAACTATTGCACAAGTGAAAGCACAAATATTGTGTTCGTCGGCTTATGCAACCTGAATGTCTAATCAAATCCTTATGATAGAATAAATACGGACAAATATTCATACAGAAGAAATAAGAATAATATAATCGCACATCACAGATTGGATTGTTGAATTTGCTTGAATACATAAACTGTGGAATAATACAAGAAAACTAGTACTGATTAGGTATATCAAATTCAATATACCTATGTATCCTAAAAAGAATTGCATTTATCTCGGTTCAATTAATTTAATAATTACTTTAAAAACTCACAGAGTGGGTCAACAGTGTGATATTATTAGGTTTGTTCCTACAACGTCTGCGCAGTAATAATTTAGGCGTTCCAACAAACTCCACAGACATCTCTGATTCTGACTTGGTTAACAATTTATTGTTCCAACAGTTCAAGGGACTGGTTTTGTGATAGTCAGAAAAATTTGCTGATAGTACAGAGATTTAGAATCAGGCGCAAGTGCATTTTTAATTTGTATTTCTGAATATAGGTTAATTATTAGGTTATGTTGTTTGTTGTTTTTGTTTGATACTTTGATACTTTAATTTGATTACACCATTCAATCACAAACCGCGCATGCGAAATAGAGGAGTCAGAAACTTATTGGTAACAAATCAGCGACTTTTTGTAGGAACAAACCTATTAGGTAAAAGTAACACTATTACTCAAATTTCGCATTCTTACAAGTCTCTTCAATCAAAGATTCCTTCTAATATCGAATCGACGCCCATCCGAGGCGAGTTGAAACCTCTACAGCACGACCTACCTAATGCAAACCGACGCCGAAGGCCAGTTTCTGCATCTTAACCGGCGCCGGCAGCGGCCTCGCCGGCCAGCTGTCGACGCTCCTCAGCACCGCGCTCTCGTTCTCGATCCTCTCGAAATCGACGATGTACGGATAGATCCGCTGCTCGATCCACTCGCCGATCGTGTGGTTGTCGAAGCAGTCGCCCATCGCCTCGACGGCCGCCCGCGCCACGTTCACCATGCCGTGGTAGAGCCGCGGCAGGTCGACGGTCAGCTCGTCGACGCGCAGGCCCAGGCTGTAGTTGTGCCGCACGTTGTACCCCGTCATCCAGCCCTTCTGCCGCTCGATCAGGTCGAGGAACTCGCGGGCCTCGAGCTCGACGTTGTGCAGCCGGTTGGTCAGCCGGAAGACTCGATTGCCCGGAAACGAACACCTCCAATAACGAAACAATCAGTACTCATGTTGAGGCAGTCTATAATGCGCATACCTGCTGAGTTTCTCCCAGAGGAACGGGTCAGTTGTCAACGCGATGAACGGAGCAGCGTCCAGGGTGGGTTCCGGACAGTCCAGAACCTTGAGCAGCTTATCTTTCAATGATAAGTTGAAGTATCCGTGGGTGGTGGCTAGAAGGGTTAGAGCCAACGATGGAATCGACGCTGGAAGTAGTTCACACAACACCTACACGAATCGTGGGGGTTTAAAAGTGGCTGTATACCAAACGAGTTCAAACTTACTGCGAAATGATCGTATCTCTGCCAGCCGGTGATGGCGATTCCGCTTAGGCCTCGTTTGAAAGCGACCGATTGAGCTGCCATTGTATCGAGCCACCTCAGAGTGTTCTCGAGGTGTCTTCGAGCGTTAGGAATATACAGGGTTTCCCCGAAAGCGCCTTTGAACGCCGAAGCCGCCCAAGCTGTCTCGAACACCGCCGAGTACTTTTCCCATATAGTAGGCTGCACGAATCTACGAAAAGCAATTTATACTAGCAATACAAGCGCAACGATAGCTCCTAAACCTGTAAATGTCCTCGGCGTAGACCCACACCATGGGTTCTACCAGCTCGCCCAGTTTAACGTCGAGCATCGCCTGCTGGGATATGTGCCTGAGCATATCGTCCCATACGATGATTTTGACGGATGGGTACTTCGATCGAACGATGTCCACCACGTTCCGGATGTGCTTCAGGAAGAGATTATCGCGAATTTCCAGCCGGCAGGTGTCGCACTCGCCCATTTGGAACACCTCGTCGCAGCCGATGTGCAGGTACTTCACCGACGGATGCAGAGCCATCACCTGGTATGACCAAATCGGGTTGAATTCGGTGCTGTTAGAAGTAGAAAAGCGGGTTTACTTGATCGATCATGGTCCTGACGAAGTCCAAGGAGGTCTTCCTGCTGGGGCAGAGCGCCTGCGGGCTGTTGGGGACCTCTCGGAGGTGGGCGAACTCGCGGTGCTTCAGGGCGAACTCCATGTGGCCGAAGGTCTGGATCAACGGGACGATTTCCAGTTGGGAGGCCTCCGCTAAATTTAATATTTCCCTGATATTGTCCGCCGTGTAGGCGTTGCCGGCGGACACGTTTTTCAATGGACCGCTAAACGGGAACATATCCTCATATTCTGGCGATAACAGAAAAATGTTACAAGTTTTCCAAAGCATGCCGAGCGAGCGTAAAGCATTCGATGCGGAAATGTGAGATTATAGAAGAAACGCGAGTGAAATAATAGAATAGGAAACCTGTAAAACATTAACAACACATAACAAATCCAATTTCATAGACATCGAACGTGCTGTGAATTTTCGAAAATCGTTTTTTACCATAGTATGTTGTGCGTTGATAAATAAAACAAAAAATTAGGTATAAAATTAAATTTAATATAATAAACATGCAAAAAGGTAAAATCAATCAACCAATTAACTGTACCTAATAGAACTCCAGTGGCCCCCATTCGTCTTATCAGCGGGAAAAGCTTCCTCAAATATGGGATTATCGGTGGGGCTCCTTTCAAATCCAAATGCACCAACCGACGGTTGGGTATATAAGGATTGTTCGGGTCCAAGTTGACGTCCGGTATGCCCAATTGTCGTTCGATGTCGTTGCTTTCTCTTTCTCCATCTCGCTTGGCTTTCATCTTGCCGTCCTCCTCTCCGTTGGCTGCTTGTCCCAGTAGGTCTGCGATCGAGGACTTTTTGTTTGATTCGATGAATTTTATGTGATCGCCGGTTTTCATTCGGATTAATTTTTCGCTTTGCGCCGTTGTCGTCGAATCGGAGTTCTCCAAACGGGAAAATTGCAGGCCGAATATTATTAAAGACAAAAATCCGGTGGCTACTAGGATTGTTGTTTTCTTTCTCCAAGCCGTCCAGCCTAATCTCTGCATGTAGCTGTTCATTTTATATCTTTGGTACTTCTCTGGTTCTGTTCGTTAATGAAATTTTTACCAATACCGGTCGGTAGCTTTCATTTTGTGCTTGTGTATACTAGGAGTCAAATCATTTTCTGCAAAGAAAAACACAAGAAATAAAAAATCAATGATTCGTTTTGTTCAATTTCGTTCTACGTAAGAAATAAACCATTTTTCAATTACCTGAGAAACGAAATAAAATATCTACTTTCGTTCATTTCATGTGGATAACACTAATTTATTATTTATTATTTAATTTAATTTGAATTGTTTATTATTAATGACAGTAATGACAAGGATCGCAAACATAAATGAAGTTTAGAACAAAACATTGCGTCACAAACGTCAATTCTTCTTTTTTTGAATCCAATTCAATTGTTGTACGATGAATGATTGAAACTTTAATAAAATTAATGCAACTTATGAACGTAATAAGTAAAATTCAATAATATTTCTTAATTAATTAGGATTTTAGTAATTTCATTAGTACAAATTTACAAACGAACGCAACATACGCAACGAATGAAGAAAGTAGTACAAACGAACGCAATTAAAAACCTATCAAGTTGTCAAAAAAGTCAAATCAACGAGACGAAACGTCAAGTGTGACGTACCCAAATAAATAAATCAAAATATTCGAAATGTTTTAACGAAAATCAAGGTAGTTTCAAAGTTTTCATCGGCGAATTCCAATCGATCTCGAACAGGTTCATCGACAAATGATCGTACATAAAATCCAACGGTAATTACGACAAAATGATCGCCCAGAAGGCAGATTTTCCGAACAGAGAGGCTACGATAAATACGCTGAAAGAACTGTGCGCTAACAATTCCGAATATTTCTCGAACGACAATTCCGAAAATGGCCAAAGACTGTACATGTCTTGCATGGCAATGATTGAAATCTCCGAAAGTATTAAAATAAAAACTGGCTATATCGAAACCAAGGTAGCTTCATTCGACTTCGACGAAAATACTCCAGGCAACGGTTACAGAAGCTTCATTAAAGTTGTAGATTTGGCTTTGAAGCTTGCACTAACCGCCCTCGAAAGGGTGACTGATAGAAGGGACAGCTTGTTATTTAGAAAGACTACTATTACAAAGTGAGTATTTCAATTAACTTTGGACCTTTATAGTTTTTTTTATTGTATTTTATATGGTGGATTTCTTATTTTTACAGTTATCTCGAATTATCATTTATTTGTCCAAAAAAAGACTAATACAATAAAACAACATTATTTGTATATTCATATCAAGTTTGATAATAAAATCAAGTTCAAGTCTCCTTTGAAATTAATCCCATATGTAGCATATAACATATTTTAGAATTTATAGTTACTCTTAATTTTTTACTTGGATTTATAATCTGGTTTTAATTCTTTATTTTTTTTCAGAGATGTTGAATCTTGCTCACATTTATTAACCAGCATCGAGGGCTGTTTAAATCAATTAGAATCTCATTTATGTTGGAGTGATCCGGGTGATCTCTTTGTAAGAGATGATTGCCCTTTACATGAGTTATTGGCAAAATATGGTGAAATCAATCAACACTGCTTTTATGGCAGAAACCTCGGATTTCAGGTAATTGAATTGTTGCTATTAATACAATATTAAAGTACTTATATTGGATCCAACATTAGCGTTGAAATTTCTATTATTATCAATGATTCCATTACGTTTTTCTTGAAGAATTTCTCATTAAAATATATTTTTCCATTTGCTGATAATCAAATGTAATTGCCTTATCTGAAATTGAAAAAGCTGGTTTCTAACGAATTTTAATTTCCGCCAAAACAAGGTTATTCAAATTATCCATACGTTATTAATAGATTAACTACTGGGCGATTATTTTACTTAAACTAGTCAATTTTGAAGTAATTATATAATTTAGCATTATTTTCAACATGCAACATGCAGCAGTTGACTGTGCGATTTTTTGCCCTAATCTTATTGACTTCCTTGAACTTTTTTTAATTTTTAAACCTCTCGTTAGATACTAAATGTATGCATTTATCTTTTAGTTTTGTGACTCAATTAAGAATCTCCTGCAATTTATATCGTTATCGATGGCACTATTTTCCGAAGTGTACTACAGCCAAGGTGAGCCGACAACTGGCAACGTTGCATCCCCCTCGAAATTTCAAACGACTCTCCGCTCTTTCAGGTTCTCTCCTGCAAAAGGCGACGAATTCGGCGATGTCCTCGGCGAAGTTCCTCACCGATCCCGAACTCCGGGCTCGACGCATCGTAAACCTGGGCCAGAACGCCGAAGTGGACTTCTGCAAGGCCTTCTGGTTCCTCTCCGAGACGGAATTGCTGAACCAATTGCCTTCGATCGTGGCCCCGTCGGTGGCCGTTTCTAAAATCATTCAATTACCGCCCGAACCGCTCGTGGCGAAGACCACCGAAGGCGAGGAAATCGACGTCCCGGTGCCGGCCTCTTTCATCGGTAATTACAATCTACACTTGAATATTCAGGGGTTTTGCATGGATTTCTCGCATTCGTAATTCTTTAGGAGCTCCTAGAAGCTCTATATCACGGTCTAAGGTCTGGAAACTGCCTTAGAGAATGTGTTTTGCATTAGAGAATGTGTCCCGTTATTTGAGGATTTTTTGAGTTTCTCTTTTGCGCCGCACCGTGGCGAATGATCGACTTATCGATAAAAATCGCGGTTGTATGAAATGACAGTTCGAACTGTCAAAACTTCAAAAATTATTTTTTGACATTTCGAAGAGAAAATGGCGAAAAACATTAACCGAAGATACGCGAGGCATGATGTTAACAACAAAATCATCGCCGATTTAAGTACATTTTTATATTTTGTATCTATTTTTAGTTTTAATAATACCTTTTGTAATGCTAATTCTATACACTGTGTTATTTATAAGATGCGACATAGGGATTCCTGTACAAATGTGTCAAAAGCAAGCTAACTTTTTTACCAAATAACGTTCGTAAAAAATAATAACAGATTTGAAAAGATCGTAAAAAAATATGTCGAAATGGACATTACATTTTCTTAAATTCGTTCTGATTTATTAAAAAAATGTATAATTAAGTTGAAAAAGTCATACGCCATAAATAATTCCTTTTTATGTCCTTAACACAGTGTATAGTAAGCAAACAAAGCGCGATCCTTTACAACATCGCCTCCTAGCGGTCATTTTAGGAACCCTGTTTTATCCTCAAATAACGGGACACATTTTCGACCTAAGACTTTAGAAATATACGGCCGTGTTCCATATTAATCAATGATAAACACGTTTACAGGTCGAAAATCCGTGCAAGTTCGCCTCATCAGCCACAAGATCCGCACGGGGATGATCGGCACCAAAGGTAAAGGCGGCGAGCCGCCCTCCAAAGGCCTATTGTTCCATTGTCACGGGGGCGGCTTCGTCGCCCAATCGTCCAAATCGCACGACGGCTACCTGAGAGATTGGGCGAAGGAATTGGACGTGCCCATTCTGTGCGTCGATTACAGCTTGGCCCCCGAAGCGCCTTATCCCAGAGCTTTGGAAGAGATCTTCTACGCCTACTGTTGGGCCCGAAAGCACTTTAGCCTTCTGGGATCCACAGGTTTCTATTGCAATATTCGTTTATGAGTAATATTAACGAGTTGTTCGTTTTTAGGCGAGGTTATTGTAGCGGCGGGGGATTCGGCCGGAGCGAATTTACTTCTGAGTACGACTTTGAAATGCGCTAAATTGAAAATACCAGTATTTACCGGTTTGTTCGTGGCCTACGCGCCTACTTTAGTCCATTACACGCCGTCGCCTTCACGATTGTTGTGCATGATGGATTCATTGATACCCTTTGGATTCCTAATGAGATGTCTCAAAGGTATTAGGTCGAATTTATAAAAAGAAGCACAACCTTTTGCTTCAAAAAATGAAGATTTTAAAGCCTTTTCCTCTTACATTTTACCTCTACCTTTTACTCCAAAGTAAATGCTTCATTTTTATAAACATGGACTATTATCTGCTCTAAATTATTATCTCCTACGTCCTGTTATTTGGTTTTTTTGTAGCTTACGCCGTTCCGGATCCGAACGTGAAGCAGTTCGCTTCGAACAGCGATGCCGATAATTCCGATACGGAAAGCTTCGAGGAAATATCCGAATCGGATTTGATGGAGCTGCGCGCCCAACGATCGCCCGTTTCTGAGCAATCCGACACCTTGACCTACGAGTCACTGAACTCCGAAGACGAGCCGGAAGGGTCGTCGAAGATGAAAGGTCAGATGAAGGAGTTGCTTGAAAGCTGTAGTAGAGCTGGTTTGTTATTATTTTTTTGTGTTACGTTTTCGATCCATTCACCGCTGTGATCTATGGTGTAATATGTACATCATAGGTGACATCATCTCATTCGTTTTTATAAGTTGCTTTAGTAGATTGATTAAATACAGGTTGCTCCATTTTTGATCGCAACATAGGTTATATAGGCCATGGGTGCGATAAAGACAACTTCTATTAGACACTTACAAAGGAAAAGGAAAGAATGACATTTGTGTCATTGCATCACTCTGACAGCTGTCATTTTATTAGTCTTTCTTTGTTCCACTCATAGAAATGACCATGTTGCAATCGGAAATGGAGCAAGGTGTAGATCATCAGTAATTTTACTATTCAAAAGATCCTTAACTGTTTTTATTCGTGTTGTGTATTTGTAGGTTCGGACTCGGAAGCCGATCGTAAAACTACAGAATCTTTGCAGACTAAATTTACGTCGATCATCTCGAATTTTAGGGAATCATTTTCGAAATATTTAAGTAAGCGTGTTAAAATCGATAATCAACAAGGTACATAGTAAATTGCAGTTGTAGGTGATAGGGGGCGCGCTTCGGAGGCTACTAAACTCCTGGATTTGGATGTGGATCCGAAGAGTTCGTTTATGGATAAGTTTTCGTTCGACGTGCCCAAGGATCCTTTCCTTAGTCCTTTATTGGCCGCCGATGAGGATTTGAAGAAATTTCCACCGACTAGAGTTTTAGTAAGTACATTTTGTTCTCGAAATACCTACTAGATTATTAAATTATTTTTTTTATAGAGCGTTCAAATGGATCCTTGTCTTGATGATTGTATCATGTTCGCAAGAAGGCTGAAAACTATTGGCAACAATGTACAAGTGGATGTATTGGAAGGCCTACCGCATGGATTTCTCAATTTTTCGTTGGTAATTATTATAAATTTTACTTTTGTATACAAAATTTATTGCTTCTTTGCATTGTTTTTCTTTATTTTAGTTCTCCAAAGAGGCCTATGATGGTTCGAAAGTGTGTATTAAACGAATCGATGAATTATTGAATAAAATTAAACAATAATAATTAGTTTGATTAGTCAATTTAAATAAAATCTAATTTATTTAAATGTTAATCTAAACCAACAAAAAACAATAAACTAATATGAATAGTTCTCGCCCTATTTTATAGAGGAGAGAAACTCAAGTATTATTAGATATTGTACCTATATGTAATCGAGATATCAAAAGGCTATTTTAAAATTGGACATCCCCAAACAAAAGAAAATAATTTCTTTAAATCTTGTCACGTTCAAAAAATTTGTAATCTTCAAAATACTCATCTTCGAATATTTCTATTAATAAAGCAATAAAAATCCAGAATAGATGCTTTGTTCAAAAGTGTCTTGAAAACTAGTCATTTTATTATTGCTTTATCCGCAATTATCAAAGCTTGCAGCTGATATCTCGGTTAATATATTAATGGAAGGCGAGATTTGTTTGTAAAAATAAAATAGTGATATTATTTTTATATGGTATTTAAAACTTGTAATTGATCGGGATATTTATACATGTAAATGAATTGTTATTGCTTATGAAGTTTTGGCCTATAAATTAAAGAAATATGAATATTTAATAAACGTTTTTGTTTCATACTTTTACAGGGTGTATAAAAATCATTAATCGATATACACTGATCGTTATTGCCAAATTTGATTTGTTGATTCGAGTAACTGTATACTCATCAGTCTACCATCTTACACAAACTTTAACCAATTAATGTCCTGCACTTAAAATAATGATATACCTATTAATCCTGATGGGGCGAATAAAACTTTGTAGATAAAGTAGGCGATATGGGATCCCCGAACCTTTCCGTAAACGAATCTTTGTGGCTTTTGGCCCTCGTCTCGATGGCCCTGTCATAGAATCTGGACAATTTAACGGCATTCGAAGTACCTGCGGCGAGATACCTGGTCTGCCTGCAGTCCATGACGATTTCGTCGCATCCCAAACTCGTCGCGACGCTCTCGGAGCGCGTCTTGCGATCGTCTGACTGGTCCACTTTCGTTCCGATCACTAGATAAGGGATCGTTGATGTGTTGCCTATGTAACTCTCCTGGTCGAATTCGATGTCGATACCAATCCCAGGGGAGTTCGATAGGATGTTTAAAGACGTGGAGGATTTCCGTTCTCTACTGTTCTTTCCGATTTCTCGCACCCACTTGTGTAGGTTTTTTTCGGATTTACCGTTGGTGAGGTCGTGGACTAATATGGCTCCGTGGCAGGGATTGTAGAATACAGATCTAGCGTTTCGGTGGGAATGGCTTCCTCCGATGTCCCAGAATTCCACGAAGAAGGTCTTTTGTTCCTTCATACCTGAAACAATTCCAAATTAGCGATACCTTACTACAAAATATGGAAAAAACATGTACTAGTTCGCTTCGGAATTTCACCTAATGGTGTAAAGTGTAACAATGTAATTAATTAGTTAATTAATGAGTAACATTAAATTATGCAGTATGGTTGTCTTACCTTCCTTATATTCGTGTAATTTTACTTCAACAGAAGAGCCTACGGTCCAGCTAGGTGACCTCAAAGGTTCATTGTGAGCTGCTAAATGGACAAAAGATGTTTTTCCTACACCTGAGTCACCTAACACTAAAATTCTCACTCTATCTATTGCAGACATTGTTAATTAAACACATAAAGTTGATTATTTTAAATTTTACACATCAACAATATCTACTTGTCAAACTTTTGAGGTTATGGTTTCATGGCCTTTTACATCAATGTTATATGGTGAACAGAAATTTTATTTGTCCTCCATGGCCTTCTACATCTTATTACAATTGGATTTTTCAAAAAATAAACATTCGCAGTAAAATTTACAATTAGTTTAAGTGTTTATTACATTTAAAAGATAAAGTACACAAATGAAAATACTAGATACAAAATAAATTTAAGAAATGAAGAATGGCTGCAAGAGCAATCGTGTAAACACATAAAAGAAAATTGCACAGATTATATCTTAAAATTAGGATAGGTTGTATACGACTCTATTTTTTCAAAAATTAACTTACTCTTTATGCAAGGTGATTACCTACCATTAAATTTTATAAATTTCATTTTTTCATCAAAAATCATTTCGTATTTTTTTTAAATAATAGAAATGTACATACATGTAAAACGATGATTACAAAAAAGTACAAATTAAATTTGAGATTATCGATTTTATGAAAAAATGAAACTTTAGTCCACGTATGTTGACACTAAAAATATACATTTCCCAAAATCTATCACACCTTTCATTTATTAAAAATATATAAAAATATTCTTTCCTCAATTGTGCATTCAAAATAAATGTAATCTAATATTTAATCTCAAATAAAGAAACTGCCCGTAGAAACCACTTTATAACGTTAAATTAAAATCGACGAATTAAACTGTAAGTACATTTATATTCAATCACAACTGAGTATACGCTTTAAAGAAAAAAAGACATGATAAATAACATATTTGGTTTTTATAAATAATATTACAACGTTACAGTTCATAATTCCTATATTATCACTTTCCAGTTATATGGAAAAAAATTATATGCATATTATATACACACTATGTACACATTCAGATATATTTACATTTAAATAAATGGAATAAAGATAATTATAAAGTTTTTTTGAGGTGTGAATTATAGAGTCATAAGAGAATTCTTGACTGTGTATATTGTAAAATAGAGTGTAAATTTTAACTAACATTGTAATAAAATAATGTAATATTCATTGTAAAAAATTACATATTTTACAATGTCAGAGAAGTAGAATTATTATTGCCTTAGATTAGTTGCTACTAAAAAATTCTCCTACAACCCAAAAAAAATGAATGATTTATGTAAAAATTAATATTCTAATATATTATAAAACTTTTCGTAATTAATTTATACCTATCATTTAATTTATTATCAAATTTTATTTGATGTCAATTTATAGTGACTTTCACTTTCTTCTCATTCTACAATTAGGCTCAATTTCGTAATCGCTCCCAAAATAATCGGCGGACTTAATTCTATCAAAATTTAGTACGAAACAATCCACACTGTACTCTGCAGAAAATCACTCCGAAATATCAAACTTCTATTATTAGTTTCACATCGTTCATACCATACAGTAAATTCGCATATCCACTGTGCTTCATTCCAGATCGCTGATTAAAGATAACTTTCATTAGACACTTATAAAAGAAAAAGAAAGAGTGACATTTGTGTCATTGCAACTTTTCACTCTGACAACTGTCATTTTAATAATCTTTCTTTGTTCAACTCATAGAAACGACCTTGTCGCGGTCTGAATTGAAGCAATCGGTAATACCACTCTAAAAAATACTAAACTACCCCAGAATAGATTAATCTCATTCAAAAAAAAAGTCAAATAGTACTTAAATCTGTGTCACAGAACAGAAACAACACAAATCGAATTTACCGTACGATAAAACCCACCCCTAATATTCGCACGAGATTAAAACTAAATTCGAACTCCACCTTAACAAATCAAGAAATTGAACCGACCAAGTCCACTTACGCCACGACCTACGACTCCAAATCCTCGTTCCGCTGGCTCGAAAAGTACGACACCAGCCCGCCGAATTCGCCGCCCGTCTCCTCCTCCTCGCCGATCGGCGCCCGCTCCGCCGCCTCCGCCGCCCCGTCGAACCGCTCATCGTACGCCGCCGCCGCCGGCGGCGCCTCCTCGTACGGCGGCCCGTGGTACGGCCCGTAGAAGCCGGCCGGTGGCGGCGGCGGCGCCGCCCCCGTTCTCGGCGCCGGGTAGGCGGCGCGCGCCGCTCCCGCCGGACGATCGGAATTGATCGCGAGAAGCGCGCGCGGTTCGAATCGATTAGCGGGGGCGGCGGTGCGCGAGTAGTTGTGCGGCTCCGATTTACCGGGGCTGACCGAAGGCGGCGGCTGGTCGGCGGCGTTGGCGTCCGATAAATTGATGGTACCGCCGCCGGACGGTGAAGGATCCACGAAACGGTGCGGTTGGTAACCGTGTGGCGGGTGCATTCCTATATACAACAACAACAACCAATATTAATAACAACATCACTTTAGTTTATTATCTTGTAGAGTACCTGGTGGAACCGTCGGCGGGGGACCTCTTATCTGATGAGGCGGCAACATCCCCGGCGAATAATGGTTGAGGTTCCTATACATAGGCCTGTAAGGTAAACCAATAGGTCCTCCTAAAAATTAAAAGAAACGTTGTATACACGCTAGGTAGTAATATGAAGCGAACTAACCGGGAGGCGGGTAGGATGCGGGCGGGGGCGGCGGGCCGACGACGAGGCCGGCTTTGCTCTTGGCTTCGTCGTCCTCTTCGTCGAGCATGGTGGCGAATTGCTTGGGTCTGATGGTGCCCACTGGGTAGTTGGCCGTCGATCCAGGGCCGGGCTTCGATTGCAACATCCTGGTGATGACGGAGGGCGCGGGGGCGGATTGGGCGAACGGTTGGGGCGGCGCGGCTATCTCGATGTTGCACTCCGCTTCGGTCGAGGTCGATTTTTTGCTGCCCAAATTGGCCAGCGTTTCTTCGAGGGTCTTTTTGGTCCTGCCTGTAAGGCGACGGAAACGTTGAAAGGAGTTTTGACTAAAGGATGCTTTAGGATGCAGGGTCTATAGACGATGTAAAATGTGTAGAATGTGGTGTGTTTAAGCAAATATTTGTGATCTTTGTGAAAGAACCTGGTTTTGAGCGATATTAATGGGTAAAAGTATTGAAAAATCCTAAATATCCTAAATTTCTAAAATGTTCAAAAAAACTTCAAAAAACTAGAAAGAACCTGGTTTTAGGCCATATTAATGAGTAAAATTAATGAAAAATCCTAAATATTCGTAAAAGCTAAAATAAAATAGATAGAAACTGATTTTAAACGGGATAATCATTAATAAGTAATAATAATTTCTAAAATGTTGAAAAAAACTTCAAAAAACTAGGAAGAACCTGGTTTTAGGCGATATTAATGAATAAAATTAATGAAAAGTCCTAAATATTCCTAAAAGCTAAAATAAAATAGATAGAAACTGATTTTAAACGGGATAATCGTTTATAAATAATCATAATTTCTAAAATGTTGAAAAAACTTAAAAAAAACTAGAAAGAACCTGGTTTTAAAGCGATATTAATGAGTAAAAGTAATGAAAAGACCTAAATAGTCGTAAAACCTAAAATAAAATGATAGAAAATGATTTTAAAATCTTCAAAAAACTAGATAAAACCGATAAATGTGATGAATGTTGAATTTTACCTCGGCCTCGTTTTTTCTTTGCCGGATCATCGGAGTCCTTCTGGGAGAGTTCCTCGAACAATGGCAGAGCGACGCCCATCGGTGGTTCGGATAACTCATCGTTACTGTCATCGTTTCTGATCATATTCGTAACGTTGCTAATTATCGGCTCGTGAACGATGTTCATGACGCGCTTCCCTTGAACATCTTCGATGTGTCCTTCCCCTACGGCTACTTTTCTTTTCTTCTTCTCGTTTTCCATCTAGAAACAAATATATGCACATTTTTGCTTAATTTAGGTAATGTTATTTATTCACCTCGGTGAGGTTATCGTTGTTTACATCGACGTCTTTGCTACCGTCGTTTTGTCGAATCGCATTCACTTTAGCTGCCTTGGACCTTTCGAGCGTTTCCTTCAATTTTTCAATCATCTTGTTCTTCTCGGATTTGCCGTTTTTACCTTCTTCGCCGTTGGTCGTCGCCGATTCGTCCTGTTCGTTGTTATCCCTGTTCTCCTTCGTGACGTCGGTTTCCTTCGATTTTTCCCCGTCTTTCGCGTTCAACGGCTTCTTGATGTATATCTTCGGCACGAACGTTTTCCTCTCGGCTTCCTTGTCGTCGTTGTCGTCGTTCTCTTCGATTTCTTCGCTTTCTTTCTCTTCCTCCTCCTCGTCTTCGTTCGCCACGAAATCCTCGTCGTCGTAATCGTCGCTTACTATGCCCAGTTTATCTCTCCTTTTTCTTTCCTAAGTAAGTAATAATTGGAGTTAATAAAATAAATTGAGGAAAGTTAATCGTACTTACATCATCGCTATCCGATCCTAACGTATCGATGTACGTGGTCTTTTTCCCTCTGGTTCTTCGCCTTCTTCCTATTTCTTCCTCGCTGGAGGATAATCCGCCGTATTTTATTTTAGGTCGCTTTTTAATGCCTCTTTCCAAATCAGATAGCTCGTCTAATATGTTCTGTTTCTTCTTTCTCACGACGTTAGCCCTACGATGTGATAAATTTAATACTCATTCGATAAAACGCGATTTTTACCGTACTTCTTCTTCTTCTTTTTGCCCCATCCTCTCTCAGATTCCGACGATTCGGATTCGCTGAAGTATCGAGTTTTCTTCTTCTTCTTCGGAACATCGTCGTCGTCGTCGTTAACTGCGAATGTATAAAATATTAAATTGTTAGTAAATATTTAGTAGTATGTATAATTTACTGAAATCTGAATCCCAACGGGCTACTCTACTTCTTGTTGATCGTCGAGTAGGTTTAGAAGATTTACTTTTGCGACCGATATCGTAATCTTCGCTATCTTCGCTTTCTTCGTCTATATCGTCTTCTTCTTCCTCCGAGCTAGAGCTGAATAAGAAAGAATGAATTACTCCTGCGCTTTATCTACTAATAGTCGAGCGTATAAATACCTTGTCCCTTTGAAATCCTCATCTTTCTCGTCGTCCTCTTCGCTGCTGAACTCCAACGTCTTGAAGTTCGTCTTCTTTTTCCTCCTTCTGCCTTTGGTCACCGCCGGTTTGGCCTCCGGAACTTCTTCCTCCTGTTTGGGCTCCTCTTCAACCACCTCTTCTTCAGTCTTTGTCACAGCCTCTTCGACGGGTTCCTCCGACGGTTCTTCGGGAATCTCTTCCGGATTCTCCTCCTCGTCCGGTTGACCGTCCTTCATCTTCTCCTGCTTCTCCCGTTCGATCCGATCCAATTCCTCCGCTCGAACGATCGTAGCTATATCTTTACCTCTGGTTTTCTTCATCGGTACTGCAAATATTACACGTTAATCGATACGAAACGAGCGAATTGGTGGTAGAGAGTCGTTACTTGATTCTTGGTCTCTCTCCTCCAAATCCTCCTGAATGGCCGACTTGATCAGCTCGTCGTACTCGTTGAATTTGTAGCTTTTCGCCTGCCGGCGCTGCCTCAATTGGTAGATCGGCTCGTCGCTGTCGCTCTCCTCGTCGCTCTCCTCCGATTCGCCCGTCTCCGAGCTGTTCTCCTCCACGTGGCTCGACTCCGAATCGTCCGATTGCCGGCGCCTCTTCTTCCTGTGCTCCTTTTCGCGCGACGGCAACACGTTGTTCAGGCTGATGCCGACGTAGGCGAGCCGCTCCTTGCGCCTGTCCTCCAGGTCCTTCTTCACCAGCTTCTTGTCGTACTCCACCAGCTTGGCGTGGAGGTTCTCCACCAATTGTATCTGCAAAAATGAGTAGATGAGGATGCTTGAAATAGAGGTATTGGATCAAAGTACGTGTTGGCAGGGCGGGCAGAACCAATCGCCTTCGGGGATGCTCAGCAGAGGCGGTCTCAAGCAGGAACAATGCCAACCGTTGTCGCATTTGTCGCAGAGCAACACCATTTCGGGATGGTCGGATTTGCCGCATTTTTGACACGGGAAATCCTCGTCGTCGCCGTCTTCTTCGTCCTCTCCGGATTCTTAAAACATAACCAGGTAAAAATCCAAGTCTTTCGGAGGTAAACGTGGGGCGGTTACCTTCGTAGCTCTTCTTCTTGGCGGTCCTGGCCCTTTTGGGCGGCTGATAGTCCTCGCCGTCGGAGCCGATGTCGCTCTCCGGCGAGAATTCGTGATCGGATTTGAACTCCAACGCCGGTTCTTCCTCTTCGATCGCCTCCTCCTCCTCTTCGACGTCGTCCTTGTCGTCGTCGCTGGAGCCGCTGCTCGACCGCCAAGGCCGGTGCTCGTCGAAGATCTTGCTCGGATCCTTGTACTTGTTCTTTCGCTTTTTCCGCGACTTCGATTCGTACTCCTGCTCGGACGAATCGTCGTCGATCTTCTTGTCGCTCTTCTTCGACGAGTCCTTTGAAAAAATGGAATAAATCGATTCGTTTGAATGGTTAGACGCGCCGTTACCTTATCGGTTTTCTTCTTCTTCTCCTTGTCTTTGTCGTCTTTGCTCTTCGACTTCTTGGGCACTTCGATCTGCTCTTTAATCTTCAATTGCGCCAATCTTCTGGACTGTCTTACGCCGGTTAGGTATAATTCGGACGGGGATATGTCGAGTCCGGCCAATAGTCTTTCTAAAATGTATAAATACACAAATAAACTATATAAATCACTAGGCACAAGTAGATATTACTGTTTTTGTTTTCGGGGTTTCGATTAATGACTTTCTTAGGTTTCACGGGCGTCGCGGTGGGAGTGCTGGTGGAATCGTCGTCGCTGCCTTTCACATTAGAAACCGCCTTCTTGTTCTTCGACATCGGTTTCTTCTTCTTCGATTTGGCGTCGCCGTCGGAGGCGTCCACCACCTCGTCGCTGCTGCTGATCTGCTGCTCTTTCTTCTGTTCGATGCTCTTCCTCAGCTCCAAATCTATTTGTCTCTTGCCCTAAAACAACGCGCGGTCTCTTACCGACGGGTGTTCAGCCACGTTAACGAGATTAATACCTTAATTTTCCGCCTTTTCCCGTCCTGGCCTTCGATCTCTTTCACCTCTTCGGGGCTGGCGTCGCGGCCTCTCTTTCGGAGCGTCCGGGCGGCGGGCGGAATGACGGGCATCGGAGGCGGCGTGGAGGATTCGTTGAAGTCCAAGGAGAACGATTGCAGGTTGATGGGTTTGGCGGAGGCGGAGGCGGCGTCCTCGTCCGGTTCGGATTCGGCGAGCGGGTCCTTTTCGGGGGGCGGGTCTCCCAGGCTGTCGCAGGATTCCGGCATGGTTATGACGGAATCGGCGACGGAGGCGGGCGAGGATTCGCCGCTTTTCGATTTGGGCTCCGGTTCCTCGATAACTTTTGCTGTATCTGCGGAAATACAAATCGTAGTACTCTTAATACGCTTAGAAAACGATTCGCTTACCCTCTTTTTCCGGCGTGTTTTCTTCTAACAATTTAGGCTTCTTGTTGATGGTTATGTTGGAAGGACTCTCGTCGACGGTTTTCTTCATTCTGTTCCTTCGACCTTTGACGTAAACTACCTCCGTGGTGACGTCTTCTTGCTGGAGGGGATCTTCCGGTTTGTCCGGTTTGTTTTTGGCCGCGTTGGCTTTTTTACTTCGGACTGATCTGAGGGATTTTTTCAGTTCAGTAGGCGGTGGAACATCGCTCGGTTTTTCCTCCGGCTTATCCGTAACTTCGACTTCTCTTGGTTTTATATCTTCTGTAGTAACATCGCTCGTTTTGGTAGATTCGGATGTATTTTCCGGGATTTCTGTTGCTTCTGTTGGAGCAGCAGGTTTATCCGGAATAATATTCTTGTTATCAGACTCTTCTAATGAAGGTTTTACTTCGGGTTCCTCGTTTTTGTCAGTAGATTTTTCGGTCTCTTTCGAATTAGCATCGGATTCTTCTTTACCACATACGTAGGCCGATTTTTTAATACATATTTCTTCTACGACCGGTTGTTCACCTTCATTAGTACTTTCTATTGGTTCTTTTTCAACTGACTGTTGGACTGGTTCTTTTTCAATAGATAACCGAACTGGTTCCTTTTCCACAGAAGATTGTATTGGTTCTTCTTTAGTAATACATTCACTCGACTGATTTTCAACAGGAGTTTGCTTTGATTCTTCTTCACTAGCGCACTGAATGGGTTCTTTTTCGACAGGACTTTGAATGGGTTCTTTTTCGACAGAACTTTGAATGGGCTCATTTTGATCAGGACATGGAACTGGTTCTTTCTCAACAGGACTTTGAACGGGTTCTTTCTCGACAGGGCTTTGAACGGGTTCTTTCTCGACAGGACATGGAACGGGTTCTTTCTCGACAGGACATGGAACGGGTTCTTTCTCAACAGGACATTGGATTGGTTCTTCTTCTTTAGGTTGTTCAATTGATTGCTTTACGACGGGCTCATTTTGAGGTATTATTAACTTTTCTTTCTCAATATTATCGACTTCTTCTTTAGCAGAATTAGCTTCTTCAGTCGATTCGTTAGATTTGTAATTTTGGCCGAAACCTAACGTGAGCGAAGGCGGGATGGAATTTTTTACAGGCGAACCGAAGAAAAAGGCGCTCTTCTTGGCAGGTTCCGTCGTTTCTTCTTTGTTACTGTTATTGTCTGATTTGCTGTTGCTTTCTATATCAATCGATTTATCAGGAACTTGTTTCGCATCATCTGCGTTGCTTTTACTTACATCTAAATTTGAACTAATACTGTCGTTTTGTGTGTTTGTTTTCTCGTCGACTTTCTCAGATTTGTCCTCGTTGCCGGTTTGACAATCGACGCCATTTCCTTCTCCGTAAAAGTACATAACATCCTCTTCGATTTCATCTTCAACGATCGGATAAGATTCGTTATCTGCTCCGGAACCTTCGCCCGTGACAATTAATTTCTCCTCTTCGATTTCTTTAGATACGATTGGCGTTAATTCTACTTTCAAAACTTTCCCACTGTCGTTCAATTGGTCCTTATCGGAACTCGATCGTTTCTTGCCGGTTTCTTCAGACTTGATCGGAGCTTTGTCGGATTCGTCTAATTTAATTTTCTTCGCTAAATGTTTTATCGAACTATCATCTTCGGGTTTCTGTTTTTCTTCGAGTACCGCGTCCTGACACGTTTCTTCTTCCTCTAAATTTCCTTTTGATATGGTTTTAATCTCATCTTCTTCTTCTTCTTCATCATCGTTTTGGCCTGTATCTATAACGGGTTTTTCCGATAGGGAATTACTGTCTTCGTTAACGGCTGAATCTGAGCTGATTTTGCTGTCACCGTCGTTCAAATTGTTGATTAAATTAACGAGACTGCCTCTATCTCTGCAAAATATAATCGATTGATTAACACTACTCATAATTTAGAGGACTGTTGAGATGTTTACTTTGCAATAAGGGACCAGGTTTCCTCATCGGTATCTTCTTTGTAGACTCTAATCTGGTAGTTCTCGTCGGATTGAAACCAATAATTGTGCCCGGTTTTATCTCTGCCGAGCGGTTGAGATCTCAAATCGTTCGCTGATATTTTGTTCACCTCGTTCTTAAACTTTGTGTTGTAGTCAAATTGCATCTCTAGTAATTCCTATGAACAATTAAACATGTTATTTCGCTTGTAATTAGATTAAGGCGGGTAAGAGAATACCTTCAGTACTCGAACTTTTGTTGTGAGTTTGGATTTTTTGTAGCCGAAACGCTCCAACTCCCAGGCATCCTGAGTGTTAAATCTGTGGCAAACCAAGCTCAGATGCTTCTCCCATTTGTCGGGTTTTACCGCCTTCTTGACTCTTCTTAGCAGTTTCAAGATGAGGTTTAGAAGACGTGGATGGACTAAAAACAACATTTATTTGTTTAAAATGAACGATTAGCGTGAAAAATGCAATAGTATTGTCTGTGGTATAAAATGCAAATTATCAATTCAATTAAATTGAGGTACATAAAAATGTAAACAATGTTTTGAATAGGCTTTATAATAGCTCAAGTAATAAACAAATATACGAAAGTAGTTTATTTAAAATATTTGTTTCCAGTAATTCAGTTGATTTCACATGAAATTAAAACTGTAAAAAATAAATAAATGCAAATTACAATTGTGCTCTTAGCAAAATTAAAAACAACAGCTAATTTTACTGAGTAATTATTGAAAAACCAACATATCTTCTTCCTACATTTATTGATTAATTTTAAACTATGATTTCAATGTGAGCAATAAACTAAACGAGAATGAATAAAATAAATCATTAAATATCGTAAAAATAGCATTTTAATTGTGGGTAAACAATGTACACATTAGCACGGAACGAGAGATTTTGGTGTCGATTGAACAATTTTACCTTCATCAGAGTTTTCCAGCATCTCTTGCAAATCTAAAAAATCCACACTGGGCAAATCGCATTGTTCGCCGAATTTTTCCAGAAAGGCGCAAATTACTGCGAAGTTTGGGTCGTTTTCACAGGAAGCATCAATATCGGACGCCATTTGTAGCGGTTTAACTCGGACAAATCATTCGAAGCGATTTTCTATGTATCCTCTATAACGTAACAAACCGTGCGAAAATCCGAAATTGTTATTTTCTCGAGGATCGCATTTTTTACGTACTAAACAAAACACTAAACGCACTTTTTATATTAAAAAAAGGATAATATATACAAACCATTTGTGGTTGTCAATTTTAAGTCACGAATGTCACGAAAATTAAGATTTGACGTACGTTGTCAATGTAAACGTCATTAATGTCATTTAATAGTGATTGTGAACTACTAAAGATAGAGGCCACAGAAAATAATCAATTGATAAGAAGAATGTGAAGAAACTATTTGACGTTTGTTCAGTCGTATGTCATGTCGTATTTAATTTTTTGAATTCAAAATAATATTCATTCCATAAGGATAAAAATTAAAAAGGTTTAAAAGGAAGGAATCTCAGGTAAGTGATGTCGATTTGAGTTTAGAGTACAAATGCTAGAAATAAATCCTATTATTAAATTAATTTCTGAATAGGCAAAATTTGCATTTTCAGTGCTCTGAACATCATCCAAGTGCATGGGTGGGTGAATTTCAAACAAAATTTGTATAAAATATGTATTACATCCATTTCATACATTATGTAAAATTCAACTTGAGAGAGCATGACTAACAAGGTAACATAAGACCAAAAAGCAAAATAAATTAATTACAAAATACGTACAGGATGGTCCTCAAAGCTTTTTAAATGAACACTGTTATTCTGATTTTAGATTAAATATGGAAGACATAAGAACAAATGCTCGATTTTTTAATGATTCTTCTGTTTATTTTGAACATTTTCAACCTTATTGCTTTCCCTAAAAATTAGTTGAATTCATTCTGAAAGCTGATATTTTGTAAATTGTAAAGGAATATATAGAACCCTCTGTATCATTTTCATAATTTTTTTGTTTTACTTTTCGGCCTTTTTAACAAAGCACAGTAAAACGTGCTATATTTACGGGAGAAGATTATTCATGCAACATCCACAACCAATAAACTTTAGCCAATTCAGTTCAACAATTACTTCAAATTACTGGTAATGGAAATATAAGTTTCTTCCTCTTATAATTTGAAGCATAACGATTTCTCTCGGATGTTGCATTTTGATATAGTAGATCCCGCAGTACTACAAGACTTATCACTTTAAGTGTATAAAAATATCATAGTAACTCAAACAGCTATTTGTGTACATGGTTAAAGAAATTCCATTATAGTCCCATATATGCATTCATCTCTAGAAATTCTTGCTATTTCCGTTATATTATTGTGGAAAGTTCTACTTCTAGCCATGGATATGTGCGTAGTAAAATAAATTTGAGCCTTCTTCATCTATCGCTTTCTCTATGAGCTAAAATGGGATTTCCAGTACTAATTTTTTTGCCCTATCAGTCTATCAATAAGACAAACAACAAGCAAATACAGCAGAGTGGGGTCAAATTCGAGATAGCAGGAGATTTCTACTTATAATATATTTTTCAACAAGTGTAGATGAATTTATAAGTTCTTATTTGAAATAACGAGTATTATAACAAAAGAGCTGTCGGTTAGATTTTGGGATTTTGCCAGGAATATTGCCTGGAATAGAAATTTATAGAGAAAACCAGCAACATCTTAAAAATTCCAGTTTTTTTAAATATCTCCTCGCAAAATTCTAAAGTCAAGTTGAGCGCTTGAGGGTAAAATTTGTAAAAAATTAAATTTTTAATATCAACTAGAGTTGGTCCGTAATGATAAATTTAGGTGATATTTGACCCGAAATTTGGCACAAAGTTCCAATTAGTATCAGACAGAAAATATACCCTGTTTTTGAATATAATTGTATCGAGGACCTAAAATTCGCTGCATTGCGGCAATCGTAAATGCCAAAAATGTCACAGCAGAGTCGCGAAAACTCCCTAACATTAACATTGATAGATAGGTTCCTACAATTTATTATTAAATGTTTTTTGACACTTAAGATTGTCCTGTTAATTAAACAAGCGCTTCTCGTTTCCATGCGAAACATTTCCTTTTTTCGATTAATCGAATAATTAATTCGTCTGGTCCGATCCACAAAAAAATTCTCATCGATTTTGTGCGATACTTTTTTTGATACTTGATAATTGAATTAAGTATAGAGGAAGAGTAATCAGTCGATATAATTGAGGGGATAAATTGATAGAAGGGGAGGCCTTTTTTTTTGGTTTTCAACGTATGTACAATTTGCATTTAGGCCCGAAACATTGACAAAATCCTGTCATTCTACATAATATTTCAGTTGTCGATTCAAGGTACACAATGCATTATTTTTGAACTGGATATTTATTGGTAACTAATATTTGTTACAGCATAAGTACTGAACAGTTCGGAATTTTACTGCCTTATTTAAGGTCGTGGAAAAATTCCAAACGATTTAGAACTTTTGGAACAAATTTCATATATTTAACGGTAACGAAATCTTTAAATGTTTATTGTCAAACATGGACTAGCTATTGAGTAGAGAGTTTGGACTCCTTATATACAAAATGATTCGTCAGTTGTGCTCGTGGTCGAATAGCGCTGTAACAGTAAGAAAAACTGATATTCTTAATTATATGTAATTATATTAATATTTACAGGGTTGAATATTACAACTGAAATATTAACAAAACAGCCTTATATGATATTATACATTGTTTTTGCACAGCACTTTCGGCAGTAGCCAATATTATCACTATAAAAATTATTGCATTAAATTATTATTATCGGTAATTTAACTGAAAACAAAGCCCACTTTCGACGTGCGCATCGTTTTTGTTTTATCATAAAAATACAGGGCGTAAAAATACACAGATAATTCAGCAAACCCGCCGAAGAAGATTCTCAAATATTTACATATAACAATCGAATCAACCGGCCCGTTCGCTCTCAACGCATTTTACATAGAAACAACGCACCCCGCACGTCTAATAACTAAGGTAAAACCGATTCGGTTACCGCAACATTCGTCCCGATGTTACAGTAACGTCGTCCTGTCTCAGGAAACGTCCGATTGCTGGTGTCTCGCCTTTCTATTCGAAAACGTGAACCAAGTACCCACTTTCCTGCCCAGCGAATTCGTCGAGGTCGCGTTCAGCTGCGTCGTGGAGCCCACGTAACCGGAATCGTGCTTGAAGTTTTTACCGTCTGGACAAAAAAAATCATCACGATTACTCGCTCTGAAGTCGTACCTCCGCGTCGACTTACTTCTGGGTTTCCTGGGCGGCCTCCGCTTCGAGCGGGCGGCCATTCGCGCCAGGTGCCTCGTCGACGGCGCCAGGTCCAGTCCCTCGGATTTGTCCTGCTCGATGAGCTTCCGCTCCTCGTCGAACATCCGCAACCAGCGCTGCTTGTCGCTGGTCGACCGGCAGCAGAATAACAACCACTTGTCGCGCACCGTGCTGTGTAATTTGATGGCGTGTCGCACGGTAACGCCGAGTTGGGCGTCTGCGAGAAAATTAAACTAGTGAGAATCGAGGTTTTTTGGGATAATTGTATCGTCACCTTTTCCGTCGGGCACGTCGATAACCTCGCTGGTGTCGAGGCAGAACCTTCCCTTGTACACGTAAGTGCTCCGTTTGAGTATGTCCTGCGAACGAAATCGTTGAATTCGATGATTTTTTTTTGAAATATTCGGGTACCTTTTTGCAATAAACAATTTGGTGATCGAAGAGGAACAAAGTTATGTTGTTGGTCCACATACCGGTCGTCGCTTTCACTACCTCTCCTTGATGGATTAGCTGCGAGCTGACTTCGATCAGATCTTCGTCCTCGAGAAGAAAAACCTTAAGCGATTCTTAAAAGCAAAAAAAGAGTAATTTTTACCTCCCATCCTTCCACCCTCTGCTGCCAAGCGGACAGTTTCTCCAAGCTCTCCATCTTCCGTTTTCGCTCGTTGATGAGCATAGCTACTCCCCGCATCGCCTCCAACGCCTCTTTGATGTCATCGTAATCGGCGTGATCGGCTTTGGTGTACTTCAGCAATTCGGCCAATTGCAACGGGTACTTGCAGATCCTTTGTATGGGGCACAGCAGGTACCCGTCGAGCGGTATCTCGATCAGACCCCTCATCAACCTGCACGCCTCGAAGAACTTGTTGTAGTTTTCGAATTGGTACAGTTCCTGCAGCGTCGCCGTCGCCACTGGATGGTTGTTGCAGTAATCCGAATACTTTTTAAAACCTTTAGAAAGCGTATAAGTAAGCGGATGAGTAGAGTGGAGGTTGCGAGTAGACTCACCGGAACGATGTTTCAAAAAACAACCCCCGACGCAGCTCTTGTAGAGCGCCTCCCACTCCATGCAGTCCTCGAGGTCCTTGAGGAAGCCCGATTGGAACGACAAGATCTCCTCCAAATTGACGAAGATCGCCTCGATTTGCTCGTCGGCGAACATGTCGGCGCGCTTCCGGCACTCGGCCATGTACCCGTCGACGATGTCCTCCAACGCCTTGACGAAGTCGCGCTCGGTCTGCACCAGCTCGCGCACCACGCTCGTCCGCACCTGGTCGTTCGACAGCAACGAGATGCTGGCGCGCCGGCGCAGCTGCGACGGCACCCGCTCGCCCGACGCCATCGCCGCCAGGCAGTCCTCCACCGTGTCCTCCTGGCTCACGCGCAGCCGCACGAAGTGCGCCGGGAACCAGCCGAACTTCCCCTTCGACGAGCCCCACCACCAGTCCCTGTTACGCACCGACAAATACTGTGTTTGTACCAAATCTAATTCGCACAAGAGCAGGCCGAGGATCCGGCGGGGGATCGAGAAAGGCCCAGAAGGAAGCAAATCTAATTCGCACCAGATGGAAGGAAGGCTGAGATGGAAGGAAGGAAGGCTGAGATGGAAGGAAGGAAGGCTGAGATGGAAGGAAGGAAGGCTGAGATGGAAGGAAGGAAGGCTGAGATAGAAGGAAGGAAGGCTAAGATAGAAGGAAGGAAGGTTAAGATAGAAGGAATAAGGAAGGCTGAGATAGAAGGAAGGAAGGCTGAGATGGAAGGAAGGAAGGCTGAGATGGAAGGAAGGAAGGCTGAGATAGAAGGAAGGAAGGCTGAGATGGAAGGAAGGAATAAGTTAGTTTGTAGATGTTTAAGCTTACCTGTGGGCCGTTTCGAGGACTTCTATAACATCTCCGGCTCTAAAGCCGAGTTCCTCGGATTCTATGGCGACGTGGTCGAAAACTGCTTCGGCCATTATGATCATATCTTCGTCGACCGGTAGCTCCAGAGATTTCTTCCTTTCGATCAACGACGTCACCGACGATTCGGAATCCGACATGGTTTCCTCGTCGGAGGTGCCTCTGTGGTGATCCTGGTCGTCGTCGCTGACGTTGTGGAACTTCAAACCTGAAGAAAAAATCACTTTGTAGATTTTCGAAGGAACTGAAGGCCGATGGGGTTATCCCTCTAGATCTTCGAAGCATTCTGAAGAAGATATTTAGATATTTACCGCCGCGTTTGGCCTTCATCAACGGGGACAGCTTGTCGATGTCGAGCGGCTGGCTGAGCGACCGGCGGAGGGTGGCGCGGCGTCCGACGCCGCGGCGCCGCACGACGACGTCGGGCGGGCGGTCGGCGGGGTGCTGGGCGAGGCCGGGCGCCGGCGCGTCGGCGGGCGGCGAGTCGGGCGACGAGAGCATGTCGGCGGGGCGGCGGCAGCGCGACGTCCGGCGTCCGCTCAGATCGGACCGCGTGCGGCGGACTTGGCGCCGGTCGGGGTGGGCGCGCTGCTTCAAATCGGCCTGCAATAGAACGATTAAAACCGGTGAATTTTGGATGAAAATTTGATGGGTTTTTTTTTTTGGAACAAATCGGGGCGCTGTTTACGAGCTTTGTGCTGGCGGTGGAATAGGAAATGGCGTTCTGAGCTGTTAAAAATGTAGAAGGGTGTTGGGGCGGTCGACGACGTGCTAGCGCTGGGAGAATTGAAATGCAACTGTATTGTATTTCCGACTACGTTTTAGAGGGAATTATTCATTTATACCTATCCGATATGGAATCGGTTTCAGCGAGTTGAGCGAAATCATCGATCCGTTTTGCATGGCATTTTTGTAAAGCTACTTTCGTACAATTTTTTTTAATCGCAAAACACGAGACTTGCAAATGCGCTGCAAGTTAAATTTCGCGGAAAATTTTTCACTCCGAATAAAAGAGTAATTTCACCGCATTTTTTCAAGAGTTCATTACAGTTTAGGGCCTTTGGATTATTTTAGAACTAATTTAAGGGCTCTTTAATATGCTAGTAGATACAAAAAAGAACTTAAAATCTTGAAATAACTTAAAAAAATCGCTCATATAATACTCAACAGTTCACGAACTAATCCACACTTGCGCTGTAGACACTTTTGTATTAACATATTGTGTACTACGCAATCACCGACCAATTCGAGACCACTTCACGCGAAATTCGCGAATTATTCCCCATTCGAGCGCTCAATTAGCGATTTCGCGGAGCTAATGAAAACGGCAGTTTCGCCGAAATTTCTTACCCAAAAGGCGGACACAAACATTCCCACATGGCTCTCCGAAATTCTCATTTAACGCGTTCTCAATCGACTATAGGTGAGCGCGCGACAGAAATAAATGGGACCGAGACCGCTAAAATAAACCGAACGCCACGGGATTTTCAGGCGGAACTGAACTGAAACCTTCTTGTCGAAGGTGCGAGTACGATTTAGGGACCGCCACAGGACCGGTTTCGGCCCGACTGTATTTTTTTTTATTGCGCTCTTGCTAATTTATGCAAATCCAATACAGAATGCCACCCTATTTTTACTATTGTGATTTATTATCCGCGTCAAAACTGTTCCCTTATTCTATGAAGGTCAAGGCAAGTGTCTTGACGGCAAAAAATGTTTAATAAAACAATCGTCAAAAAAATGTAGCAAAGCAAGGGTAAATTGCTACAATAAATAAACTCTATATCGGTACTCAATTGGCGCAGTAGGATATTCCACGTGGAATATCCCGATTCCAGAACGAGCAGAATTTAAATAAGGCAGGTCAGGCAGGCTCGTAAATATATTAGATTACATCGAGCTAATAATATTAATAAATTTGCATAGCAAGTAAGAACGGTGTATAACTGAAAAACGCTCGTCTTGTAAGCGATTATATTTCATGCAAATTGCTGGAGAGGTGCCCATCTTGATGGGAAATTTTTCTATTAATTAACGGCCGGCTTTGCTTACAAGTGAACAAAAATATACGCTTTAATTTGCGCAATTTATCGGCTAGGAACACTATAAAACCAGGTATGCGTAGGTATGTATATCTTCGTTTCGGCGTTAAAATAAGATTTATTGCCCCGTTGCGGATACAGCTTGCTTTTAATTTGGTCGCCTTTCCAACCCGACGGAAGTTCCGGTTCAATAGCACTTGTTCCGGCAATTTTAATCAGATTTATTTCTTCTCTTCGCCCTGTCAAATGTCTACGAATTTAGTCGTACTAGGAATTTGTAATAAGAGGAGAATTTTAAAATTGCTTTTTTTTATTTTACAACTTCTTCTATTTTTTTAACTTCCCTTAAAAATATTATTCTGTGAAATAAATTAGTACCATCTTCCGAATACCCAAAAAAAAATGCCGCAGATAACTGTTACCGCGCAATTCCGTTGTAATAACATGTTTGTTAGAAATTTTTTCCTACTGAAAAATACAACGAAAGCAGACCGATTTTCTCCGTAATAAACTTTCAATAATTTCTACGAGAAACTCCAAAAAGAAACGAATCGATGGGAGACCGGCGTGCAGTTCGCTCCCTACCGAAGAGGCTCCGGTTCGTGCAGGTTATCTTATATTGTTTCGACCACCTGGCACTGACAGATGGCTCGCTTTTCGAGATGAATACAGAGGCAAACCAGAAGCGCCCGGGCGGAGATGGAACGTACAGAAAACAGGAAACCACCATGTGTGTAGTTAAAAATTAACAGCAGATTACTGAGAGGCAATCAAGGTGCACAGCGAGGGAAGCGCCCGACCTGTTCATAATAGATAATGTTGGAAAGGGCGCCCGCGAAAACTGAAAAATTCAACAAAAATTTAACACTTCCAGTCTCCATTCTACTAGTATAATAAAAGTAAAATTTCAATCCGAGTGCTGCACGTTATCTGTTATCTCGGTCGAGAAATATACACAATTGCGAGAAGTAGTAAATTTATAAATAAATATGTCTGCGTCATTTACTAGTACTACCTACATGTGAGCTGAATTCGATACCCGACCACAATCGAAATTCCAATTAAACGGAACGAAAAAAATTTAATTAAAAAATATACAAACATATTTATAGGTATATTTTAAACAAACAGTAGGTACAGACCTACAGGAGTAGGTCTACAGCATTTTCAATCACTCTGTAGATAATCTTATAAACCGAAACTCTTGTCAATATTTGAGGCTCCAACAACCAACATTAATCATAATTTAATTATGTATATCGAGTCGGTTATTAGAAATTTTCAATTCCAGCATCGACACTAATCATTTAAGAAGTTTTCATAGACACAGCGGTCGTGCTAAGTGTAGATATCAATTTAATATTTTGCTTATCAATTTAATGAGAAACATAACGAAGTCCCGGAGGGATACCGTCCTTGTAACCCTTGTAATAACCCCAGATATTAATTGATCTAATTTGTATCCGGTTTTAGTTCGTCGAGATGCGACCTATTTTAAATCTGGTCTAATTCGATTTGAAACTTTCGCAATTGATAATGCCGGTAATACTCGACAGAGGTACGGGCGGTTTCGGTTCGGAAAAATGTTTTCGGTTTTTTTCTACCTTTTTTTCGCTCAACTTTTTTTTACTGCAACGCGAACGGAGCGGCGGAAAGGACTGAAAGAAATGCGAGGTATTCCGCTCAAAGCACCAGCGAATAATGATAGAGTTTTGAAAATTCCAACTGGAATGGGTAAAAAATAATACAAGTTTCAAAACCGTTCCAATTATTCCAAAATGATCAAACATTTTAACCGAGCGCTGTGTTTTATCTCAGATTTTATAAAAGTTTAATATAGAAAACTAGATACAATAAGAGACTACTCACTATAGTGCATTATTGTCTTATTTTTCCATGCATTAAATTCTGTCGTGCATTATATTTTCCTCCCTTATTTCAAAATTTTCTGCAGGGTTAAAAACTAGCGAGAATAATGACATTAAAACAATCATTAACTCACAGTATTTTCTATTCATTTCTTATCGTGCAAAATCCCTTTTCTGTCGTGCTTTTCCACATCCTCTAATTCAGTCATCAAACGCCAAAAAAAAAGCTCGAAAACAAATGCCTAAAAGCAACTCACCCGTAATAATTTCACCGCGTCCAATTCGAATAAAATCCGGACAAATCAATTACACCCGACTAGAATTAATTTAACAATTAAAGTCGTTAAATTTTACACAAAAACGACCGCAAAACGAAATCACAATCGCCGCACGACAGACGCACACACACAATCGATACGTCCACGACATATTAGTCATACAGAAATGTACTTAGGCGGATAATAATTAGCTTAATAACAAATATACGGTGCATGTTTATAGGCGACGTTACCGAGTGTATTTTCTCTCGGGTGATACGTTTAAAGTCGTAACGATAAGGATTCCATCCGATACGAGTAATAAAACAAACAATGGCGATGGAGTGTGCTATTTTAATTTTTGATAAGCGACCGGCTATTGTCAGGTAGGCGAGCGGTGGTGAATGTTATGATGAGGGTCAATATACATGTATTTACAGGGTGAATACATACAGTGAGGACCAAAAGTCCGTCGCCCCCCCCCCCTTTAATTTTTGAATTGTAAGAGCTTTTGTCGCGCAATTGGGGGTGTTTAAATTGGAGTAAAAATACTATTTTTTGACGTAAAAATGACAGTTGAAACTTTCAAAATGACAGGTGTCACTTGACCCGCCTTTCCATAAGAAAAAAAATATACAAAATTATACAAAATGGCGCCTAACTGTCATTTTGAAAGTTTCAACTGTCATTTTTACGTCAAAAAATAGTATTTTTACTCCAATATAAACACCCCAAATTTCGAAGCGGCACCCTTCAATCGAAATATTTTTCTTAAAAAATCATTGCTCAACTAAATCATTGCAAAATCATAGCACATTTAATAACCTTTCTTTGTATAAAATCTGATTGTTAGGAAAAAACGATACAGAAATTAAATTATTCGTCCTGTATCTTCGAATTTTTGAATCGCCCTATAAATATGTCGGAAAATAATAATGCCCTATAAGCCACTTATTTTGCACCTGCTTCCTCGAGTGAATAACGGCTATAAAGACGGTCAATTATGTTTGGATGTATTTTTTAGGGGGAATTTACGACATTTATTTTATATTCCCGTGAATAAAAAATCATAGGAGACCGAGATAATTAGCGAAGTAGGTCGGTTTTAACTGAATATATTTTCCGAACCCGTGGAAAAATTGAGTTAAGTCCTAAATGCGGCGTTTTAGTATAAGAATGTGATGCATCTGTTTGAAAAAAAGAGTGGTTACATGTAGAAAAATGAAAATTAAAATGGAACAACTGCAACGTGGATTAAACGTGGTAGGACGTAGAATTTAGCGGTTGAATTAAAACGGTGCAATTACTACAAAAAAACTGTACGCAAACATGTAATTATTTATAATAATATAATTCAGATTTAGGTTTGTTACGTTTTTTTATTTACCTACAATACTTAAAACGTTTTATTCAAAAAAGTTTATTGTTCCTTAAAATTTAATTATCGTAAATTAATTTCCGCTTTACAACCCGTCCTTCTACACTATCACATTTTATAGCAAACCATTTTGGACTTTAATTAAAATCCAACAGATAAAATACTACTAACAAATTTCTTTTTTTATGCTATATTACTGTCCATGTTCTACCATGGGGTATGAAGTATGCACAAAAAGGTAGTCATATTTAAACGCAAAAAAAATGCCAATAATATAGAATTTCAATTAAAACACAACGCAAAAAGTAGATATTATAAAATAAACTCAGTACAAAACATAACCCTACGGTAATTTATAAAACTCAGAAAAACTCACCGATCTATATGAAATTGAAATGATAAAACACTGTATGTATTCTAATATTAAATTCGTTAAAAAAGGGTTTATAAAACACAGATTTAATCCAATTATTCACATTTGAGGTCTCTAGCGCGGCAATACAAGAACCGAGCGAGATCGAAAACTGAAAAAATAGTTTATTATAAACGCATCCCAAGCAAAGCGAATTCTCCTCCAATCGGTTTCCTGTTAGTGCGATATAATGTGGTCTTTATTACTATACCGGATGTCCACTAAACAAAGTACAAATCTATTCGGGAAATTCAAATAGTAAATTAAATCATGCTCAAAAAATTGAAAGTTATTTCTCTGCCAATTACATCTTGATTGCTCCATGCATTGCATGATTAATGTAACACTCTGTATAAATGTACATATGTATGAAAAATAATGTTAATTCGTAAAATCAAAATGACCTTACTAATAACATACAGGTTGTTTATAAATTGTAAACATTTAACTAAACCAGTCATTCATATTTTTACTGGATTATCGCATGTAATGAATATCGTGGTTATATTTTGTTGATATTAAGATATACCTACTTTCGCGTGTAAGAAGATGGAACTAAACAAAATAGCAATTCATACTTGTGTACTTGCGTGTTTGAACTAGGCAATGAATAATTTTAAACTTAATTCCATTAAAGCAAGTTCATATCCTGTCTCAACTTTGCTAAGGACCTGCGAGACCTATTGTACTCATAACGAAACTTTATTAATTACATAGGTAAAATAAGAGGAAAGTTATTGTGAGTGAAAGCAAACCGGAGATAATGGAATAAATAAAATTAAATAACCCTGGGGGAACTCATAATGCTTATACCTACAAACATAAAGGTATTTGCTACAATTTTTTTATAATTAGGGAATTTTCCTCGTAAACAGCAACGTTCGTTAGCCAATAATTCGAAAAACGTAGCCAATTAAAATGCTGAAATAAACTAAAATAAATATTCCACAAACGCGCAAACCGGCTAATAAAAGTCAAGATGTGCATCCGCTGTTGATACATCAAAAACATTGTACAAAACACACAAATCAGTATTTATGGATAAACTACTAAAATTGCCATAATAATAACAATTTCAATTCCAATACATTGCACTCATACAGGACGGATTTTTAAAGACATTAATTTACTTACGAAATTCGGACGAACAAATTATAATTAGAGAAAAAGTTAAGTATCATTAAGTAATCATAGACTTGAAACTGTAAAACTTATCCACCCTTTCAGGTGTAAATTCAAAGCAAAATACTAAAATTGCTATAATAATAACTATTTGAATTCCAATACATTGCACTCATACAGGACGGATTTTTAGAGCTAGTAATTTACTTACATAATTCGGACTAACAAATTATAATTAGAGAAAAGGTTAAGTATCAAGAAATAATCAGAGCCTTGAAACTGTAAAACTTATCCACCCATTCAGGTGTAAATTCAAAGCAAAATTCGAATGAAATATCCTTCACAGAAAAGAAAAAACAACCTCATTAATTAAATTCACCCGGTGCATAGACAAACTCCAGGCGAGAACGGCTTAATTACCCACCGACATTCGCGCGCACTCACCTTAAACTTATCGATAAGTATTTGATTGAGGACCTCCGAATAGGGCCTGAACGCCCGCCGAAGGTGGGCGGCGCGGGCGGCGGGTTTCCGGCGGCGGCGGGCGCGCGGGGGGCTGTCTTCAACGTCGCCCGGGGGGTCGGTGTCGTGGGATTCGGAACTGCAGCCCGTACTCCCGCCGTTCGGAACTATCTGCAAGTGGTTCGTTACCAAAAAACAATATTAGTTCCTTGATTAATTCGGTCGATTAAAGAGCGATTCGGTGTAGGTGGAATCGGAATTTGTGAAATTTTTCTAACGATCCACGATCGATTAATTATAGTCCGTTCGCCAGCAGGCGATGTAGTAGATAATAAAACTTTCTTGAAGCAGTATTCAACAAGTATTTTTAGCATTCGTTTAATATCCTAGAAGCACGACTGTATGCACTATATTCAGCTCACTTTATATCTGAGATTAGAAAAGGGTGACCTATTATTATATAGTACCCTGTATACAGAGTGCTATTATTCAATGGTAAAAGTTTTTGACTGTGCACTGTATCCTGTATACAGATTGTCACTATTGAAGTAAAATAAACATTACTATTATTCAATGGTAAAAGTTTTCGAATTTTATGATTGTTTTATACAAAATTCTCCTGATAGCGAACGGAGTATAATCGATTATTATTAAGCAGTAACTTTATTGTTTTTTTTTTTGGAAATGGATTGTTACAAAAATCGTAAACTAAAGCGAAGGTTTACTGTTAAATGATATGTATGTGCGGTGAAAACTTAAGAAAAACCTGTAGGTAAAAAGTACAAAGTCGGAAAACAATTTTTCGATTATAGGTAACCGAGTGATTTAAATTTGCTTATAAATTTATACGCGATTCAATCAACAGAATTTTAGGATCTCAAAGAAAAGAAACTTTTTCAATTTCACTCACTGGCTACCTACAGAGAAAAACTCGTTTTTCCACCAAAATAAACTCAATGAACCAAACAAAAACAGTACCTACACAAACGCAAGGATTTTAAAATCCTCCAAACAAAACTTTACGGGGGGTTCGGGTACAAATATTTTCTACTATATGATATGCTAAAAAAAGGCGGCGAGTGAAATAATCCTTAATTAATACAATGAAATCGGAATCGTTCCGTTCTTTCGGGACAATCGATTTTTCCTCAACGCAAAATTTGATTCAATTGAATATAACGTTGAGAAAAATGCGTCCGATTCCGAGTAGTTTTTACCAATAATTTACGGACGAGATGAAAGGGCAAGCGAATGATGTATTGTAACAAGGCAGCTTTATAACTAAAGAATCTTACCAAGCTAATCTAGCGGCGGCCTATTCGAAATTTCGAAAAAAGAAAAGAGTAACGATTAGTGTGGTGTTCGAAAAATGAAAAACAGAAACTCAAAACAGTGTGCTCAATAATTCAGAAAAAATAAGAGAGACAATTTTTAGAAATAACAACACAAAAGAGACTTAATTATAATTAATTAACCTCCCCATCTTTGTCGATGCTCCTGTATATAAAAAAAATATAATTACCTATGTAGGTGTTTGTGGATATTAATCATTATAAACAGTTCATCGAATAACAAAATATTTAATAAGTTAAATATGCATCAAAGAGCTTTGGTGGTCAAAATTGTGTAGTGGAAAATCAATGGAAAAGTTAAATTCCATTTATACTGTAAGCTACACCAAACAAATATATTTGAAAAATATTTAGTCGATGAGGAGAGGCAAACAATTCGTCAAATTTGTTAAATAAAACAAATTGCCACGCCGACAATTTCATCCTATATTCCAATGAAATTATTAGGGAAAATTCCACCAGTCTAATTGTATGTTTAATTAAAATTGTTTAATTATTATATTAAACTAAAATGTGCAGTCCTTTCATCGCGGTTAAAATTTGTACAATGAAATTATGATTTAAAGGAAAATTATATCGGAATATTAATCAATTTAAATCATTTCAAATAGACATTTATAGTTATACAAATGTAAACATTAATCACGGAATTTCATTTTCAATGTTGGATTTGTAGAATTGCGAAACGATGACTTCGGCTGTAGCTTTGTGTTTTGAATCGAAATAAAAAATATTCGGCAAACTAAATAATTCTATACGGACAGTTTTATTTTTTTTGCCCTACGAGTTAGTGGAAATTTAGTGGAAATTTAGTGGAAATTCAGTGGAAACGTGGAAAATATACCTCGATTTGAATGCCGCTATCGCCGCTGTTGCATTTCGCACTCCTCGCCGCCTTCGTCAGTTTCTTCTTTTCCTTGCTATTCCGCCAAACCAGAGATCCGAACCTGCACAGAACACAAAAAACGTCAAACGTCAAAAGTGACAGCAATGAAAAGTATCAAACTTCAGACCGTAAACATATAATTTACACGGTTAACTTGATGCATTAAACCTTTAATTATCAACATGCAACAGATTAACACACCTGTTAAACCCAAAATCCTATTACCTGTACGAGTGAATTAATCGATTGGTTTGAATGATCGACGGTATCATAAAATACTGATGGGTCGCCATTATTTTCGCCCCGATTCATTCATCGCAAACAACAATCGATTATAAAATGTGATAAAAGCGCACCAATTTTTAAATTGTTTTTTTTTTGATCGGATATTAATAAAATTACCATCGGAAAAATTCGCAAAATCGACTTACGTTTTATTCAACTATCGGTTCACATCTTCGGAAATGGAAACTCGCATAAATTAATTCGCTCGAATGAGAAACTCGCCCGAACTTTTCGAAGCGGCCGAGAAAAAATTCGCGTGAATCAACTCGACATTTTTCGCCGGTTAACTAATCGCGCGAATTTTAGGGTATGATTAAATTCGAAAACTTCGAGGAAGCATTCCGAAAACTACCAAAAAGTTATTGTACTCGTACGTGCTAAATAGTTACCAATTTAGTCGAAAAAAAGGCCCTCTAATTCGAAAAACTTTCAACAAACACAACCGTTCGATGCCTCATAAATACTTGAAAATGCCACCAAAATGCACACATACAACAATAAAATAATCGAATCGATAAAAAACATTCGCAAATGCCACAAACGTTATTTGATCCGGCCTAATCCCGTTGGAGTTCGCTCGGAAAACATCAAAATTTTCATATCGAAATATCCCGGGAAACGCGATAAGGCGAACGTCGCGCGAAACTGAAGCGCCTTCGAGTTGATTGATACATTTTTATAACTTAAAATTGATATATTGATAGAAAACGACACGCTACAGCAGCTTCTTCGGATGAACGAACGCCATACACTCGGATAAATTCCAATACCAATACATGCACGTTTCATAAGAGATCTAATACTGGAGAGGCGGGATGGAAGACAATAAGAGAGACATGTTTTCGTATAAAACAGAAAGGAATTTTTTGAATTTTTCCGCTTTGTATAAAAGTGAATACGGAACTTATTTCGAAATATTCCGGGGTTGTTTCGAAGTGTGCGCTTGTTGTTTTAGAGAAAAAAATGGAATCAATTGTTGAGTTATTAGAGATGCTATATCTATAGGTGTTTAAAGTAAGTTTCGTTTGGTAATTTAAAAGAATCTTGTACAGGAAAAAATATTTATTGGACAAAAGTATACGATTCTTTAGCTATATCTATATCATTTCCAGAAATTTTCCAGGCATTTTTCATATAGCATGGTACGAGTTTTTGTATGTCTTCTTCATAGAAAGTTGCTGTGTATTCACAGCAAGAGTTTTCGAAATGCAATTTTTCAATAACAATTTCATGAACTAGTGATCTAGAGATTTCCATAGCAATATAATGAATTGTAAACTTTTCCTTAATCTTCACTTCAACATTATCTCGGATAATTAAAAACATAGGCAGCAACAGAAGGAAATCTTTTCCGAAAACCTTCTAAAACTGAATAAAAAATATACCTTAAGAATAGGTACATTCCTATAATTCTCTTGTAGAAACGAAATTTAATTTCTCAACGCATCTAGTATTTACCTTTTTATGAGTTATTTATAAACAAGTAGTAACTTACCACACTTTTTCTACGAATTTAACCTATACTACAGTTCACATTATACCAATAAACATTCAACAAATAACCGGCGCTCCCGACGCACTTCGAACGCCACAAGAAAAACAACTTACCTGTACTTGTGCTCGCCGACGGCGGCGGCGGCGGCGGCGGTTATCGCTTGTTGCTCCTTCGCATCGTCGCCGCCTTCGTCGACATCGGCGGGCGGCGGGGGCGGCGGCGAAGCGCCATCGATCCGGCACGTGGCCGTCGACGGCACGTGAAAGGGCAACGACTCCTCTACAGAGCGATCCGTCGGCGGCGGCGGCGGCGGCGGCGACGCGACCGGCTCATCGTCCTCCTTGCTCGATTCGCCCTTCAGTTTTCTCGGATGGTGGAAATGCAGCGAGAAGGTCTTCCGGAATTTTTGCATCACTCCGCCCGATTCGCGACCGGCTGCAAACCAACAACATCTACTTCAAAAACTAATTTGCTATCGATAAATTGTGTTCATATTCGAGCAAATTACACATATGTACTTCTGTAACTCTTAAAATACCGAAATTGTTTGAAACTTCTTCAGCAAGTAGTTGTTTAAAGGCATTAAAGGTATTAAACTTTTACTAGTTTATTCTACCATCTTTTAGATCTCAAAGAAGATGAGGATCCTGCTGATACTGATAACTCAATTTTAACAAAAACCATCAAGATATCTATTTATGGCGTGAATCCGTATCCACAAACTTAATATATTAAAATCCCCTTCAAAAAAAAGGCCAAAGCGAATTTTCCAATTTGGCGACGATAAAGGCAGTTAATAAACAAAATGTATTAAGTGAGTTAGGTCGGGACTCGGGCCTTTTGAAATTCATAAGATCGTCGACGAATTTTCTTTTGCGTATAAACCGAGGAATTTCCCGACGACTTAACCCAATTTGGCGGCGCTCGAGGGGCAAGGAGACAAAGAGGAAATCCGGAAACTCTCCGCCGGTACAAATCGAAATTGAAACGTCTTCGGATTTGTTTGGGTAGATTTCCCGCTCCGGTAATCTCCGCGAGACGAGTCCTAATTACATTAGGAAAATATCGGGGTATTTCGAATCGGAAAAATCGCTCGGTTATATTCCGACGTTCGCCTGTCTGTACGGGATTTTGTATACATATTTTTATCGTCCGTCGAGCGGCTATAAAAGGGAAACTTCACCGCGTTTCAGCAGAATCTAACGCCCCGAATTATTAGTACATCGAAGCGGGAAAAGAACAATTCCATCTCCAGTAAAAGCTCGCACCGACTCTGATTATGCGGCTTGTTGAAAATTCATGGCGTTGAAGTTGGTTCAAACAAGATTTATACGTCAAATTCGCATGTAAATTTCGGCTTACCGGAATACCGGCATTACAAGTTTCACGCTCACTCGAAACTCCTCTTACCCACTAGATGTATTGCCCAAGTTTATAACACTGATAGTGTCTATCAGTAAGAAATTTCAACGCTAAATAACAGAGTTTGCTGTAGTTTAATTTTACGTCGGGTTGTTCATTTTTATATGCTGTAGGTACTTCATAATAATTTAAAATAGGAGTATGATTTTTGCAGAAAATTATTATTTCTATCATTAATATTTCTATTAACTTACCAGATAATTGTCTGCGAGCAGCTGGTGGTCTATTATCCTTGTCGCCGGATCGATCCTCTAATTGATCGATACTTTCCCATTTGCTGGAAATAAAAGGGATGATATAGATAAACAAATCGTTGAAAAATCGATGTTTAAAAGGGACTCACTTTACTTCCGAATTGGACGATTCCTCTAGAAGCTGAGGGGTGGAGGAGGCTTTCGCACGTCGGCTCTCAGTACCGCCCACCGGTGACCGGTGGCGGTTCCCCTCGTGGAGCGGCTGCAAAAAATAACAAAAATAAATACCCCATCTTAAATATTAGTGATTCCCCGAATGAAACATGTATACAACCCACTAACTTGGACCACCCTCTACAATAACAAATTAAACCGCATTCGCATATTGCCCACTCGATAATTCATCCAGCGTAATTTATCCCATACATAATATTTTAGAATTTACACCATATACATCACATTCACGCGTTTCTCTCGATATATCACGTCGTGACGTCACCGCCGGTTCGACGAGAGCAAACTATATACATTACCTCGACATTCGTAAATTGTTGGGTTGAAATTCCCGCCGTCGAAACGGATAGTTTCGATAAAGAATGCGAATGCAGGAATGCGCCTACCTCAAAGGGATAGTTAGATTGAAATGTATACATCGTTACTTACCGTGACGGGAGCTGTAAGGGATGGCTCTGGGGTGGGTAGTTTGCGGGGCGGGCCGGGGGATGAACCGACACTTTCAGTTCCATGCCTTTGCCAGGGAAGGGTTCCGCTATAACAAAAAAATAAACAGCCTAAAATAGGTGTGCAAAATACATGCTCTAGACTAGACTGATAATAAATGATGATGATGAGAAGACCTAATCTGGAAGTAACTAAGTTTGCCAGGATTAATCCGGCCCTCTAAGGTTTGTTGTAGAACCACCAGTGGTCGACCCACCGCTATTATAGTGATAAGACCTTAATTATTACATACATTATTACACTAATCAATTACTAATTACTCAGTTAAAATTAGATGGAAATATGCGAAGGGCGTTACAACGCCATTATTCGACGAATTTAATAATGAAACGCTACAGATAATTGGAAAACTATTATTAACTGTACACCAAAAACAAAGCCTGTTCCATTACACCTACTCCCTAAGCGAGGGTGTTTATTAACTTTAAAATTTTAATCAGTGCTAGGTCTATTATAATATTGGCATAATTTATGAGAAAAGTTTAAATATGTGGAACAGAACAAACGTAAACTGTTAAAAAGGATGCTTATCCAACTCCGGTTCGTTGCTCTGTGTAAATAATACATACAAGTTTGTACAGCTACTCGGAGAATGTGTTACCTGTGCGTATAAAGGATATGCAGTGCAAATATAAGTGCTATTCATCTAGACGAGCTTATAGACATATGAATGGTTGGATAAAGTTTGTGGAATATTAATGACAGAATGTATAAAGAACGGGAAAACGAGGAACATAAACAGTGATATTATGAAAAGCGTTGTTGAATTTTCCAGACGATAATTCCCTTATTTTTTGGTCTGTTTTTATAGCAAAATATCGACGGTATAAACTTATTAATTAAAGCGATTATTAAACTTTTCAAATTGGATTTATTATATAAAGTTTCAATTAACGTTTTATCTATAAAGATCTTTATAATCTTACTAAAGGAAAACGAAGGCAAATAAAACGAAAATGAAGGTAACTAAAAATTTCCCAATTTTCACTCTCATAAAACAGATTTTCATGTTGTTCGAACTGCAATAAAGCATTTATGCGCGAAATTAGCGCAAACCATTTCGAAATGATACAATGCTACACCTGCAATGTTTGTAAATATTTCGATTTTATAGAAATATAAAAATTAAACATCAGTTCAACTCCAATGGAAACGTGTCAAAAACCTCGGCTTAACGTAACATTATGAATATTTAACTGCAAATTATTATCGATTCCGAGCCGAATCTCGTTTTCCGACATCAAAAGCTCCAAATTGGAGGGCTTTCGTCGTTCAATGCACCTAAATTCGGAATTAAAACAGATTGATATTATAATTTCGGTCTTTTCCTAAATACACCCGAAATTCCGCCCGCTTCCAATGGAAATTCCTCCGCACTAAAATCTTCTCGTTTATACAGGATGGTAAAAAAAGCAACTCATGTATGTATCTACACAATAATTCAATTCAGCTAACTCGGGGAAACTTCTACATTTTAATCTTTCATATACGAATAGAACAAACCACAATAATACTTTCTATCGAACCATCATCAGTGATGTTGCCACCCTTTCGGGTGCTGAAACAATACCGGATTGTCCCTTTCCCAACGGCGTCGGCGTTTTTGACGTTTCGACGAATCATTTAGGCCCTTTTGTTACGTTCGAATGAACGAATGAATGCAAATGATGATCAATAAAAGGATACAATCGGGTGTGGTTTGCGTGGTGTTTAAAACAACCTACTAATCTCATTGTTTCGGTTTTTAGCGGAGTATGTTTTTAGGACAAACGAGCAATTTATCCTTCCCTACAAATTATAAAGATAACAGCGCACTTCGTTTATTAAAAAAAAAACGCTATAAAAATAGTGAAAAACACGTCGAAACTCCATGATCTTCACGTTTCGAAGTAAGCCGGTTAATTAGTGGTTATTGGCCTCTTCCTGGAGTGGAGTAGGTCAAGACGGGGGGGCGCTTTTGCATGCAAAGAGGGAATAAATTTCGCACAAAACGCCCGACCAATTAGGCATAACTCACGGCTTAAGCCGAGTTCAGACGGCGGAGTAAGTAAATTGCGACGATGTAAAAATATCGGGAGTTTCCGTCGGCTGGTCGGGAATGAGAAGTGCAAATTAAATGCGATGTATTAGGCGGAAGGGGAGCCCTGCAGGCTGCAGGAGATTTGTATTCGCCTGGCGAACGGGTGTTTCGTAAAGCATCGCGAATTTCGTGTTCGGAGAAAATTGGTGTCAAGACGACGCGAAGTATGTAGTAAAAGTAATAAAAAAAACTTTAGGGTAGATAGCCGGTTTTTTATACGATAATATTTGAATGTCGATAGTTTATAAAAGTTGTAAGTGGTGCTTCGAAATCTCCAGAAAATCGCTAATAAAAAGCAGCCCTTACCGCAGGATAAATAGCTGCAGGGATTGGATTTTTCGCGCTGGCAATTGAAAAAAAAAATCCTCCAAAAGTTGGCATCACCACCGAGAAAATTAGTATCAAGACGACGAAACGCGGAAAGTTATGGCTTGAAAAAAAAACCCTACATCTGAGTAGAGAGCTCGTCTTTTCTCGCAGTTGACAAGAATTTATACCTCCATACTGTACAGGGATTTATCAACCGAAATAAATCATCCTTTATCGTTTACCATTCGCAGTCGCGTTGTAATTTTACTCAAAATTCCTGTTAACCCATTTGTTCGGCTCCTTTATTTTTACGACCGTTAATCATCCGGTGCAACAAACGGGAGATGCTCCAGCAATCCATTCGAATTTTTCCGCCGGTTTATTAGACCTTTCTTCGGTCGCGGAAAGCGCGAAAAGAAACAGAATTGGAATAATTAAGAAGCTTTAAGCAACAAATAAGCATCGAGACTTTAAAACAACACCGAAAGTTAATGGTTAATAGTGCATGGTTCTTATTACAAACATCTCATTCTAGCCTAATTGGATTCGATGTGGCAAAACGAGCATTTTATTCGTGTTTATAAAAATGATTCCGTTCGTTTCCTGGGCTGATAGCGATCGAATCTAGAGAGGTAATTACCGCGAGAAATTAACTCTGGTGCATGCTCAGGTCTTGATCATACCACCGAAACAAATACGCTCGCCTGTTACTTAATTACATCAATTAACCTCCAATTAAGTTCGCCGAACGGGACGTTAACTACTTTAATTCGCGAAGAGCGGTTCCCTACCGGGAGATTTGTTAAAAATTCTCAAGTGTGCATCGAAGGATTTGCTCACTGATGGGATGTTTAAATTGTAGATTGGAGTTACAACTATGACTGCGAGCTATTTCGGGAATGTGGAGAATTCATATTCGTTTTCAAATTGATGAAAATCACCTTTGACGAGGCAATTTCAGGTTTAAATTCGAAACCGAAAACGAGGAAAACTAAAAAATGAATAAATGCCGGCTTGCGGCTCGCGTGGTTAACAGAAATGCTCCCTCTCTCGACTATTTCCATATTCGTCGGGACGAATAAAAGTTCAACGTTGTTGGTTATTTTTTTTGTTTTCGTTATTCAATCCCGTTTTCGGAATAAAGGCGAATGCTGGGTTGAGTGGATTAATCGATTCGTGTTACTGCGATCAGCTCATTCTAACCAAAACCATTAAAAAACAGATCGAAATGAACGAAATAAACGATTGAATACACCTAAAAAACGAAAAACCTCTCATTACAAATCCACAATGTAACTCCCCTAAACTTATAACCATAGATTGTATGAAATATCACTAGATTCGGCAACGTCGATCAATACATTCTCTATGTACTTACCGCAAACTCTCATGCCAACTATTGCGAGTTATTAAACTTCGATTTTCCCAAAATACTTTATGGCTTCATATGTATTTGTATTTTTACCGCGTCGCATCGATCTGTCGGTGCAAATACTGCGAGAAATTAATAAACGTTTAACGTTTACAATGAGGGTTACCCCGAGGGGTTAGATGAACGCCCGAAACAATACAACTATTCGAAATTATCTGGAATTGTCGAAGTTTAGGGAACGGTACGGCGAATTCCCTGGGGAATAATTCCGCGAATTAGCCCTCGTTTCTATCCGGGTGTAGTGGACCTTAAAAACTTATTGTGTTCAGGTAGAAGTCTATTATAAACCCGCCGATTTTTGTTTGTAAATATTTTTAGTTCGGTGTTTTTTTTTGGATAAGTTTCGGACAGGAGATTTTGAATTATGCACCTGTGAAAGCCATTTTTTCAAAATGAATCATCTACTTAAAAATTCAAGTATTATCCACCTAAGACCCCAACCAAATTAAATTGCCACTCTAATTCGTTTTCTCGAGAATCTTAAATTACCTACTTAAGAATACCATCTATCTTCCCAACACTTTTTTACACATCCGAGACATTCGATTACTCTCTTATGACACCATTCCAAGCGAATACAAAGTAACAAAATGCAGGAATCCATCACCATTAACTACAACTACCTCCTGCAAGGGTAATTAAGACGGGCAATTTGATTATTACTTTTCCTTAATGAACGCCGCTCGATCATCGCCAGCCATGAATTTAATGTAATGTCCTGCACGGCCCTTTCATTTCATAGCGAGTTTACGCGGAACGCCACATTAGCGGCCGGGGCTCCGGATAATTGGGGTCAAGTCGAGTCTCCCCACTGATAACTGGATGGTTAATGATCTTTGGGATTAGCAGAAATTGGCGCGAGTTGAAAACGCCCGATCGAACGGGCGTTTTAGATTGATCGGTGAAACGGGGTATCGATTCGGCTGGTACAGGAATTACAATTTCTTATCCGGCAGGAATCGATTAATAATTCATCGATTCCGGTCCGTTTTCTCGACGTTTTACTTTGCGTTGTTCTTTCGAGGAATTGTTGATATTGGGAAGTTGTAATACTTATTGGTGGATATTTAGGTCGATTGGTTTATGGGAGATTGGATCCTGTTGCTCGAATAAACTGGAGGAAAGTTTAGTTTGGTTGTAGAAAAACTTTTATTCTACTGATGCGTTTATATAAATTTTTAATAATTTGTACAGGAGAACATACATTTGGTACCTATTTTAAGAATTTCCTGTGTAAAATCTTAAATCCTTCGTTTTCTTAAAAATCTACTAACTTAAAACGTTGAAATAAGTGGATTGACTCGGAAAACTCCTGCAAGTGCACGTTATCATACAAATTGAATTTGAATAAAATCTGCAGAAATTTATTCAGGCATTCTTTCCCTATGCTTATACCAACCTACTCTATCGAGTAATTTTTAACCTCTCCCTGGGAATGCTGTAGAGGAGAACTCTCCGCAGTTTTCTGCTCGATAAGAACCCGTCGTTGTCGCGTAATCATCGACGGTCGAGAATCGCTTTCGAGCACACGCGAAGCGAGCGCGTTTTGAATGGGCGAAGCGCTGTCGCCGAGAATAGAGACATTTTCCGGAAAATCCGCGATAAAATGCGCCGCGGAATCTCTTTTGTGCGCCCGGCGAATTGCCCCGCACCGTTTCGGTATCTGCTCGCTTAATTAAACCGGCGTCAAAAACACAGATTTACGCGTTAAGGGTCCCACAGACCGAGGCGAAACTTTCGCTGCCGCTGCGATTTCGCGGCGGAACCGCAGCGGTAGTTTCGCAATAGTAGCGAAAACGCAGCGTTCTATTTACGAAACGCTGCTTGCACTGGTTTTTCCGCTGCCGCTGCGGAATTTTGTACCTATGAAAATTGCAGTTGTCGAAAAATTAATCGAGTTGGTGAAAAAGTATCCAATTATTTACGATTTAAGTCATGAAGACCTATTAAAAATTATTTAAATTAATATCCTACTATTATTATGCTTGCCTATATGTTGCTAATCAACATACTCGTAATAACGTAGTTATTTTTACCTAATTTCTTCCTCTTCAGCTAAACCAAGTAGCAGTAAAACTTCTTCTTCAGACAAACTCATTGAATAAATAATTGTATGAATTGCAAATATTATAATGAATTACACACACGCTCCAATTTGTCACTAAAAATCGCTAACTAACAATCGGAAAATTTCGCAGCAGCGGCAGTTTCGCAACGCTGGCGGAATTTCCGCCGCGAAAGTTTCGCGTTGGTCTGTGGGATCCTTTACATTTCCCGAAAGTTCGCCGAAAAATAAAGTTCGAGTTCGCCGGTTTCCGCTCAGAAAAATCGCGAATCATCCTCGACGGGTCGCCGCAAAAGGCCGGCAACTAATTCCAGTTCCGTTGCTAATTAGCTTCTCAGATGTTCCACCTACTCGACTGAATTTATCCCGTCGACTTCGAGGATATCAAAGACTCTTCTATGGGGGTCTATTATGCGAAACGGGGCTCTTTCGCCCGCGGTTTGCGAAAGCCCATCAAAAGGACCCCGTGTTTATTTCCCTAATATCGTGGAAATTCGACTCGTTAATTTCATAATAGTCTAATAAAATGCTGAAACCGAAAACGGGCAAAGGCGTCGCCTTTCTTCCTCGAGTCTCACCTTAATGGTTATTATTACATTAAACCTTTGTTTTGTTTCGGTGCTTCAATTATTATAGCGCAAATTTAGGGTGTGTAAAACAGCTATTTAAAATGTAATTCACCGAAATAAAAATTACAAAACAGATGGTTTGTAAATTTTAACGTATTTATCAGATTTTTTACAGCAAAATAGATTTTTTTCTTCCTAATCTGTTAATCTAAAAAAACCGCGTAAAAAGTATCGACTTTTCGAAATCGTCCGCCACACCAACATAATGAATCACTTTTTCGTTTTATTGCTTGCATTATGATAAATTGGCGATAAAAATTTTAACAATCGTCCTCGTAAATTTTTTATTATCGAGTCGATTTAGCGCTGCTCCATAAATGGAAAATAAAAATGCAAACGCTAAATTGCGAAGGGAACGAACGGGACTGCGAGTGGGGAATAAAGGAGTTTCAATTCGATATAATCGCCTTCTGATCATGTGGAGATGGAATATCCGCCCGGCAGGCTCTAAATAATCGGGACTTTTATCGAGAAGTTGGTAATGAATTTCGAAAATTACGTTGGTAATTTTCAGTTTAATTGATCGAAATTATCCGCACAAGAATATGCCATTCCTTCTAAAACGGCTCGTTAGTTGAGGATTTTTGAAAATTCACAATTAATATGGATAAGATATGATAACTTAAAGATGAGAGAACGGTAGAAAAACACTTTTAAAAGTGGATTAATCCAGATGTTCCAAGAAAGAATCGCTCATATTTTTTTACCGGAAAAACTCCCCGAAGTCTCCTTTTCCACGTCAAAAACTCGTTACTCGCGAACATTTCTAATCAAAAATTTATACCTAATTGGGATAGAAAGTCGACCCGTTAATTTTTTATGAACCCGAAAAACGATACGTGTGACATGTGACAAATGACAAGAACACGACAAACTGAAACTTATAGCGTTTTCCATTGGTAAAATAGTGCGCACTAAAAGTGCACTAAAAGCTAAATTTTTGACTCATTTGGTGGACTGTGCGAGTTTTTTGATTTCCATTGGCAATCTGGCCACCAAAAAACACTTTTGGAAATCCAAACACTCGCACAGTCCACCAAATGAGGCAAAAATTTTGCTTCGAGTGCACTTCCAGTGCAGACTATTTTACCAATGGAAAACGCCATTAGCTATTCGAATTCCAAATCGAATTACGTCCGCATTTATAATCATACAGGTGTTCCACTTACGCAGCCCGTTCGATCAGCTGATCGCCTGACCCCTTCGAATTCGCGACGGGCTCGCTCGAAGTCATCAAACATTCCACCGAAGAAAAATGCTTCCGGCCGAATTTGCGCCGTTTCCACATGAACACCTCCTCGGGCCCGGTCACTTTTCGCGAAATTTACGGCGCCCGCCGATACCGGAGGAATTCACTAATGTAAATTACTAATAAATAAACGCCGAAACCGGCGCATCAGATTAATTAATAACGAAAACACAAAACGCGAACAACGCGATAACAACAACAACGACCGGCCGGCACGGCACTCGACAAAACGGATTGCCGATATATTATTTTATTTCGCCCGCGTTCGATTCGAAGCGACGTTGTCAGATCGGTGAAATTATCAGGAGATGTTAGATTTTCTGGCGACCATAAAGCGATCGGCAGAAGACATGTTAAAAATTAAAGATAAAAGCATTCTTATATGTACAGAAGAAATGCCGATCGATAGCAAATTTTGATGGATGGATATTTTATTTCTAATGCAAATTACATTTTTCAGGAAGGGAAGGGAAGGGAAGGGAAGGGAAGGGAAGGGAAGGGAAGGGAAGGGAAGGGAAGGGAAGGGAAGGGAAGGGAAGGGAAGGGAAGGGAAGGGAAGGGAAGGGAAGGGAAGGGAAGGGAAGGGAAGGGAAGGGAAGGGAAGGGAAGGGAAGGGAAGGGAAGGGAAGGGAAGGGAAGGGAAGGGAAGGGAAGGGAAGGGAAGGGAAGGGAAGGGAAGGGAAGGGAAGGGAAGGGAAGGGAAGGGAAGGGAAGGGAAGGGAAGGGAAGGGAAGGGAAGGGAAGGGAAGGGAAGGGAAGGGAAGGGAAGGGAAGGGAAGGGAAGGGAAGGGAAGGGAAGGGAAGGGAAGGGAAGGGAAGGGAAGGGAAGGGAAGGGAAGGGAAGGGAAGGGAAGGGAAGGGAAGGGAAGGGAAGGGAAGGGAAGGGAAGGGAAGGGAAGGGAAGGGAAGGGAAGGGAAGGGAAGGGAAGGGAAGGGAAGGGAAGGGAAGGGAAGGGAAGGGAAGGGAAGGGAAGGGAAGGGAAGGGAAGGGAAGGGAAGGGAAGGGAAGGGAAGGGAAGGGAAGGGAAGGGAAGGGAAGGGAAGGGAAGGGAAGGGAAGGGAAGGGAAGGGAAGGGAAGGGAAGGGAAGGGAAGGGAAGGGAAGGGAAGGGAAGGGAAGGGAAGGGAAGGGAAGGGAAGGGAAGGGAAGGGAAGGGAAGGGAAGGGAAGGGAAGGGAAGGGAAGGGAAGGGAAGGGAAGGGAAGGGAAGGGAAGGGAAGGGAGTTTTTTTGAAAAAGGAAGAAAACGAAAAAATAATATTTTTAAAATGTTGACAATATGATACATTTACCGCATGGTACAGGGTAAATGTAACAAACGGTTCTAAAGTGGAATACAATTATACATATAGAAAAACATATGGGGCAATTGTAAAAAAATATTTGGTACCTCTAAAATTTGATATGCTGTTTATTTATTTATTTCAAAAAATAACAGAGCTACAAAATAATAAAGAAAAAATAAGGAACAAACCCCGTCTAATGCACAAAAGAACTATAAAAATAATAAAAACATTAACATAATAGGTAAAAATATTATTACATTTACCCCATTTTTACATTTGCCCCAGTCTACCTTATCATAAGCTTTTCTTTTTCATCAAGTACAACTAATCTGCACAGGGACGTGAAAAAAGTATTTTATTAAAAATCAACAGCAAACAAATCGCAAACGAACGAAAACGATAGGGCGTATTTTTGATTGCTCGCAGTAATTGGAACATCGAGCGATATCCGATCGATCGGGCAACCCAGAATTATCGCAAAGCCCATTTCGCCTGTCGAGCAAACCGATTATTTCATTGACTGATTTATCTTTATCGGACTCGACATAAATCGTTTCGTGTGCAGGGCCCTTTACTGTTTCATTACACGGCTATTAGGACGTTTTGTAGAAAACAATGTAGAGTTATTAAAAAAGGGCGCAATGAGGATTAGATACCAATTTTTTTTGGATGATCGATTATTGAAGAGGATTCATCATTTTTGATGTACTTACTTTAAATTTGTGTAAATTAGGGAAGCACAAAAAGCTGTAGATATAAAAAAATTATGCAGATTTGAAATTCGTGTGAAACCGCAAACAATATGTCGCTCCCTAAATAATAAGTCATATTTATCTCAATAACTGTCGTTGCATTGATTAGATTAGATAAAATTTTTTAGATTCCACCGCAAACATTGCTATATGAATAGATGTATTAATAGAAAATATACCGATCTTGTTTGTATAAAACTATGTAAGCAGTATATTCTGGGAATTCCCTACTAACCAGCCGGCTATTAAAAAAAAAGTAGAAACCCGGTGAGAACGAATTCGGTATTTCCAAAGACACTTCGAACGCGAGCGGGTATCGGTTGATCGTGCTGTGAGAGGCCAAAGACCGAACTGAAAACCATCGACTTCGGGCCGTTGGAATTATAACAGAACATTGGTATAGAACATAACATATCAAGCAAATTTGTGGCAGTAGTGTGGAGGCATAGCCGTGTTGCATTCGTGTTTTCTCTTCTTCCCGACAGAGTGAGACTTTAGGTGCAATCACCTTTTCGTGATTTGTTCGATTCCATCAAGTGTAATCTACAAGTTACTCCTGGTACCGGTGAGTATAATGTAGATTAAAGTAGGTAGATTTAAGTATTAATTAGATGCAGTATTCGTAGATTTAAGCAGGTACATTTTATCGGGTTTTTTTCGGGATTTGTTTAGTGTGTGTTCTATTTTAAGTTCGGTGTTTATCGGTTAACCAATTCTCACATTACAGAAAATGCAATCGTATAACTTCAGTCGTCAAAACAATGTCTCTTTGTTATTGCATTCTTGCGTACAATATTTAATATAAGATAAAAACTGTTTTAGAAAAGAACGAAACTTGTTTGATGTGTGAATTTTGTCCATTTTGTTTTAAATGTATAATTATAATTACGTGAGTTTATACGTCGTTAAACAAGTAGCGAATTCGTAATTAACAAACGCAAAAATCCGAAATAATTGTTATAAAATATCAAAATCAATCGTACATACATATTTGTTCAACAGCTTCATTCGAACATAATTAATTGTTAATATTATGTATTGCAGTATCTACAAACAATTTTTAGTGAATTATTGATGTGCATAACAACAGAATATTTCTATGTGAACGAACATCCTCATGATAAGACAAATAAAATTCACCGAAACTTTCACGTTTGAATATAGATAAACGAAAATTTACCAATTCTCCGAACAAAAAGTTATTAGAGTGCTGAAGGTTAACGAGTTGTGTATAATTTTTAATGAAATACTAATTTACATAATACAGTGTGTTGCATAGACACAAGAACTTATACTTTTAATAAAACGAAAAACAATCTTATAATTTCTGAAAATAAATTATTGATTAGATAACCCAGATAACGTTGATATTTGGTTCGTAACAAATTTTTCCAATTTTAGTGCTCAAAATGGATCAGCGGAGTGATCATCAAAATGCATCGCACCAGCTCGCTAGCTATCCTGCAAAAGCCGTCCTGCAACAGACCAATATGCCTTCCGTCAAGGCGAATCCTGCGCTAAACCATCCCGATGTACATGTAGAACAAGGATACTTCAATCCCTTAAGCGATCAAGTAGCAGCAGGTATCATCTTAAACGCCGGTTTGTTATGACTTTTGCATAATTCTCATTTCTGATCCTTTTGCAGGCGCTCATATGGCTACTCCAGCGCAAGCAACGGACGCCAAATGGGCCGACTTTGCCTCCTTCTCGGACGCTTCCGTGCGAAAAGGTTTCATCAGAAAGGTGTTCTTCATACTCGCCGTTCAACTATTAATCACCACCGGCATTTGCAGCTGGTTCCTCTTGGAACCGAACACGAAGCTCTTCATCCACAAGCATTTGGAAATGCTGGTGGTCGCAATTGCTGTTGAAATAGTGGTGCTGATAGCCATAATCTGCTTCGGCGAGCTCAGGAGAAAAACGCCCATCAACTACATCCTGCTGTTCATCTTCACCCTCACCAAGGCCTACTTCGTGGCGACGCTGGTGAGCTTCTACGAGGTTAAAGCTGTACTGATAGCTGCGGGTTTCACCACTGCTGTGTGCCTGGGCCTGTGCCTGTTCGCGTTCCAAACGAAATGGGATTTCACCATGTGCGGGGGATTCCTGTTCTGCAGCCTGTTGGTGTTCCTGCTGTTCGGGTTTTCCTGCATATGGCTCATGGACGACGTGGCCTACTTGGTGTACGCCAGCATAGGCGCTTTGCTGTTCTCGTTGTACCTCGTTTACGATATACAGGTGATGATGGGCGGCGGGCATCGATACAGTCTATCCCCCGAAGAGTACATTTTCGCAGCCTTAAATCTGTTTATAGACGTCATCACTATATTTGTGTATATCCTGAGAATCGTTGGAATTGCTTCTAGGTAATCGAGCGATTTGAATGTATATGGATCAGTGAATTAAACTGATGTAAACAGTTATGCGTAGATTTAGAAAAGAGAACGTTTGTTTTTGTTTATCGCCATATTGGAACATCTGCGGCTGTGATTGATCAAAAATGTAGCCGATTTTAAGTTTTTTTATGAATCACTTGTCATATTATCGTACTCGAAAATGTTTTGCGTATTAGTTGAATTGCCATTGGCTTTATTGTTTGAAATTTCTTTTGTTAAATTGTTTTTATTGTTAATTTTAAATGTTTTTTTATGTCTTTTTGGAAACTAAGTAATTTTACAAAGATTTCGTTATATTAAATGTGTATTCATTTATGCAAAACATTTTTGAGTGTGTGTATTATTCACATCAATATACTGCATAGTTTGTTAGTAGCAATGTTTGTAATAGATATTTTGTACGTTTTTTTTGCAAAATAATATTCGTTCGCAATAAAATAATAATGCTTGATTCGTGCAAGTTGAAATTACCCAATTCGAATGAATCGCGCGAGCAAAATAACGCCGAAAATTAGCGAAAAGTCGAGTCGAGCCGAACGCTCCCGTTCAAATAACTATTCAGCGAATTTCGAAACTGAACAAACAACGCCCCAATTAAATTCAAATAAAACAAGTTTCCCAATTAATGTCTCGTCGATTAGCACAACAAACGCTCGACTACTCCGTCCTTAAACAACCGTAAAATCCCGATGGATGCGCTCCGGCCGAATTCGCCTTCGAATTCCGATTATGCAAACTCCGCGACGGCGGCGGCGGCGGCGGCGGCGACGCCAGACCGGAAATGCATCCTCCATTTCGACTCCCGATTATTAACTCGCGCCCTTTCCCAGCAGAGACGCCGTAATTTATTCACCGCCTTTGTCTCTCTCCATGCAACCCGTAATACATGTGGAGATTTACGCCAGTGGAAGGGGAAAACAAACAAGGACGGAGATTGTGTTACTCATCGGAGCCCTTTTGCTTGTACGATAGAGCAAAGGAAATGAAGATGTAAGATTGCAATTAAATTGATTAGATTTGGCTGTTCAAAATAACTCGATGAATGAGATTTGATATGTCGAGGGAAGATTAGAACTGAGTAATACATATAGCAAAATAATTATTATCATATTATCAGCGCTCGATAATTTAATCCTTTCAAAGTTCCATTTAGTACTTGGGATACTTGGAATATTATTCATAAACCATTTGTTATATAAATTACTCGATGACATAATTCCTTGTTATGGACTTGAAAATGATGAAGTACAAACTGGATACAAGATGCCCAAAACAGAGAAACATAATTTAGTGGTTCAGTACAAATGCTGAAGTTTCCTCCTTTTTGAGATGTTATAACTTCATATTCTTCCTGCAGAAGACAACCTAGCCAATCTAAATAAGATAGTTACTCACCCGGGAGGTTGGTAGCTAGCAGACAAGAACGATTTGGGCAACGACATGGACCTCTGCTGCAGCTGCTGTTGCGTCTCCGCATCGGCGTCCTCCGACGGGGCGCTTCCCGGTCGCGTCGCGACGCTCTCGCGCGTCCCGGCGCCCTCCTCGTCGCCCCGACCGAACGACGATCCGACGCCGTTCCTGAACGCCGTCGGCGCGCGTCCTTTCGGGTTCACCGGCGACGTTTTCCTGCCGTCTGTCGCCTCGCGTTTGGGCTTGACCGGGCTGGTGCGTCGCTCGCCCAGCTGGATCTGCCTGGAGGTTAACAGGACATTACGAACGGATCGTGGAGGAAGCGATGGGAGAGCTTACATGTCGTTGATTTGCTGTTGCTTGCGCCGCTCCATTTCCGACGCCATGCGGCGTTTGTGCTGCTCCTGCTGGGCCTTTCTGTCGCCGGTGATGATGGATCTGGTGGAGTCTAAGGAGCGCTGGTGCGTCGGGTAGCTGTGCGACGGACGAATCGCGTTACTACCTTCCCTGGGGATCAAACAATAATCGATTCCAAGCATTAACCAAGCGTTAACGAAGAATGCGTAAGATTACCTGTGCGAGCAGTGAGGCCAGAAGCTGCAATTCTCGATCGAGCAGGTTTCTCTGTTCGACCTTCCATCGAAGCTCGGCTTACCGTTCGATAATACAGGGCTGGTGGCGCCTCTTACCAGCACTTTCTGTCCCTCTTTTTTCACGTTTCCCACGTAGTAAACCGTCACCTCGCTGTTGACGGCTTTGCTGGCCAATCTATTCTTGTCATCTTTGCTAATGCTGCCGTTGTATCGCTGGTTGAGCAGAGCTTGAGCGGCGACGCGAGTTCTGTTTCCTATAATTAATTATAAGAAGCAACATGCTAGATGAGAGTATAGGTATTTACCGTAAAGGAATCCTGTCACTACCTCGGCCTCGCGCAGGACTTCATCGCTGACGTCGTTAACATCCAAAGACTGCGGCAAGGAATGCGCGCTTTGGACGTTCTGCAGCGATTTTTTCGCCCTCTCGCCGGAATCCCCGATCTTCACTATCGTGCGATGTTCCAAGTGCTGTGGAGACACTCTGGTGGACACCGGCGAGGAATCCTTACCGAACGTTTGCGGCTTCCTCTCCGGCAACTGCAAACTCCTCGACCTGTCGGAACAAAATAAATTCACCCGTTCCGAAATTCGCTTCTCGTCACTCGCCTTCGCACTCTCGACGTGGCGTCCTCCTGAGGCGCCCTCGACTGTTGGTGAACCGTTCTGCTGGACCCGCCGCGCCGGTTGATCGTTTGGGCGGCCGGCGGGGGCGGCGGCGACCGCGCCGGGAACTCGTCGCTGCTCGACGACGAGCCGCCGGCCGTCTTGTTGCCGTCCGAGCCGGCCGGCGACCGCCTCGTCTGCGTCCTGTGGTGCCGGTTGGACCGCCCCGACGGAGATATCCTGTCGCGGTCGCGCGGCGGCGCGACGCGCACGTTCACCGACGAGCTGTCGTTGTCCTCCTCGTCGGCGTCCTGGTGGTGGTCCATCGAGGAATCGGTGTTCTCCGATAGACGGGGCATCACGTTGCCCGGCCGGTTGAAGCTGCTGTCGAGGCTCCTGAAGCCCATCGACGATGACGACGATGACGAGGAGCCTCTGTAATAACGACGGGACGTGGGGGTTAGTTTGATTGGCGTCGGTTCGTTGGGAGGTGTAACTCACTTGTAATGTTGCAAAAATTGGTTTCTTCTAACGGTGGTGTCCTCTAGCGACTTCGTTTGCGGCATTTTAGTGACTACTTTCGCCGGTTTGTCGGTGATAGTTTTTGGTTTGGATGGTTGCCTCGGACTGACTTTCCATTGTGTCGAAGGAGGCGATTTTCCGCTGACGTTCCACAACGGCGACGGCGGAGATTTCCTGTGCTGCTGCCACAGCGGCGACGGCGGCGATTGTTCCCTCGGTCTTTGCCACAACGGAGACGGCGGCGATTTCCTGGCGTTCCACAACGGCGACGGCGGCGCGTTGTCCATCGATTTCCACCGAGGCGACGGCGGGGATTTCTCGCGCGAGTTCCACAGCGAGTTCGGCGTGGATTTGGTGGTCTTCCACTGCGGAGAGGGCAACGGTTTACCGCCGGGGTTCCACAGAGGCGACGGCGGGCTGGCGCCCGTCGGTCGCCATTGCGGCGTCGCCGGCGGACTGGCGTCGCTGTCTTCGATGGCGTTCGAGCGCGGCAGGAACGGCGTCTTGCCGAAGAAGGTCTTGCTGCGCTTCATCGGACCCCTGTCGACGCGGTCCTGGAAGGCGGGCGGCGGCGAGATGATGGGAGTGACGGAGGGCGAGTCGGGCGGCGGCGACGGCGAGGCGCTGTTTCGATTGCACGAGTGGAACACGAGAGCGGTGGGCCGTTCGCAGACCGGCTCGCTGTCGAAGCGGTAGTCGGCGAGCTTGCCGCGGGATTTTTTCGAGGTTTTCTCCTCCAGCGACCGGTGCTCCACCTGCACCCAGCCGGATTTGTTGAGGTAGACGCCGTCGACTTCGCCGTCGTGCCAGCGCACCTTCGATTACAACACAACAATATACCAACCCTTTATCAGATATAGAAATTTGGTAGTACTCACCGGCGACAGTTCCCTGTCCTCTTCGCCGGCGATCGAGTACCGGTCGATTGTGGCGTCGACGTCGGCGGTGTTCCGGAAGCTCGGCGAATTCCACCATTTGTAGGCGCCGCCGCCGAGCGATCTTTGCTTGGTCGACGGCGGCAAACTGGACGCCGCTCCTCCGACGAGCCGGTAGCTCTTCGACGTCGAGTAGGTTGCTTTACCGGTGGCGTCCCAAGGGGATGAAGTGCTGCGCACGTGCAACACCGACACGTTGGGTCCCCTGGAATACAAACGCATGAATTGTAATGATTTACTACAAATAAATGTAGCTAAACAATTTGGTGTGTTAGTTATAATCTTCGGATTGAAACGACATTTTCTAATTAAATTCGATTAGATTAGTTTGTAACTCCATTACATGCATAACGACAAGGTTAAATTATAAAGGTTCATGCACACACATGGTGGAATAAATGCATAAATGTAATGATTTACCACAAATAAATGTAGCTAAACAATTTGGAGGGTTAGTTACAATCTTCGGATTGAAACAACATTTTCTAATTAAATTCCAATAGATTAGTTTATAACTCCATTACATGCATAAAGACAAGATTTCATGCACACATATGGTGGAAACGAATTTCCACGACAGCGGTGTAGTGGAATTTCGTGAAGTACAAAAAACTCCTCGGACATTTCGACCTTAATTTGGGTCGGGTGCAGGTGGAAAAAAAAGCGCCCGACGGCCGCCCGTTTTCATCAAGGTTCAATCGGATACATTTATCGCAGTCGCGAAAGGTCGTTATACCAAATAAAGAAACTGGCTTTCGATTGCGATGCGAGCGAGACGTCTCGCGAGATTATTGCGGCGTTTTCGCCGATTTCGGGACGATCTAACGCGATGTGATTTTACTGGAATTATCTCGTACGAAACGCGCTGGAATTCGTAGAAAGCTCGCGGTTACATTTTTGTACGTTTGGAATAATTGACTATTTTTAAAAAAAATTTCTCTTACTTAACTTTCGTCGTTGCGTAATTTATTATTAATATGATAAATAATACGTTTTCGTTGCGAGGGATATTTCTTACACCTGTGCGAAAATGATATTGTTGTATAATTAAATTGCGTTAATTTGTTGCATCCTCTTCCTCTCTTTTGTTTGTAGAGAATTAAAACTGATTTTTTTTACATCAAATTTACAACTATTGTATTCAGAAATGCAATGAAATAGTTAACTAATGTGGATTGTTTAATCCGTTTTAAATGTATCCTGATGATTAATGCTAGTTTTAAAACAACCCTTTATCACATCCCTTGTTTTAGGTACTACAATCCGTTGATAAATGTGAAATGTAACTGGCGTTATTTCCTTAAAATAATAGCCAATTTTAGCGAGATGGATGAATAATGAATAAAAAATGCCAATATTCTTCTTCTTCCAACAAAAGAAACGGTTATTTTTCGGGCTCGTTTCGTATACAGTAAACAATTTCGATCGTGGGAGTGTTTTTTTTGTATAAGGAAATTGGGACCGTTCGTCGTCGTGAATTATCGTTTAAATTACCGTGCGTAGGAAAGTTAATGTCACCTGTAGAACTCTCGCGTTTTGATAAAAAATTTCAATTTATAAAAATGGTGGGTGACCATTAATAAGCGTTATAACCTGTTCCAGATTATCGGGGAAGCTATAATTTATAATAAATTTTACGGTTAATGAACGGGTAAAATAAATTAACACGTAATATATGGAATCAAAAGTGATAGTTTCGGATTATTTATGAAAACTATTAGTTATGAAAACAAAACATATGTTGTTTAAAAGTTGCATAAGAGGGAACATGTTGAAGAAATTTAGAGATTTAATAAACTAAAAGAAATCAATTTTAAATTTCATTATATTTCGAAGCTTTTTTCTCATTTGGTTTGGTAAATAAATAAAATGTGTTTCAAATTCATAGATTTTATGCAAACGAAATCGATTTGTTTTAAACCCGTAGCAAATCATAACAGACTGTTATAACTAAATTAGTAAAATTAATACAGAAATATATAAATAGAACTCACCTTGCAGTGGACATTTATGTGGCAAAAAATAACAATCTAGCCAAATTAGTCTATTTCCTTGTATTGCGTAACAAACACTCTATTCCGATTGGGCACATTAGAATTTTTTTCTCACAAAGCACCTTTGAATCGAAATTTACACGAGCATGAATTACAATAAATTATTTAGAGTAGCGCTGATTTTAACCTTTTAGATAAAATATTCGCGGAATTTGACCTTCTCTTTCTGAAGAGAATTTATACACCCATTGCAATTCTACATTTAATTAACTCGCTTTTAATCGAGGCATTATTTTTTTATGAAACTTTTCCAAGTACCTGTCTGTTGTGAGAATAATACCTTACTAAGAACTTCTCGAATAAAAGAAGCCGAAGAAACTAAAAGGTTGTAGAAGAAAATAGAAGATTTTAGTGCGGAAAAAGTTTGTTCGGATTTGTTGAGTAAGTAATTAAATTTTTTCAATGCAAGAGTATTTTTGTATAAAGGAATTAAATAACGACAGATCCGCAAAATTTACAACTAGATAAAATGAAAATGAAATTCGACAAGATGTAGACGTATCCGCTTTCTAGGAAAGTTGAAGTTTGATATTAGATATCAAGTATAGGTATTATATTATTGTTATTATTATTATTAATCTAATGTAGGTATAGGAATAAAAAATAGTGAGAAAAGTGCAGAAATATACTAATAAAATGTACCAAGGTGAACTAAATTTAACTGGCGAAGAATGCTAGAAAATTTTATGAAGTTACAACCAAATGAATATTTCAATTGTTTAGAATATAATATCAAAAGCAATATTTAATAAATTCCCATAGGGGACCAAAATATGCGAAGAAATATTCGCACCTGATGCGAAAAATTCATCAAAAAGTGAAAATTGCTCAGCTGTCTCAAAAATGCTTATCTCAATAAAATCTACAGCTACTAAAACTACCAAAAGTTTGAACCCAGTAGGTTTACTAAAAAATAAAACGTTAGAATAAAAAAAATTGACCCCTAGAACCCATAAATTACGAAAAACCGCTCCTCCTTATACTATAAATTCTAGAAGAAATTACTGTATCAAAACATAGCCTTGACGGCAACGTTGCCAGGTTTTTCTAAAATATCACTAATTCTAGTCTAAATCAAAGATTAAAAACAAATTTATGTTAGTTTTTTAAGGTTTTTTGAGCCTTTTAAAGAGAATTTTTTAGGGTTTTTAAGAGACAGTTTTTTAAGGGAGTTTTTTTATAATTTTTGGTAATTTTTTTGAAGATTTTTCAACATTCTACAGCAATTTTTTTAATTGTTACAATAGTTTTATAAGGATTTGATACTTGCTTTTTTAATGGCTTATGTATTTTTTGCATATTGAAGACTTTTGAATGTTTGCAAGGTAATATTTCAATTGGATTTTTATATAGCTATTATTAGGTTAAGGATGTGCAGACGAATTATGGAATTTTTGTATCAATAAACGATTATTTTTGAGTTATTTAATGAATTTTTTAAAATGTTTATTTTTTTAGTCAGGACAGTTATTTTTTGCTATAAAATTTGTGAAAAACGCTATATTAAAAAATAAATTTTTAATGCGATCAGAATTCTTTAAAATGACCATAAAATATATTTTGAAAAATTATGAAAATGCATCAAAACAAGATGCTTTTTAAAACACACTTTTTAAAATAACATTAAATGGACTCACTTATAATAATAAACACAAATACCTACGTCCAAAACCAATAAGACATTAAAAAATATTTAAACACACGATAAAAATAGTACCACTTCAAATTCTTACAAATCCTTACAAAACCTCACAGTCTCCGAGAAACTTTTACCAACATACCCACACAAAAAACCCTCAAAAAATCCTCTTAACTATCCAAACACTTGGTCCAAACAAAGACCCGAAAAAAAAAAGAACCTCCGAAACCGCCCGAACCGGCAACGTCGCCGCGGCGCCTCCGCGTTCGCTTTCTTCGCGCCCGTCAAACACCGAAAGACTAAACCTTCGAAGAAGGCGACCACGATCTCTCACCTGCTCGCGACCGCCGCGTCCGCCTCTGCCGCCGGACTGATCTTGGCGCCGCCGACGACGGAGTTCTGCCGCGAGGCGCCCACCTGGGCGCCGGCCGACGCCCGCTGGACCTCCATCTTCGCCGAGTCCTCGGCGCTCGACACCCACCTCCGCGCCGTCTCCGACGTCACCGCCCGCGAGTTCCTCAGCGGCGACGGCTCCAGCACGCTGTCGACGCTCCTCTGCAATACCAAACCAAAACACTGATAAAACCAATCACGATTTTTTTGTAAATAAGTCCTCGAAAGGAGAGTGTATTGGTGCTTATAAATACAACTATAGAGGTCTTCGTTTTGGTGTTATATAGGCCTTTTTTTATTATAAAGACATTAGATTTCTCTAGCTAGCTGAATAGCTGTCGAATAGGGTAAAGGGTAATTAAGCTAGCTAGTGTTAGAAACAGCTGATTCCTTCTTAAAAACCCTCTCATTTGGTTTGTAAATTAGCTAGCTAGTTTACAAACTAACTAAGTTTCCGTATTAGTCTTTATTCTTCGTCAGTACATAGGTCTTCGTTTTGGTGTTATATAGACCTTTTTGTCAACTAGCCAAATGTACATGCGGTTATTATAAAGACATTAGATTTCTCTAGCTAGCTGAATAGCTGTCGAATAGGGTAATTAGGCTAGCTAGTGTTAGAAACAGCTGATTCCTTCTTAAAAACCCTCTCATTTGGTTTGTAAATTAGCTAGCTAGTTAGTAAGTTTCCGTATTAGCCCTAACATGTCTCTATACACTTCAAAAGAGCTGTTTTGTGTGGTGTTTCGCCCAAAATCGGTAACATAGTTTAATTTAATCCCATTGGATTTCCCGCGAGGAATCTCGAACCTGGCGTTTCGACAAATTCTCAAAACAAGACTTTGCATTTTTCCGATGCCGAAGCGTTCGATATCCCGGGCGTATCAAGCCGATCTGCGGATAGTGAATTCCTTGGGTAATCGAATACCAGCTCGTTCGGGGCCTGAGGGATTGAAGATTGCATTATTAAGAATCTCTGCTTATAGTAGAAATAACCGACGATCTAACCAAATTCCGCAATTCTGTCTCGCGTAATTTGAACCGGATGATTGTGCTTTGTTCTTCGCTCTTTTTGTCATGTAACTCGTTTATTTTTCTTTCTCTGGGAGAATCGGATTTTAATTGAATTGGATGGGTTCTTTTGCAAACACTCAAATTTCTTCTACGTCAAACTCCATTACTTAACATATTAGAAGTTTCCTTTAATGTTTTAATCGCTTACAAGACACAATTCTGGAACGTTGTAAAAGAGTGTTGGGGATTCATTTAAAAATTGTATCGCGCTCAAGTTTACAAATTAATAGAGTTTCAGCACGTAGACCGTTTCTTTTTAATTACGCGGAGTAGCAGTAAAAACCGCTGGAAAACTACTCAACTAAACGATTTCGATTAAGCGCCGATTCACCCTTTTGTCTCGGCAGCTTTTATATGGAGCCATTGCTCGGCAATAAAATAAACGAACGTCTTCCCGAAAGTTTTCCCTCGTTTTATCTCCAAGTTCCAAATCGAATAACAATTAGAATTAGAGCGACAAATCCGTAAACCGTAAATAAAATTAAACCGTCAACTGATCGATTCGATAAAAAATAAAATAAAAATAAAAGGCACATATACTGGAGCGCGGTTTACGGAGCGCAATAAAAAGCGACCGGCAAAGAAATAATAGGGTAATTAATTATTTAGAAAATCCACAGGAAAGTAAAACATTGATTGAGCTTCTATAAAGTTGGCATTTCAATTACAGCCGCTCAGTTTATTTGACTTAAATGTAATTAACTACAACACCGATATAATATTGATCGGTTAATTATTGGAATTTGCTCGCTTTATTATAGAGTTGATAGACGGTTTACTTATTAGAAAATACGAGGATTATAGGTTGATTAAATTTCTTAAAAAAAACGGTTTAGGTAAGTATCTATAAAGTATTAAGAAAAAGTCTACTAAAGTCAGGAAAGTTCATAAAAAACTCATTTAAAAGATCTGGAAAAATTGCTTGAAATTCCCACCAAAAAGTGACCCATAAATATGGTAAAAATAACGTTAAATTTTTGTCTAAAATGCCTTCGGAATGGAATAATCGTGTCAAGATGTAGGTGAACAAAACGTCAGAAAGTTCCGATCTCGCAAACAATAACCTTATTATCGTGGGGATTGTTCGTCGCGCTCCCTCGATTTTAATTATCGCCCCATCCAGGTAATTTTCGCAATCGAACGTCTGACATCGCCGAAAATCGGGCTGGAAGGAAAATCGATTTCTAACGCGACCGAGAAGTTTACCTAATGGAAATAACTTCCCGATAATAACACGTCGAACCGGGATGTGAATAAAGGGGCCCGCGGGCCTTATCTCGCGTCCGCCCCTCTAAAGTGCTCCGACAACTCGGGCATTGTCAGCTGGAAGTTTATTTGCTTCGAATAAAGGAAAAGTCTATCGCGAATTTGCCGGTCCTCGAACGCACTATACAGGGTGAGTCGCGTACATACGTGTACGATTCCTCGCGACTCACCCTGTACACGAATTCGTGCCGATGGATAGGCGAATTTTCTTCTTCTTGCCTGAGGAATTTCGTTGGAAGCGCTTCATTGGGAAAACTTACGCTGACTATGGAGGCCCTCTTGGCGGAGTCCTTGTCGGTGGACTTCTGCTGCAGGTGCCTGCTGAGGGCGAACATCTCGGCGAGGCGGGAGCGCGTCTTGGAGGGCGGCGGGTCCGCCGGCGCCGCCGCCCGCTGGTGTCGCTTTCTCATCGGAAACACCAGGTGCTCGATGTCCGGGGTGTATCTGGAATAAATTCGCAATAAGCTCGCTTTGAATATCGAAAGGGGAGAGTGCAATTGAACCCCGCGTTGGCTCAAAATCGACCTTATTTTGTACCGATATAATAGGATTATTCGAAGCGAAATTTAGCTCGGGTGTATAAATCGCCTCCGGCCATATTTTTTAACCTAAACGCGAAAATTAGAAGCCGGATTTTCCATTTAACGATTAAGTTCCGGGACGCATAAATTATAACGGGGTCCCGCGCTTGATTTTGATCCGGCCTTCGCGCGATTGTATTGTATTATTTCTCGAGTTACCCGAACTTATACTATTCGAGAATTGCGCCGTTTATTTTTATTTCAACTTTTCGAGCACCGGCTCGAAGGGTAAAGTATTCGTTCTCATAATGCAGCCCTAATGAGATTCGGAAAGGAAAAATGAGGCCAATAATTTGAGTGGAATCAAAGTCGATTTCCACTTGTTGAGAGAAATATTGCTATATACAGGAAATTTCCCTACAGACCCGTTTCTTAGGATAGGGTGGGGTTGGTAACAGTCTATTCCCTATGCATATTTGGTTACTTTATGTTGGTAATTGTACAGGGTGTTAATATAATAAGTGCGACAAACTTCAGGTGGTGATTCTGTATGAAAAAATAATGATATTTTGTTATATAAACGTATGTTAGCAAATGCTTCGTTTTCGAGTTACGAGGTGTTAAAGTTTCTTTAATTCTATAAAAATACACGTCAATATGTTTTATTTTTTTATTCGAAAATAGTGGCTCGTACGAAAAAAACACAGGAGAGTTTTTTTGTCACAAATTGAATGAGGAATTCGTTCATATTTAAATTATCAATAAAAATGACTCAGTGGCGTGCCAATATTATTTTCTTCTTATAAAAAATATTATTACTCGTATGCGCGTCAATGATGAACATAAAATTATTAATTTTATGTCAAAAAATGCGCAATAAAACCCACCAAATTTCATTTGAATATTTCGTCTGGTTCCGGAGAAATAAATAAAATCTTCGATTTTTAAGAAGAAACTTTAACACCCCGTATCTCAAAAACGAAGCATTTGCGAACAAATGTTTATATAGCAAAATATCATAATTTTTTCATGCAGAATCACCCTCTGAAGTTTGTCGCACTTATTAACACCCTGTATAATGCAGATTTGGTGGTTCTCATATGAAATGTGAACTGACATGAAACTTCTAATAAGTAACAAAAAAAATGAAGAAATGAAAGAATTTAAAGAATAATACAAAATGGAAAACAAAAACCGTCGAAGTATTAGGGATATTTCAACGCAGCGAAATCAGCAATGCAGTAGCCCTTCTGGGAGCAAAAAACCCCCCATCGAAATAAACTGCTCCACAAAAGTTAAGGAATTTGCGATTATTTTAAAAGTTACACACTTTTTGATCACCAAATTTTCAAATATGCGAAATTAAACGTTTTCTCTCATATCCGAGTGGATTTTTCGTCCCTACCTCTACAACTCACACTAAATTTGGCGATCAAAAAACCTGCAACTTTTAAATTAATCCCAACATTTCCCTTAACATTTATGGAGCAGTATAGCTACGAACCCCGGGTCCATCCTGACGAAGTCCTGGACGCTCAGCTTGGGCGCCGGCTTGGAGGGCTGCTTGGCGAGCGTCGGCTTCCTTTTGACGTTGAAGGGCGTGCGCCCGTTCGAAGGGTCCGCGAACGCCAGCAATCTGTCCCTCAGCTGCATCTCGTCGCGACTCATCCTGCTCGATCTCCGCGGGGGCGCTCACGCGACCGCCGGCCGCTCCGGTCCTGCGCCTCCTCTCTCCATCTGCAAGTAGAAAAATGAAAAAAGAAAAAAAAAGAACGGGCGAAAAGTCGAATAGTCGAAATATGTTGGTATTACGGCGAAATCGAGCGGGTGATTGAACAGAAAAGTGATTGATGTTGATGTATAAGTCGTACAAAAAACGCTACGAAAGAATGCTGTATTTTAATGCGATGAAATTTCGTATTATAGGAATGATTCTACTGATGAATGAATAGGGTCTCGCTCGCTTCGCAAGCTCCAATTTTGCTCCGTTTCAATCAAATCTATAATCATCCAGTATATTTCAATTTGTAGAAAAACAAATTTTTCACATAAATAATTAATAGATCAGTATTTTTAAAGTATACAGGGTGTCGCATAGAGGCTGGGATATAACTTAATTACATACTTCTGCTTAGCAAAGAAGTTACAAGATGTTAAAGTGAAAAATAAAAGAGATATTTTGATATAAGGCCAGAATGGTTTAACTCTTTTTTGGTGAAAATTTGTACAGAATATCTCTGTTTGGTGACATATTTTTGTATACCTGTATAAAGGAAACATAATCATTTCATTCAATTGACAATAAGCAATATCTATCAAACACATTTGATAAATCCACCCTAAACGTCTGTTGCAGATATAGAATTGATTTACTTGAATCTCTTGGCGACTGAACCAATTCATACGAAAACAGTCACGGCCGATAAAGCTCGAACTATGAACTTTACGCGGATAAAATTAGAAGGATTCATCCCTTCGGACATGCGAATAACGCGAAATAAGGACCCCGGACAAATAAAAAGAGAGTTTATTCGAATGCAAAGCTCCTGTGACAAACGGCGAATCGAGATCGCGCGTAATTCGGCAGGTAAAAAAGCGCTTTAATTAATTAAAAATTCGATGTCCGGCTGACATAAAGCTTCGGCGTCGATGATGGCGCATTTCGCGCTACACTTTGTTCCGGGGATAAAAATTCCTCCGGCATCGATTCGCTAGAAACATACGTTGACGTCACAAACGCGAGCCATTCTGATTCATAAAGTAATTACACAGTTTGTTTAACTGTTCGCACCTCCGCCTGACGTGAGGCATCACACTCGACGGGGAATTGATATTGATGGAAATTGCGAAGCGCCGAACGAGCCGGGAAGTTCCACGTTATTTCCCATTATGTCTTACAGGAGTATTAACGTGGTGGTTTTTTTTTCATCCAGCTTGCGGTTTCGTTCCGAGCTATATCGTTGCTCGGCGTTCGTTAAAGAGGATTACGCGAGGGAATGTTTTATATAGTACGTTTACGTTAATCCGGTGGTGGCGTCACGAGCTAATGCTATTGATTGATCTATATATTGTAACAAATGCAACAGTCAATGTAATAAACCAATACATCCAAACTCAGATTAGTCAGATTCCATGTTCTATACTACTGATATTTACTCATACTCACAATCTGAACAGCTTGAGTAGTTGAAGTCTCGAGGGAAAGAAGAAGAAGAAGAGGAACCTCAACTGTCAATATATCAAACCATAATGTACACAAGATACATTTTTTACAAGAGAAAAAAAAATCTTGCTCTTGTGTCATATATCAGTTCCATCAAAGTCTTCTGTTCGATTTAGTATTAGCATTCTAAGTTTTCACGTACATACAATAAAAATTCATGATCAATACCTTTATATGATTGTAACTTACCGCGTAATAAAACACGTCTACTTGGAAATTTTCACCTCGTTTCCTCCGTTTTGTTTCCTTTGTCCTTCGTATTTCATGCCCGATTCGTAACTTATTCGATGCGGCTGAGGCAATATTTTTCTTTAATTTGAAGCGGTGAATCCCCGTCGCTACTGTTTTTTTTTGCTCTTGGTATAACTTAATAGTGCAATTTTTTTCTTCGCGCTTTCGGGTCATCGGAAATCGCTCGTTCGACGAGATATAAATTCAGCACCCTTTTTTTGCTGATAGTGGAAATACACCCGGAACTGTTCGCGCCGAGGTAGAAAATTGAAATCGACGATTCCGGGAGAAAAAATCGCGAAATCCCCTTTTTTGCGCCGAATTAAGTGGAGAATCTTGTTAGCAAATTCCACCTCAATTTACGGACTGTCTTAAAAGCCGCGTTCGAACTTTTAAGGTACATTTTCGCGTTAAAAAAAAAAGTTCTCGACTCGATAAAATGTAAATATAATTTGCCAAGCACCCGCTTTCCTTCCTCATCATTAAACCAGGCCTCGGCTGCGGGAGTTATCGCGCCACCGAACGCTCGCTGACAGTTGACAGTTGACAGTTGACAGTTGACAGTTGACAGTTGACAGTTGACAGTTGACAGTTGACAGTTGACGGTTGACAGTTGACGGTTGACAGTTGACAGTTGACGGTTTCACAGCCTGTCAAATTATGCAGCCCGTTTTTTCCGGCGACCCACTTACCGACTTCCCCTCGTAAATAACGCCACTATGGCCTGTTAAAGTTCATTTCGGTGCGGCCCGGATGATTTACAGGATCTCTTCGGGGAGCGCTATAAGGTCGAAAACGAAGTTTCACAGCGACCGACTCGAACACTTCAAATTTTCCAGAGGGAGGCATGTTTCGAATTAGATTAAGGAAAACTAGGGAATCGATTGTCGGGACACAGCAATATGAATATAACGGGGAGAAGCCCCGGCGAACGAAAATTGGAACGCCGAGAGAAAAGCGCTTCGCCGGCGGGTGAGTTTTTTCAACCCAATTACTCGATGTAATGTCTATAATGGATTGTACCATAAGGATTTCCAGAAGAATTTTACGAACCTTACTTACTTATTATAGTCATGTAGACGGCCTAATAAATACAAACACTTAAGGTTAATTACTATAGTAATACAACAACAAACACCCTGTATGTTTTACACATCGCGACATACCGAAGAAAACTCAATTAATTAAATCCTCAATTCGTCTTTCCTCGCCTTCGCAATGACGATTCGCGAAACACAACGAATAACGAATCATTCGAGTAACCCTTTTGAACGGGCCCTTGCAGGAGCGGGCCCTTGCAGGAGGCATTTAACGAGCCCTCGGATATCAGCGCGTCACCGCTACGCTCTCGAGTACCGAGGAAAAACCGGGAAAACGGTTTCCTTTGTTTCGGTATAAACCTCCAAGTGGATGGTGGTGTACTCTCCGGGGAACGAGAGCGTGATGGATTTTGCCGTTTGACGCCTCGCTTTATCAGAAGGATAAATTGGTTTTGCGGCGGAGTCTGCATATTCGTATGTGGGATAAAGATCTGAGGAAAGCCGGGAAACTAATTCCATCGAAGTTCATTTAATGTTGCGAGAGCGCGGTTTTTCGAAATGGGCTGCATGGCTGTGGGAAAACCCGCGAGAAATCTCGATTTCCTTAGCGAGAGTTACTCGGTTTTTGATTACCTGGAGGATTTCGTGTTTCTTCGATCGAAGATTCGGATTTAATGTGGTAAATAATGCTCTTATGAAATACCCTGTAGGCTTATGCAAAGCCGAAGGTTAAAAAGGCGATATTTTTTTAGAATTAAATAGCCCGAAACGCTTTTTTTTATTTTTATAATAAGGTCAAAGTATTTAGGAGACTGGAAAAGCTATTCGGAAAATAGGTCGAAGAAGAAGCGCTCCAGGTTCCTGAAAGGGATAGGTTTATTTTAAAATTTTCTTTTATGTAGAAAATCCTTTTTATGTAGGTATTCTACGTTTTATATGAATAATATTTCAAACTGTTTTTCGCGAGTAGAAATACGGCGTTCTAAATGTACCTTGCAATTTGATAAATTTCCCTCTCCAACGAAAGAAAAACCTTATAAAATAAAAACAAAGAGATAAAATTTGTTAGAGTATAAATTTTGAAACACCCTGTACAAAAATCCCTAACAACAATACCTTGGATGTATAATTATCTACGTCTAAACTCACTTAAAGTAAGTTATAAATAACTGAAATTTAAATACATTCCGGGATAATACATTTAATAGGCACCTATAATGGCAGGAACGAGAATGGCAGGAAATGAAATTTCACAAAGGATATTAAAGCTGGGGAGGAAACTCGCACAGAAATTCACCGTTATTCTCCCTTACACATTTTCCACAGATGCTATACATACATATTGGGTAAATCGAACTTGACACAGATATTCGACGGGCGGCTCATTCTACATAAAAAAGCTCGTTCAGTTTGACGTGATATTATTTTAATTTAGCGCTTTAATAATGAACAATTTTCGCAAGGATTAAATAGCGTCGCGCTAATTTGGAATACGCCAGATCCTTTTAAATTTATAGCTAGTTATTTTTTTAATCGAAAAGGGATTTTTTCATTTCATTGATTGCACTTCTCCAACTCTTTCAAAATTAACTAAACAAATATTTCCAGAGACACTTAATTCAAATTATTCAATCTCTCCTGATCTCGATGTAGGAATTAATCGAATGCACAATTAATCGGAAACACAAATGGATAGATTTAGGAATGAATAAACAATGAACCAAGAGTACACAATGGAGTCTTCAGATAACTTCAGACGTGGAAATTCTCTTGAATTATTGCCTTCGAGATATAAAAACTTTTGCTACGCTAAACTTAATGCACTCCATTTTATTTTCGTCCATATTTGTAAGTAAAAACGCGTCTGAATTCAATTTTTTTGACCGTAAATCCTTTCGAGTCCTCGCAAATGCTCCTTGCCCCGACAACAAAATAGCCTTGCAGACAATTTTATTATTCTCGCCGTCCGAAAGAGATACCTTATCAATTTTTTATCGTAAAAGGTTTGAAACGTCATTTACCCTCTTCTGCGCGTATGTTTAACTACATACAGGGTGTACCAATGTTACCAGATCTTAATTTATAAGTTGGGAAAATAGGGTGGAAAAATCCACCCTGTATTTCATCTGATTATCTCTGTTTGAGCTTCCAGCATCGAATCGAATCGGGATTTAATAACGTATTGTCAGTCGAGAAATGAAACGCACCCTTTTCCTCGCATCAACCGTTGATTAAACCGTACA